CCCTTCACTCTGAGCAGTTATTAGAAGTGGAGGACGTTTCTCCACCTCCTTACCCAGACACTCGAGAAGAAAGGGACCAAGTCTATTTGGAGGAGACAAGCGGACCTGAGCCTTATTGTTTTGAGCTTGTGAGTTGCCTGAAACTACCGGAACCGACCCAACAGAACCAGCTCCGAATGGTAAGTAGCCGTTAGCCATAGCATTAGATTAGCTGCAGGGTTTGGCTCCACTGCCCTAGAGAGCTAGCATTCAGTATGTTTAAGAGATTTGTCTGCTTCAACACACCTGGTTTTAATCAGCAACAAATAGCTGAGCTGCTTAACAGCTAATCTAACCTGTTAAAGCAGGAAAACCACTGAATTTATGTTTTAAATTATGTTCAAAGATTTTGAATTATATACTACAACGGCTTGCTGTACCCTTGTGTAATGTGACTCGTATCTGCAGCGGATCTGATCCGTAGCGCTGCAGGACGCAGAATAAACAGGATGGTAGGGACTTTTCATCTGCTTGTAGAGTTTAGTCTTTCTTAGTTTTACGATCATCATACATTTTTCTGTGCGCCACTTGATCGTGAGACTGCTACCCGTTAGCTTTATCATTAGCAGCCACACTTTCGATCCCAAACTTTGGACCAGTTCTGCCTTTGCTGGTTCCTTTATTTTCCTCCACTGCATTCAGATGACCACACTGTGCGCCAGTAAAAAGCATTTTTCTTACACGTAACTTACTTTTGTTCAATACAGTTCTGGGGAAAATAGTAGTTTAAAGATGTTGCACCAGTTCTATGTTTAAAAATAGACGGACACTAGGGCTGTCGCGGTAACCGCAAGAAGAAAATATCGCGATATTAAGAAACCCACCGCGCTGCATGACGTGCCACCGCCATTACCGCACTTGATTAAATCTCGCGACAGCGCATGCTGAGAGGTAAAGTCCGTGCTGATCGAGGAGATAGAACACATGGAAGATGGAGGGAGCGGTGGAAGATGGAGGGAGCGGTGTCAGTGCGTCAGCTGCAGCCCTGCCAGAGACCTTGGAGCAGGCAGAGCTGCCACCAGCGGCAAAGAAAAAAACGCTTGGAGACCTGCTGAAGTCACGGACAAGGACGTCTTCTGCAACCATCCCGAAGAGAGTTAGAGTCGAGCTGGAGCTCACTCGCTACCTGCAGGAGGAACCCATTGACCCTAATGAAAACCCTCTGACATGGCGGCGCAACAACCATGAGAGATTTCCATTACTCTCCAAAGTCGCACGTAAGTACATGTGTATTTGCGCAACAAGCGCACCATCCGAGAGGGTTTTTAGTGTCGCTGGAAATGTTGTCACCCCTCTCAGATCCTCTCTCAAACCGCATAAGGTTAACATGCTGGTTTTCCTTGCGCGTAACAAGGACATGACCGAGTTATAAATCACAGTTATTCTTGTGTGTGAAAGTGAAATGACAGTGCCTGGGACATCTCATTTTGTATAAACCACAAAACAAAACGGGCACTTTTTTTATTTCTGTTAGATGTTGCAGCCAAATTTGCATTTCAAAGTTAAACCTCCTGAATGTTGTTTTTAAGTTCAGTCAGAGAATGATGTTACTGCCCTTCGATCTGCATTCAATAAAGTGTTAAAAATGGCCATGTCTTTTTTCTAACATTTTTTAAATGTGTAAGCACAATGTTTCAAAGGAAATATTGCCATGAGTTTAGTAAATAACAAATTTTCTAAGTACATAAATAAAAACGGGGTGCAATAATATCGCATACCGCAATATTGAGCTGCCCTGACTCACCGCAGGGGGAATTCCTCAACCGCGACAGCCCTAACGGACACGCACAGACAGTTTTTTTCGTCGCACTGTACAGCCCTGCTCTGATATGGAAGAGCCTGGGGGGAAATCAGGATGTCAATAGCACCAACCATATATGTATACCAACTGGAAAAGCAATTTTTGATCTTTTTCTGCAGCGGTTTTAGTGCTTTTCCGTGCACAGCTGCTGATACAGCGCCCGTGTAGTGGCGCAACACTGCAACTGCAGTTAAAATAACATCCATATAGCTGGGGGCAGAGTGAAAGCAGGCTGGGGCGGCACAAAAATAGCTGGAGGGGGCTGGCACGCAAATTTGAATGCAGGAAAAACCCTGCACAGAAGCGATTAGTTCTAATGGGAACTGAAGGTGATGTCTTTGCATTAAGCTTTGGTTAGGAGATTCATAAACACATTCAACGTCATTTGCCGGTCTACATACCCTGAGCGGAAGTCCCCCTTAGATCAGGAGGTGTAAAGGTCCAGCTTGACCTCATGGAGACGGAGGGTGTAGAAGAAGCCACGGCAACCGACCACCTGTCTTGAGATACTTCCGGATCACGAAAATTTGTTGGCGTCTGGTGAGACCCAAGCCTGGGACTTGATGGTTCAGCTTTTATTCTGAAAGGAACTGTTGCAGCAGTTGGAACAGCAACGAATTTTCCAGCTTGTCGTTGGTTCTTTTGGTTGAAGAGGAGAGTTACGGATTGGCCACTCCGACAACTTCTCTAGAACACTTTGAACTGGCGTTAGAGATGACGTGGCATAGTTTAATACTTCGGATGTTATGGTTTAAGGTCGAATGAAAAGTTGAAGAGTTACCAAACACCATAAAAACCACGCCTCCGTCAGATCTGTTAGATTCTGATTGGATCAGTGAAAGTACTGTGTCGTGTCTTTTAACGCTACGTGAAATCAGTCCTGTTGGAACATTTAAAGTCACAGTACCTTTATATTCTATAGGATTATAATAAAGTAATTAATATTTTCATTTCACAGGTCGGTCACATCTTATTTATTGACTAACACTTTGATGGATTAGCTTTATTAAAATAGTTCTTTGATTAATTAAAAGAAAAGAGTCCATTCTTCATTCTTCTGTTGAGCTGAAAATAAGCAGGTTAGAAGCAAATGCATGAGACCTTGAGACCATATCTCATGCAGACTAGTTCTGTGCAGAGGAGGGGGAAAACAGTCATTTCATTCTGTTAGAATACTCAGTACTCAAGTAGCCTTCTAATACTTTTTCAACCCTTACTTGAGTAATAAACCCTATATCAGGAAAATATTGTCCTCGGTTTGTGTCCTTCCAGTGAGCTTTGCAGATGTGGGAAAATGTCATCAGGCAGTAATCATTGTTAAATTCATAATTATTCTCGGAGAGAGACCAACTCTTATCTGCCCCTGGGAGCCCCGTAACGCATAGCGTCATTTCAATATAGGGGTGTCCGCGACACGGTTTATATGCAGGTAGTGGCGCTGCGGCTGCTTTATATAGCGACTCGTTGCGTTCTCCCTCAACCCAAATCCTCGGATCATGCATTTTAGCTAAAACGCTAACGTTAGCTTGCCTTGCGTTGACTGTAGAGTTGTGGGTGATGGTCACGCAGATGTGTCATGAGATTTGAAGCGTTGCTGCCTTTCACAGACACTTTTTCTGCACGTGCTGCAAACAGGATAGCCGTCTTCTATCAACTGTCCCTCGGCATTCTTCAAATATCCAAAACATGCCCATAATTCCGACTTTGTCTTCTTTGAAGGATAATAAATGTCCTGAGCCCTGCTGTCTCCTCCTTTGGCCATTATTTCAGTTTTAGCTTCAAGAAAGTTTTGGTTGTAAACAACAAAGTGCGCATGTGCCGCCGGCAACTTCAGCAGATGATACGGTGGCTGGTAAGGGTCACCGCGCCTACACCGCAGCCACGGTAATCCAGCGAGATAAAATCTCCACCGGGAGATTTTTTTTAAAAACAAGACGGTTATTATTATTGTCAACTTTTTTACCGGGGTTTACCGCTACACCGGTTACCGTAACAACCCTAGATTGCTCAAGCTAATTAATAAGCCTCCTTCAATTAAATTGTATACATACTTAGAAAAACTTGAGTTAATTTAGCCCCTACAATATTTACTTTTAAATTGGTTAATTTGTTTAATTATTTGTGCTTTTCTTTTATGATTTCCCTTTTATCTTATTTTGTAACTTAAGAAGTATAGGAATATCTTTTATCTTTTTTGTTAATGGCAAAATAGTGGTGTAAGTGTTATGTTTGACTGTGCATTTCAATTGTCTAATTGAGATTGTCGTTCAGGTTCTTAATAAAGCTTATAAAAAATAAATTTAAAAAAGTGTCTTGCCCAAGGACACGACGACAGCGACAAACTGAGCGGGGCTAGAAACTGCAACCTTTCAGTTACGGGGCAAGCACATAACTCCTGTTCCACCGTCGTCCACAAACAGCTAGCTAGCTTCACGGCTTATCTGACACCTGATACCCCAAAAAGACACGCCCCTGAGTTGTCATGACTGATAACTAGACCTATTAAAACCTAATATTGTTTTTTGTACCAGGCTGTAAACATGTTTATTTCTGTTGTGAAGTTGGTATTTTTTTTAATGGAACTCAATAAGAATTTGCTGTTTTGGACCCACCCCCAGTGGATGAGGGGAGAACTGCTGTTTTTTGTCACTTCCTGGGGTTTCAGGAAGTAGTCAGACGTTCCCATTGGGTGAAACTCACTGATCCCGGTGAGTGAGCACAACTGTTAGCCGAAATAGCTAACTGTAGACTTAGCTGTGCCGATTTATTACATTTGCTTTAAAATAAAATCTTATTAAAACAAAAGCCGAGTCTACAGTCATGTTAGCCTAGTTTGGTTCAACTAAATCAGGCTGGTGGTGTTCGGGTGTTCGCTCACAGTCAACGAGCGCCAACACCCGCCCAGACCAGCACCAGCATCGCCTCGTTCGCTTCCGTTATCTAGGAGCCGCAACAAGGAAACAAACTAAAAGCTCACAACGCAGCCATATTCCACCAACCGATCTTAAGATACTTTACTTGTCCTCAGACTCTCCCCAAGTTCTGGTTAACTCGGGATGAAACAGTCACATTTCTGATCCGCTCGTTAGCCACTAGCTAACACATTAGCAGTCTGCCTCCTCGACCAGCAGTAACGTCACACGAGCGCCATCAAACTCACCTTACTTTGATGGTGGGCACAGCGATTGTTTCCGAATGTCTGTGATCTTGTTCCTAAATCTATAAAGCTGTTCTGTTTGATCGCTGTTACTTCTGCTTCTCCCACTCCTTCTCTACCGGCAGACGAAAATGATTGTGGTGACGTCAGTATGAAGCGACGAGCTATGTCTCTTCCTTTTCCGGTCGGCCTATTTTATTTTTTTGATTATTTTTTTATTTTATTTATTAAAGAGAGGAGAAAATGTGGATCTGCTTAACTAGAAGTGATAAACCTAAAGGACTTTAATAGTCTAATAGTTTTTGTTAACTTCTTATTGCACATTTTTAATTTTCTATGGAGGCCAAGTAGAGTTTCAGTTTCTTTAAAATTATCTAAAAGGGGTATTTTTTTCCGGTCGGCTTATGTCCTATAACATTTTTTTTTACAAATATACAACAAATTTGACAAAAGTTTTCCAGCTTGAAAATGCATCAGAACTGGCTGCTATTCAGAATAAAGACTAATCAAACAGAGAATAATAAACTGAGACAGGGTACAAACAAATAAATGATAGAATAGTAACCATAAATACACAAAAATAAATTAACTAATTAAAAGACACAAACAAAATATAACATAGGCCTACATCTTAGACCTATATTATCTAATCTAAGAGATTCAAGTCATTAATTTTATTGTCTATAGGTGAAGAAGTGGCAGAGTTCTTCCTGAAAAGTGAGAAACAATGGCTTCGTTTCCAGGGATCAACATTTGTGAATATAAAACTTACCCATAATAATTATATATAATTATTATTATTATAACATTAAAGACATTTTAAAGTATATTTTATTTTGTAAAAGTCCCCCAAAATGATCTCATTGTTGGAGAATTCCTGTTAATTTGCTTTCTTTGAGAAAAGCCATAAGTGCACATCATCCCAGAGAGTTTTACAGTATTTACAGTTATATAATAAGTGATCAGTTGATTCAATGTTCTCAACACAAAAATGAACAAGAGTTATCATCAATGTCAAAGCGATGTCTGAGGGAACAAATGGGCACCGTGCGCTTCATCCAAATGAGGGCCGGTGCTCAACAGCTGGGACTGACATTTGAGGAATAGATGAAGGATTTAATAGGTGCAAGTAAAAGAAAAAAAAACAACGTTTTGACATTGCTGTCTTCATCTGAGTTCAGGTATGAGGAAAATCTTTTGAGCGGTAAATCCCCAAAAACGTTTTGAAATGGAATTCCTTTGCTTTAGGAGGAATTAGCGTGGGCGACGGTGGCACAGGAGTTAAGTGCTCGCCCCGTAATCGGAAGGTTGCATGTTCGAGCTCCGCTCAGTGTGTCGCTGTCGTTGTGTCCTTGGGCAAGACACTTAACCCACGTTGCCTGCTGGTGGTGGTCGGAGGGACCGGTGGCACCAGTGCTCGGCGGCCTCGCCTCTGTCAGTGCGCCCCAGGGCAGCTGTGGCTACATCGTAACTCATCCCCACCAGCGTGTGAATGTGTGTGTGAATGGGTGAATGACTGTGTTGTAAAGCACCTTGGGGGGTTCCAGGACTCTAGAAGGTGTTATATCAGGCCATTTACTATTTAGATCATTCTATTTTTTCCCTCTGATCACATGAGAACAGTTGTGAAATAGAGTTTGGGTTAGTTTTATAAGACAAAACGAGTACCGTAAATCCTCTAATACAGGCCTACCGTAAATCCTCTAATACAGGCCCGGGTCTGTATTAGAGGATTTACGCTATAAGTAAACAGTTATCTGATTAAAGGGTTTTTTAATCTCTTCTGTATTCATTTTGTGTGTTAATTCACAATTATCTTCTTTTTTCTTGTTTAACACAGTGCAGTAATTAGATGTTTTGTTGCCTTCGACTGACACCTGCTGTATCATCTAGCAGCTCCTGCTCCCTGGAAAGCAGCTCAGACTCTCCCTCCTGACTTCCCAACTGCTCTCTATCACCAGTCAAGACCAGAGAGCGGAAAAGGAGAGACAGTCTGAAGCACCAAGAGCGAGGACAGCTCAGATCCGTGCTGAAGTTTCTTCTCTCGCAGCTTCTCATCTGGATATTTGTGTGTTCATTTTTAAGAACTTGGTTCTGTAAGTTGTGTGCTCAGAGGAGCAGCTTATGTTTTACCCTGTGGAGGATTTTCAGAGCGGAGTTGAGACACTTTGCTGGTGATACTCTTGTTGAGTCAATAGTTTGGCTGAGTTTAGTTTTAGTTGTACCGTTACCTCCGTTTGTTTACTATTAGAATAAGAAACCCTTTTTGTTGAGACTTGGATTACCTTTTATTATTTTGGGTTAATTATAAGATTGATCTTAGAGTGAAAGTTCTTTAGTTCTGTTAGTCATCCTCAGTTCATTGATAGCTTGGTGGAGAGGTGCTTCACACACACATTATTTTACTATAAGACTTTGGTCATGGTTTTTCCTCTTTGAGGTCTCTTTTAGATAAGAAACTGAACTTGGGTTCATTTTTTCTTTATTGTAAATAAAAGAATGTTTACTTTTAAATAAAATATCTAACACACGCCTCTTATGTTACGCAGTCCTTCCTTTTTAACCTCACCGGTCATAACAATTATCATGAAACTACTCACATCTGCTAATTTAGAGCAAATCTTAATCAGATATCAATGATTTCATTAAACTGCTCACATTTTCTATTGTGGAGTCAAACTTTACAAAATATTAAACACTACTGACTTTGTCTAATGCGGCGCAATCCTTCACCAGATATCAATGATTTTCATGAAACTACTCACTCATTAGACAACACAGATTAAATATCAGGTTTAATAAAGCAAATCATGAAAATCTCATAAATATTAGAACAAATTCAACTGAGCAGAAAATTAGAAAAATTAAATGTGGGTTGTTGATCCATTTTTTCTAAGATTTTGTTAGTTCATGACTTGATTTGTGATCATCAGATCTCTTTGCTCTCTCTCACAGAATCCTGGCTGCAGCAAGAGGACTATGTTAGCTTAAACGAGTCGACTTCTAATTATTTAAATCATCATATTGCTCGAAGTACAGGGCGAGGAGGAGGAGTAGCAAACATTTTTCATTCAGATTTATTAATCAGTCCCTTACAGATTAATAGTTACAGTTCATTTGAACATCTTATTCTTAGTTTTCCTAATCCAGATTGCAAAACTGTAAAACCACTCTTGTTTGTAGTTTTATATCGTCCACCAGGCCCTTACTCTGAGTTTTTGGACCAGATCTCTGATTTTTTATCTGATTTGGTGCTAAATACTGATAAGGTCATTGTAGTGGGGGATTTTAATATTCATGTGGACATTGAAAATGATAGCCTCAATGTAGCCTTTAGTAATATCTTAGACTCAATTGGTTTTACTCAAAGAATACATAGCTCCACCCACTCCTGCCATCATACATTCAACCTTGTGCTGACTTATGGCATAGAGTGTGAGGAAATAACAATCTTTCCACATAATCCAGTCCTCTCGGACCACTTTCTGATAACCTTTGAGTTTTTTATAACTGAGTTTTCGAGACATAAAAGTAAATTTCACTATAGTCGGTCTCTATCTGACAACGCAGTTGCATCTTTTAAATCAACTGTTCCATCTTTACTGTCCTCAGCATCTCAGAGAAACGTAGCAGAGGGCAATATTTTCAGTTCTAGCCCCTCACAAATTGATGCCTTAGTTCATCATGTTAATTCCTCTTTACGTGTGGCATTAGATGATGTTGCCCCTTTAAAAAAGAAGGTAATTAGGGACAGGAAGTTGGCTCCCTGGTTTAATTCTCATTTACGAGCCTTAAAACAAAACTCTAGGAAATTGGAGAGAACATGGCGCTCTATGCACCATGAGGAGGCCTACCTATCCTGGAAAAATAGTCTTGTGCTTTATAAACATAAGCTTCGACAAACTAGAACTGCTTATTTCTCAGCGTTAATTGAGGAGAATAAGCATAATCCTAAATTTCTTTTCAGTACAGTTGCTAAACTTACACAGAATCATAGCTCTGAGCCATCTATTCCCTTAGCCCTCAGCAGCAATGACTTTATGGGATTTTTCACAAGTAAAATTAATTCTATTAGAAACAAAATCTTTAGCATCCTCCCTAATGCAATTTCTTCTTCCTCAGTAAGTGAGGCAGCATCAGAAGTGACTGTAGAACCTCATCTGTGCTTGAACCGTTTTGATCCAGTTGAGCTTTCAGAGTTATCAGAAATATTAGCTTCATCTAAACCTTCAACTTGCATTTTGGATCCAATCCCAACCAAATTATTTAAAGAAGCATTTCCTTTGGTTACTGCCCCCATTCTAGATATAATCAATCTATCCTTAGTAAATGGATATGTACCACAGGATTTGAAGGTTGCTGTAATCAAACCTTCACTTAAGAAGCCTCCCCTGGATCCAGATGACCCAATGAATTACAGACCAATATCTAACCTTCCATTTTTATCCAAAGTCCTGGAGAAAATAGTGGCCATCCAAGTATGTGAGCATTTAAACACTAATGCTCTGTTTGAGGAATTTCAGTCTGGTTTTAGAGAGTATCACAGCACTGAAACTGCATTAGTGAGAGTTACAAATGATATTCTCATGGCCTCAGATAAGAATCTTGTGTCTGTTCTAGTCTTGTTAGATCTCAGTGCTGCCTTTGACACAGTTGATCACAATGTTCTTTTAGAAAGACTTGAACATGTTGTAGGAATCAAAAGAAACAGCGCTAGGCTGGTTTACATCCTACCTGTCTGATAGATTTAATTTTATAAATGTACATGACAAATCTTCTTCATACTCCAGGGTTACTTGTGGAGTACCACAGGGTTCAGTGCTTGGACCAATTATTTTTACTATATATATGCTCCCAATTGGTAAAATCATTGGACAGCATGGGATAAACTTTCACCGTTATGCTGACAATACTCCGTTATATCTATCCGTTAACCCTGATGAACCTAATCGGTTAGGTAAATTACAGGCTTGTCTTGAGGACATAAAAAATTGGACGACTCTAAACTTTTTGCTTTTAAATCAAGACAAGACAAAAGTTCTCATCTTTGGACCAGAAATCCTGAAAAGGAAATTGCTTAGTCAATCACCTGACCTGCATGGCACTATGTTTATCTCCGAGAACCAAGTAAGGAACCTTGGTGTTATCTTCGACCAGGACATGTCATTCAAATCCCAGGTTTCACAAGTTTGTAGGATTTCCTTTTTCCACCTTCGGAATATTGCTAAGATTAGAAGCATCCTTTCCAGGAGTGATGCTGAAAAACTAGTTCATGCATTTATTACATCAAGACTGGATTACTGTAATTCATTACTCTCAGGAAGTCCACAGAATGTAGTTAAAAGTCTTCATCTTGTCCAAAATGCTGCAGCTAGAGTTCTGATGAGAATTAAAAAGAGGTCATATCTCTCCCGTCGTAGCTTCCCTACATTGGCTACCTGTTAAATTCAGAATAGATTTTAAGATCCTTCTTCTCACATATAAAGCTCTTAATAATGAAGCTCCATCATACATCAGTGATCTGATTGTTCTATATGTTCCTAACTGAGCACCTCGCTCTCAGACTGCAGGTTTACTGGTGGTTCCCAGAATATCTAAAGTTAGGATGGGAGGCAGATCTTTTAGTTATCAGGCTCCTCTCCTGTGGAACCAGCTCCCAGCTTTAGTCCGTGAGGCAGACACCTTGTCTACATTTAAGACTAGGCTTAAAACATTTTTATTTGATTGGGCCTATGGTTAAAATCTGATGTTAGTCTAGATCTGGACAAGTAGGGGAGTAGAGGGAGGTGGAGTGTACAGTCGGTAAAGACGGCTCTCCCTTGCCCTGCCTCCAACATGCCTCCATCTAAACGGCTAGGTCATCCAGAGTTATCTCTGTAGTTATGCTGCTATAGGCTTTGACTGCTGGAGGACACACTGACCACTTTTCACACTCGACTACTTTCTTCTACAATCTGCTCTTCAACTGTATTATTTTCTGCAATTTCAGCTGTTAACTTTATTTTTTCTCTAAGTGTTTTTCTCCCCAGAAGAAGCTACAATGATGTTCTGCTGAGCTGTGGTGGCCTCATGGAGGGGGCTTTTTGCTTTCCTTGACGTTGGATGTGCTACTGCTAATTTACCCGTTTAATTATAGATTCACTAGGATAAATACAATAAAAGTTTATCTCTCGCCAAATAGAATATTTACTAAGAAATCACAATGTAACCAGACACATTGCTTGGTGTGTGTGCGTGTCTGCTCTGTCTTCTCGATCCCCAGTGAGTCGTGGAGGATGGCTGCTTATACTGAGCCAGGATCCTCTGGAGGTTTCTTCCTGTTAATAGGGAGTTTTCCTCTCCACTGTCGCTATATGCTTGCTTAGTATGAGGTTTGCTGTAAAGTCACTGATGCAATTTGCTGGGTTCCTTATATAGGAAACATTTTTTCTGATTGGCTTAATGAACTGACCTGGATTGGAATGTTTATTATGTGAAGTGCCTTGAGACGACTCTTGCCATGATTTGGCGCTTTATAAATAAAATTGAATTGAAATTGAATGATGTTTTTACCTGTCTTTTAGTTAAACATCTGGACAGATTTCTGTGAAAAGTGATAATTGGTGAACCTTATTTAAGATTTTATCACAGCTAATCACCATTAGCAAACAAATATTTAGCTACATTTGGACAATTTAATGCAATAAACATGCACATCACATACCTGAGCTAGATCAGGGCAGCGTTTAAAAGGTTGGACCAAAACAAATATCATTCTATCCTTTCACTTAAAAAAATGATGGGCAACAGGCAGGAATGTGAATTACTTACTGGAGTAGCAGGACTTTAGTTTCTCCAGTTCTGAAGGCATTTTAATCAAAGTTTAGTTTAGGAGCCAGTAGGATAGTTGTAAGACCTTCCACTTTAGTCTGCAATAAACCTACAAAAACTCTTAGCACAGTCAGATTCAGCATCAGAGGCCAAACCAATGGGAAAAAGAAAGAGAAAACAACATCATTACAAATGAATAAGCACACTAAGTAACATCAAACATGGCCTGTCCGGTGTCATCCTTGGTAAGGTCAGTTTGTCTAAAACATCAACGAAAATTAAAAGATAATGAAAACTACATTAAATCTTCAGTTTAAAAAAAAATAATGCTAAACTGGCCACAAAGACTATGAGAAAAGAATGGGGTCTGATACCAAGCCTTTCCAACTTAAACCCAATAAAAACCAATGTCTCTGCTCATAAAAACAACAACAAATGACCCCAGTTTCTCTAAAGTGGAGTTTAACATAGCTGCAAACCTTTTACTTGTAAATATTATACAATCAAAAAATTCTCATTTATATTTTAAAAAAGAAAGCTAAGTCACCATTTTTGTTAACAACACACAACCCACAAACTATTAAGCTCAATTTAGAATGTATGCGGTGGGTTGCACTGAGTGGGAGGGGCATAAAAGAATACACAAAGCTCTCCGAGGTCCCACATCAGAAGAGATATTTTCGACATGATTCCGATCCACATCGACACTCCACTCGAAGTCTTTTCTTGGGGGAGGTTGGAAGTCTCGCTAGGCTGAAACTGGAGTCCATTTTGGTGCTTTCTGTGTCCACTGGGTCAACTGGAAAACAGACAGGTAATGCTACAGGTAAACGTTTTCATCCCTAATTAGGTCCCAGTCTAAAAATCCATTTCGTTACTTTTTATGACATCTCAGTTGCTTTAAAGTGAATCCATTATTCATTGAGTCACTCTGGTAGTGGGAGCCACTTTTCCAACAGCACTACTCAGCGTAACTTCAATGGATTTGAATCAGTTGAAGTCTTTTGCAAAAGCACAGTTCAATATTTTCCCCATGACTTTCCTAAACTGCACAAGTTCATGTCTGACCTACCATCTCAGTTGCAACATGCATGCATCCATAATTTTGTACAAATAGTTATTTAGTCCATGAGTTCATGAAAGCTAAATATTATGCGTTCCTCTTTCAAAAGCCACAATAATTACTAAAATATGTACAAGATCTTATGGAAAAATATTCAGCATGAATTATCAAGATAAAATCAGAAAACTTACTTTGTATTTTGTAGTCAAAGGTGAGCTCCTCTCCTGCCCGAATAGCTCGTGTGGAAAACAAGGCAATTCGTGGAAGTCGCTCATCTATGTTGTCAATAAACACATTGAACACCTGCAGGTTGGGATTACACTGCAAAACAACAAAAACATATCAGGGCCAGAACTTTGAAACACCACTTAATATAAAAAACTATTTTGTCTACTAGTTGTAGTCGTTGACTCCCCCATCCCGTCCTGCTTTTACAGGGACACATCATGCTGCTACTTCATGTGCTATGGAGAATAGAAAATCCCTTCACTGTCCCGCAATGGGGAAATTTTGTTGTCACAGCAGCAATTATATTTATAACAAAAGCAAAGGAGAACCAAAATAAAGAACAAGGAACTAAAAGGCTGTACACTAAACAAAAACCACTAAAACATAAAAGCATGAAATAAAAGATGCTGTTGAATTTACATTTTAAAAATACAATAATTATCCTATGGAATATAAGATTATATGGAGTAAGAACATTAATGGAGAAATGTGCTTATCAGTCATGATAAAATAGAATACCTGGTAATGTAACCAAAGATTGTGCCAACCAGCTCTCTGATGTTTTCACACAGATATTTAACCTCTCCCTGTTGCACTTTATCGTACCTCTACACCTCAAGTAAACAACCATTATTCCTGACCCTAAAAAATATCAAACACCAATAGCCTCAGTGACTTCAGAACCATTGCACTAAGACCAGTGGTCATGAAAAAAGCTCATAACATATCAAGGACTGCCTCTCTCCCCTTTTCTCCCCCTATCAAACTGCATTCAAAGCCAACAGATCCACCCATGATGCAGTATCCACAGCCCTTCATATCGCTCTGAGCCACCTGCAGACAAGAAAATAGGTCAAGGGTGAAAAAGGTCAGAAACCCCCTCGTGCACGCTTGGAGACAATCAGGGAAAATGGCCGCTAACACACACACACACTCTCTCTCTTCCCAGCAAGTGAATCTGCTGCAAATGAAAGTACAAGTAAATTTGGACATTTTTGATTTAAAAGCATCAACCCGGTACACTTTGTAGAAGAAAATAATCAAGCTGAATTTTTTGGTAAATATTTTAGTAAAATATAAATGTATAATAAATAATCTAAATATGCTCACAATCGTAACCATTAAAACCAGGGTAATCATGTAAGACCAACCTCTAGAGTGAATAAAAGGGGATGCAAACCTGGTCCTTGAAGGCCACTTTGGCTGCATGTTTTCTACGTGTCCCTGTTCAGACCATCGACATACATATATATGGACAATGGGTTTCCATAGACTCCAATAACACGTGTTTGAGTTAAAATGGGAGGTGGGCACCACGGCCATTTTGACCCTGTCACAGGTTCCGTCAAGCCCAGACAATTCCACAAAAGGGAAGAGAGGAGGAGCTGAGGGTGGGGCTGTAAGGCTGGGATTAAATGACGACACTGTAGCATTATGAATATGCCATTTCTGCCCTTAACAGCTGCCCTTTGACACAGTGCAGGGGTGGACCTTTAAAGCGCCCGAGCGCCAATGGCGCTAAATTTTCTCGTCGGGCGGTAAATACTTGTCGACTCACTGCCCGGGTGGCGCCCAAGCCTTATTTGTCATTTACACACCGGCTTTCACCGGCATCATGGCCGCGCCCTGCAGGAAGCCGCCGTTTTCATTTCGCGCGCGTGAACCTGCGCGCCTCTAGCCACCTACTGCACTTGTGCGACTCGTGCACGTACTGCACGATTCTAGTTATAGTCACGTGAACTATAAGTTCACTATTAAAGACGAAGTGGAACCACGCTAGAAACACACAAGCACGCAGGGAGATGCTGCCGCCACAGGGATGGGAATTCTTGGTGAAATCTCCGGCAAAACGCTTTAAAACTGGTGAGGAGAAGCGAGACAGTTCGAAACGGTATGAAGCAGAGAAGCGTGTGCGTAGGTGGAATGATTCTTGGTGGATTAAAGAAGACGGGAGGCGCAGAGAATGGCCGTGTTCGAGTTGAGCAGCGGCTCACCTGGAAAACAGACGAGAGCAGACGGAAGGGCTGAAAGCCGGGTCGGACCTGGCCCGCAGCGGGGCTCAGCAGCCTCCAGAAGCTGATGGCAGTGTGGGTTTAAGTCCCTGCGGGGTGGGAGTGGCTGAAAGCCGGCGTTTAAGTCAGACAGATTTCCCTACATGTGTAGCTCGGGGGTGACGATGGCTGAAGATATCGCGTTAGCGTTCACACTTGTTCAATTTTAATTCTGGTGCCTGTTAGCAGCTGAAACACATCCTCACGTGCTTGTGGATATCATATATTGTATATGAAGACATGACTGTAATAATAAGTAAAGGTTATCAGCTGTAGCTTCAGTGTGCTCATAGGAAACGTGACAAAAGAAAACAAATCACATTTCTCTTTATGGCCTATATTGTTGTCATCATCAACATAACATGATTTACAGAATACATGTGACCAACTAACGTTTCATGTTCTACCACCGGATGTTTGGATCAAAATGTGAACCAATCAGATCTTAGATCAGGTGAGAGCCAGGCGTTTCCCGTCATCCTCTAGGTTTTGCAGCTGAGGGAGAGCAACTGCAGCGCCTTGCTCCAAAATCTGCGGCCGCCTTGATCTCACGAGGTTATCGTTGCCTACGTATGCATGACGTCAGAGCACGTCGGCGTCAAGTCGGACACAAATCTAACCGGCATGCACTGCTCGCCGATCACCGCTGGTCTAATCTGCGCAGAACTGACTCGTCTCGAACACGGCCACTGGCTCGAGTACAGCAAAGCGGAGTTGGTGATGTACTGCGTTGTATGCCGGAAGTATGCGACGATAAAATCGAGTTGTTGAGGGAACAAACAAATTCAAACTTGAATACGTTATTATGTTTGTGAATGTGTACAAAATGATTATAATTAGGTGACTGATCTGTGAAATCACAATGTTATGATTTATGTGTTTAATGAATAACAGGACTTTGGGCTAACTGAGCTAGACATCCTGATCCACATAAGGTAAACACATGACACATTGTTCACTCATCCAATCAGAACTTCCTTTCTAATGCGTGGCAGAGTTCTATGGTGTTTAGTTAATCTGTCCACTCCGATTCGCTAAGAATCATAAACAACTAAGCTTAATAAAACAGAACAACGCCATTTTAATTTAGTTACAACGGAGTTCAACGCACACTCAGACGCTAGTTTCAACGTAGCTCAACTTGGTTCAACGCAGTTCCAACCAAGTACTCGACCAGCTCTCAAATCCATCTGATGTCCATCATCACTAAGTGAAGTACAGACTGGCCAGCTGTATTTTCTACTTTTAAGCTGAGAACTGTCAAGCTGGAAAATTCTGTCGTTTTATCAACAAGACGACGGTTCCTTCAGAATAAAAGCTGAACTCTCTGACCCAGAAAGGGGGGGGGGTCTCTACGTGACACTGAAAACCTGCCGTGGTACCGGGAGACGATCCTTAGACTGGTTTGTCGTGCTGCCGACGCTGTTTCACCAGTTCCAGCACCAAGGAGAGTCCAAGGACCTGGCATCTGAATCTAACACGGGAGTCTCCGCACGGTACGTAGATCGGAACAGATAGCGTCTCTCGTCTTCCTCCTGAAGTCCATCGTCGGTCAGTTAGACAAAACAACATCTTGCACTCAATTAAATTTTTTAAAAATCCTTCCATGTGAATTCATGGATTTTTTTTTCCCACATTCTGTCTCTCACAGTTGAAGTGTACCTACCGTAAATCCTCTAATACAGGCCCGGGCCTGTATTTGACTCAAGCTCCAGGCTTTTATTGGAAGGAGGGCCAGTATTAGAGGCAGGCCTCTATTTCTATTTGAGCAAAATGAACTAATGGTTCGCTGGACTTTTTGACAATTAAAAGTGCGCCCACATTTTCAAAGTTAAACACATTTCTTTTAACAATGGTAGTTTCTGCTTCAGCCCTCTCCCCCCTCCCCCTGCTTCAGCCCTCTCCCCCCTCCCCCTGCTTCAGCCCTCTCCCCCCTCCCCCTGCGCAGCGGCCGCAAACTCACTGATGCGCCTGCAGCCTCTCGGAGTTCCTGCTGCTCTAAACATTAAAATAATTATTTAATTTTCTGTTCCTCACTTCTGATTACCTTCAGTGGTGTCTGTTTGTTGCAACCAGCAGGTACAAAAACTAACTTGTTTTTATTTGACTATTTTTCTGTCCTGCCTGTTTATTATCTTCCTGCATCTCCTCTCAATCCTAAAGAGAAACTGCTACCTGGGTTCATATATATTCACCTCATGAGTTACCTTTGAACTGCAGTTCTAAAAGATCTACCGACCGCTAAAACAGCGGAGCGCTTGCTGTTTGGCGGCCGTATCAGTGATCAGTGCGTCGGAGGACAAGGTGATGCGCGCAGCGCCCCGCTCCACAGCATGCAGCGAAACGCATCAGGCACAAATAAAAGACAGAAAACATTAAAGGAAATGAACTGACATGAACGATCGCGTGTTAAATTAGTTTTTGAGTTGGCGACACCTGATTGTTACTGTGGCCGTGCTCAGGAGGCAGATCTACCGACCGCGAAAACAGCTGAGCGCTCCCTGCTGTGACGCGCCCCGCTCCACAGCAGCGATACACATCAGGCGCAAATAAAAGACAGAAAACATTAAAGGAAATGAACCGACATGAACGATCGCGTGTCAGTACCTACGGTCTGGCACTTGAGTTTTACCCCCAAAAAGAGAATGTGATCATACGATAATTCAATAGGGAGCGTGGTTTCACAGACGCGGAAGTGATAGCGTCGGTGAAACGCCGGCTGCTCTAGGAAACCCCCGAGCGTTCGAGCGTCAACGAAGTGACACGGAAATGCCGGGCTTTCCAGAAGTAAGTAAGATAACTTACTATGAGCTGATAGTTCGTTGGATTGATCGGTAGGTTGGAAACTCTGATCGTGAATCTGAAGAAACGATGACTGAGTGGTGAGCTGGAAAGGCGACTTCCGTTTATAGCCGCGGTTTGTGACGTAGGTGCGACGTGGAGGGAATCCCCGCGAGGGGCATGCTGGGAGTCCCTACTTCGAGGATTTTCACCTATCGCGGCCAGGTCTGGAACGCATCTACCGCGATAAACGAGGGATTGCTGTAGTTCATACACCCCCTACTGCTGCTCTCCAGAGTGTTCTGCAGCATAATCAGCACGTTCTCTTTGAACTTGATAGTGTAATGACCTGGCTGGGGTTGTAAGCCAGGTGCATTCTGGGTATTGTGTTATATGTGTTTCCTATCGTTCTGCTAGTTCCTATGTGCTGATTTGCGTGTTGTGTGAGTGTTATGTAAGCCACAGGGAAGGTGATGTGTGTTCTGTGGTGCGGGTTGAATTAGCATGGTTAACTGACACCGTGACTCTGTGTGGTAGGAGCGTGATAGAGGATCGTGTCTGTAGCGTTACAAAGCGTTGAAGAAAAAGCCTAATAAATGTCTGCGTGAACCCCTACTGCCACCTGCGGATTGATTTGTGGACTTTAACTTTGCCGCTGGGACGCTCGTACTTGCTTGTTACCACATTCCATCCAGCCACAATAAGAGACCGGCCATTATTTACCTCCACCGACTCCGACACCGGCCAGAATTGGAGACGCGGCGGCCTGTATTAGAGGATTTACGGTATGATGTAAATTACTGACCTCTGTCATCCTTTTAAGTGGGAGAACTTGCACAATCGTTGGCTGACTAAATACTTTTTTGCCCCACTGTATGTATATCAGTGACATAGAACAAAATTTGTTGGATGCTAATGTGCACTTTTACGCTGATGACACACTCATTTACTGTTTTTGAACGTCTCTTAATAAAGCTGTTCAATTCTTACAGAAAGTTCTTAATAAGGTCCAACAAACACTTCTGCAGTTAAAATTGGTCCTCAATGCCGACAAGACTAAGATAATCTTTTCAAACTCTAAAAAAAGACCTCTACGTATGCCCTCAGTGAGCACTCTTGAGGGAAATATCATAGAGGTGGTCCACACAAACAAACACCTTGGTGTCTGGATCAATGGCACCCTCTCCTTCAAGCCCCATATAGATAATCTTGTGAAGAAACTCAATCTCAGACAGGGATTCCTTTAAACAGTTTTTTTAAGTAAAAATAACGACTAGTCACTGCAACATTTCTGTCTCTTCTGGATTATGCTGACCTTTTGTATAGATTGATGTAGTTTATCATGCCTAGCTGTAGACCACTGACCCATCATTGTGAATTGTATTCTCGAGTGGGATGGCCTTCTTTGTCTACCGGGGGTTGGGACATTGGTGCACTTTCATATATCCCTCCCTCATTTGTCCTATCGGGTGACCCCTTCAGGAAAGGTGACCCTTGAGCAGGGTTGATGGTTTATCCCTTGAGGTCCACATGGCAGGGGTGAGGTGGTGCTCATTCCTCACCCCTGCTTGGTCAAGATTGACCGTTTTGTGCACAGAGGGGCGACAGACATTCAAATATGATCTTATAATATAGCTTGGATGGACTTGCGCTGGAATGGATGAGGTATTTTCCAGGATTCTATGTCTCAGAGACAATTACAATTTTTTCACCCTTTGGACAAACATTACATTTACTGGTTGCCATCAGTATGTAAAAAGCAATATGGCAAAAAAGTTCCAGACTAAAAATCTCAAGATAGTACCTTTAAGGGCCACGATTTACTTGCTGTTTGACCTTGGGTTAGCGCAAGCAGCAGGCTGCTTCTTTGTTCACATAATTACTGCTTCACAGCACTGCAATGCATTTAGTACTGAAGTGTTCCAATAGGGGGCGCACTAGAAAACTCGGACCGGAAAGAGAGCCGGGTTTGTGGGAACAACCAAAACAAACACGGTGTCAATAAAAGAAGTCACTTACTGGTTAATTTTGAGATCACAACAAAAAAGACAGCAGCAATATTGTAGAAGGTGTGAAAGACTTCTAAATCAGAGACTGAGTCACCGTGGTGATTGTCCCTTGCTCGTTTTGTCAATTCCACCTACTAGTTACTTGTATATTGCAGCGTTTGGAACCGTTAATCTCACAGGAAGCACATAAATGATGCTTTCAGTCAACGCAAGTAATGTGTGGCAGCCACTTTAAACAAGCATTCGCGTCATTACACAGCAAGTTTATCACGACCCCAAAGGTCATTTGGAAGGGCTAAGAACTGATGATACTCACACTGTGGTTGACAAAGTGAGAAATGTTTCCCAGGTTAGCTGCATCCACCGTGTACACATCATCCACATAGTCAAGGTCAAAAAGGTAGGTAGAGCCCTGGCAGTCATAAAAATGGCCTCGCTTCTCCGCTTCATCAGTTGTAATGATCTGAGGAAAGCAAGATTGTGTTATTTACCTTCATTTACTAAAAAATATCATTCACATGATTATGAAAAGTTCTTTCAAATCATCTAGATTTCAGTGTTGGACTAGGACAATGATGAACAAATTCGGGAAAAGTTGCGAAGGTGGAAGAAGGCATTTCGGGTGACATTACAAATATGAGGTGCAAATTAGAGGGTGTTGTTGAGAATGACCCAGAGGCTTTTGACTTGTGTGGTGTGGTGTGAATTGGGTTAAAACACTCAATATTGTGAAGGTGGAAGAAGGCATTTCAAGTAGGGCTGCTCGATTATGGCAAAAATGATAATCACAATTATTTTGACTGAAACTGAGATCTTGATAATTTAAGACGATCTTAAAATTAATGTAATTTTATTTATCCGTTTATTTTATTTATTCTGTCATAAAATTGCACAGGGCACAATCAGGACAAAAATAAATAAGAAAAAGAAACAAAATCACCACAAAAACAACTCCGTATTCCTATTGTGTAAAAAGGCCAATTGCTCATAGTTTATGAGGCTGAGATTTCATTTATTCAAGCATGCCCAATACAGATCCAAGCTTGCAGATACTGACAGACGGACATCGGCTGCCACCAAATCCTTCGTTACTGTAACGGCGCATTTTGTTCTCTTGTCGGACAAGAACAGGTGGAAGTTAGTGTGTCACCTTCTTCAAACTCAAGAGATGAGTGAGAGTCAAAGTAGCACAATGTTGACATTTGCCCATCTCACACAACAGGATGTAGGGGGACAAGAGGGAGGGGAGGGAGTATGGGAGGACAAATGAGTATGTGTCACTCTGCTCACTCTGCTCTATTTTGTTGTGTTCGCCTCACTGTACTGAAGCTCCAGGCTGAATATATGTTCAGTTGAATTATGCACTTTTGTTCTGAAAAAATGCAACATTTTACCTTCAAATATAGCAGTTTTTTTCTGTTTCCTATATTCCAGACTGAATAAGGTGAATTTATCTATTTAATCTGTATGGCAGCTTTTTTGTAATGTTATCATGTGCCAGACTCATTAAGTTTCCATTAAATAAATTTGATGGAAGTAAAAATCTTGTTTACTTGAATTAATTACCTCATTAAATCCAGGGCTTGCCTGTTTTCAGTGTTTCCCAACAATGGAGAGGACACTAGTGTAAGTAAAGCTTTCCCTGATTGAAGTTAAGTTGGTCAAAGTGCAAATATTTACACGTCACAAAGTCATAAAATAAGAATTTGTCTTTGAAAAATAGTTAAATGTTAAAAAAATGTATTTATTTACAGAGAGTGGTTTTAGAGGAACTGAATTAATTGATAGGTTATTTATTTACAAATGTAGATAAAGAAGAAGACAATCTTTTATGAAAAAAGCAATAAAAATGTCAATAATTGAAGAATCGTGGCACCAGTAATCGAATCAAACCAAAAATCATTATAATCGAAGAATCGAAGCTCCCATAATCAAAATCGAATCGAAAAGTACCCTGTTTGAAACACCCCTAGTAGTTAACACAGCTACTCCAACATGCAGCCACCCAGAGCAGCGCGAGAATTGGAATGATTGTAGAGAAGAGTTTATTATAGCCTCATAAAATCAACCATAATGATTAAAATAATAATTATATTTAAGAAAATAGAACTGTTGTATCAGAATAAAATTGGTATCAGCAGATATCTAAATTCAGGTATCGGAATTGGATAGAAGGTGAAAAAATATGGATCGTGCCCCTACCTATCTCTTGCATACAGTGAACAAAAATATAAACGCAACACTTTTGTTTTTGTTCCCAATTTTTCACGAGCTGAGCTCAAACATCTGAAAATTTGTCTTCATACACAAAATACCCACGACTCTCAAATACTGTTCTGAAATCTGTCTACATGTGTTAGTGAGCAGCTTTTCTTTACCAAGACATAACAACTGCACTAGATGGAATTTAGCATCTTATTTTATGAAGGTGTTTCCATACTTCATTGTTAACCCTGACCAGTTGTCAACAGGTAAACCTTTTTGTCTTTTTATAGAAACTCTAAGCGGCAATTATGCAAATATAATTAAAGGTGTGGAAAACTATTTTTAAAGATGATTTCTGAATATAATCTGTCATTCATTTCATGCAGGCTGAACATGAAAACGGTCTCCTACACTTATCTCCTGCATTAGCTTCTGATAGAAAATAGATGGTGAATCTCTGGGATTAGAAAATCCTTACAGATCTACGTCACACTGTCACTTAACATTCATGGACTCATCCATCTCGATTCATGACGGGGAAGGCTGTTAGTTTAGTGGCCAGGAAACCGCAGAGAACATCTCTGCTAGTAGAAGCTAACCGTTAGCATTAGCAACTCCACCACACAGCAGAACTCTTCCAGGCTTGTGTTATTTGTGGAGATAAAATATCAATGTGCAAGTCAGTGGTAGTCGTGTTGCTGTTAACCAGTAGGGATGTATATTGGTGAAAATATGGCGATACGATACGTATCACGATACAGGGGAGACAATACACTATATCATGATATATTGCTATACATTCAGTCAGACGTTAGTGATTTTTTAAGACTGAATTTATTTTAGGAAAATTCAATACAGGCCTAACTGATACTTAACATGTTTAACATGAAGTACCTGAACCATAATAGAGGGATTTACATTTTAATGATGCAAACAAAGCCCAATGCACACTGCTGCCAATTAGCAGTTGGCATATGAATTGCATCAAAAGAAAAGAAATTGCAGAAATGTTTGCATGTAAATTCTTCCAAAAATTTGACATACGGCTTTTGAATATCAATATATTATTGCAGAAAAAAATTCATGATATAACGCCACATCGATAGTTTCTTACATCCGTATTATCCAGTCCGATGTGAGGTGTCCAAATATCAGGAAATAAGACTCCAAATCGTGTTGTCTGAAACTTAGCTGGGATGTGGCTCACTTCAAAATCTTGAAAATGGTGCACTAGTGTGTTTTTTTCTTTCAAAGTACTATCTATAAGTTATTCATTCCTATTAAAGATCATTGCAAATGTATTGATTAAACAAGTGTTCAGCACTTTTAAACAAATTTTCTAACTTTTAAACTGTAATTTAAAAATTACAGACATCACTTTGATTTTACAAATTAATTTTTCTAAGCAGAATCTCTGAAAAGGAGCAATAGATAGATTTATGGGCTGTAATCATGCAATTTATTAAAACTTTATAGGGTATGTGTTTGTGATTTATATACGTTAATACAAATGTGAAATCAATTCATGTAAAATAGTCGTGGTAATTGTGAAACCACGATTATTTCTCGGACTATAACCGTACCACCAAAGTTTACAACTGTTGCAACCCTACTTACAAGGCATTTATTCCTACTATAGAGACTACTGCAAAATAATTGATTAAATGAGTGTTCAGCACTTTAACATTTTATTTTTGACAAGATTGGTTTAGATCTTACCTCTCCCACGTACTCCATGACAAATGTGTTCTTCTTGATGTGCTGCAGTGTGCGGACACCCCAACCACGGCCGTTGTCCGTCTTAAAGATGCATAAGTCAAACTGAATCCCCTTTTGCACCACTCTGTTGGGACAGTCTTGCCCACAGTTGCACTGGGTATTACATTCATATATGGGCTTTCCCGGCTGGATTCGGACCTGACCCTTGTCATTGTAGGCCATGCGATGCAAGGAGGCTCCAGGGCAGCAGCCATTCACCGGCTCTTCGAAACAATTCTTACATTCACAACCCACAGCCATCTCATCCAACACAATGCCTGGGCCAACTTTGTAGTTGTTAATGTAAGTAAAGGTTTTAGGAGGACCTTCTAAATCCACTTCATTTTTGACAAAAATACGGCCTGGGTGGTTGCGAATCTGATTCAAATGGGCTTCCCATCTCTGCAGTCTCTGGCGTAGTTTGGCTTTCTGAACCAGGAACAATGAAACCTCCTTATCCAACTTTTTGGGAAGGCCGCGTCTCTTTTGCCGTTTTAGCATCTGATCTAGGTCCAGGTGGAACACTTTCATCAGTTCCGGACATTTGAGGTTCCTCTTGGGTTCCCAGCTATTATCGGATTCAGGAAAGCCTTTCCACTTCACCAAATAGAGCTCCTCCTGAAAAGACAACACCTTTAGTTTGTAAAAACAATTAGATTTCAATTTACAGAATTCAGATTCTTGTGCAGCTCTGACATACAAGATAAGATGATAAAAGAAGTCAAGTGTTAAACTACACTGGTCAAATCATTGGCATGCATCAAGCAGAGAAAACATCAATGAAAATAGCAGAAAAAACTAAAATTGCATTAAGGACTGTTCAACACATTAAAAACTGAAAGTGGGGACTCATCGTCTTCAAGGAAGAAATGTGGCCAAAATAATACTGAATGAATGTGATTGGCAATCAGTTGCCTAGGTCAAATAATTTGAAAGAAATACAACAGTAGAACTCAGGGCTATGTTTAATAGTGAAAGTAAGAGCATTTTCACATGCACAATATGAAGGGAACTTAGGAGATTGGGACTAAATAGCTGTGTAGCTGTAAGAAAACCACTAATCAATGAAGCAAATTGGGGGAGAAAACTTTAGATTGATTTGGAGCATAAAGATTGGACTCTGGAGCAATGGAAGAAGGTCGTGTAGTCTGATGAGCCCAGATGTACCCTGTTCCAGAGGATCAAAAGAAGGGCATATGAAGCGATGCACCCATCATGCCTACTGTACAAGCCTGTGGGGGCAGTGCTATGATTTGGTGTTGCTGCAGTTGGTCAGGTCTAGGTGCAGCAACAGGATGTGCTCAAAGAAGCGGACTACCTAAATATTAGAGCTGTAGCGAAGCGTCGATGACATTTATGACTCAATTCTAAAAATGTGTCGACGTCAGATCCGGTAGTCGACGCACCGCGCCCACTTGTTGCATCCCCAGGAGTTTGTAAATGGAGGAGGAATCTGCCAGTTTTTCCTCTAGCTCGCCCTCGTCTCTGCCTTTAACATCTCCGCCAAATACCGAAGACCCGGAACAACGTCCGTCCGCTACTAGATTCCTTTCCTGTTTTGCCCGCCTTCGTCTCCCGGCAACGGACAACTTCCGGGGTCAGATGTGCTGCTCCGTCTCTAAAGCAGATGTAGAAAATCACCGGGAGCGTTTCTCCCTTCATTAAGGAGCTTCTTTCAGACATGAGGAGAGCTGTTTTGGTGGTAGCAGTCTCTCCTCCGTGCTGGTCTGTTTGCTGCTGGGTGTTTCTGGTTTATTTAAACTTGGTAACTTGAACTTAACGTTGGTAAAGCTACTGTTAGCATTTTCACCAACAGCTTCTTGCGTTTGGATAAGCTGTTACGTTTTGGTTTAGAGTTCATCTTTTTTGTGGTGCAGATCTCCCTTTTATTACATTTAGAGTGTTGTTCGTTTTAAGTTTAGTGTAAAATATCACCGTGAGTTTGGTTTAACCGCCCAGTTTAGAGTTTGGACCTTTGGAGATCCTTATTTTGGTCCAGAACCCAATAATCTTTGCCCAGTGGGACATCCCTACTTATTTGTACTTTGTTTTAATGCTCCACGGGCAGAATTTGTTTTATTATTCCCAAATTGTGGATGGAAAGATTTATGTTTTTTGTAGTTGTAAATAAACCTGATCATCATTTTAACTTTTAAATCCCGTTATTGTCCCTTCCTTTTGCACACGAGCCAAACTCTCCAGGAAGAGTCGTAACACCACTCGCCTCACGCTCATAAGTGACCAAAACAAAGCAGCATGGAGACACTCCATCTTCTACCACCTCTCAGGCAGCAGCCTGCACTCCCAAGTTCTACACGTCACCAGAACATAACCAACTGCAACACAATAAAAGAAGTGTTGTACAAAATGGAAGGCCTGTAGTTTTTATTCTCTTACAGTAACAATTTATTAATTTTTTTGAGGAATTTCTTTGAGATTTTCTGGTTTTTGTTAATTGTGCAATAGAAAAATAATCATTAGATTAATCGTCTAAATAGTCATTAGAATAGTCGACTATTCGATAAAATAATCGTCAGAATAATCGTTTTAAAAATAATCCTAACTAAATATACCTGAATATGAATGAGCAGGTTATTCCATCAATAGACTTTTTTCTAATTGGTACAGGCAAATTCATAGATGACAATGACAGGATTCATTAAGCTCAAATAGTGAAAGAGTGTTTTGGGGAGCATGATACATAATTTTCATACATGGACTGGCCACCAGAGTCCAGCCCTTAACCCCACTGAGAATATTTAGTACGTGCTGGAGAAGGCGTTGTGCAGTGGTCAGACTCTACCGTCATCAATGCAAAATCTTGGTGAAACTTTAAATCAAATCAAATTTATTCATGAAGCGCTTTTCACACAGATGCAGCTCAAAGCGCTTTACAATATTAAAAACAGACAGCAGTCGGTTTTCCACTTCTCCCAGATTCACATACGAGATCCCCTTTGTATCCCCCTCCTCCCACCCTCAATCCCATCCCAAGCATATGCTAACTCACGCACACACACGAAAGAGAGGACTGCTGGCCCTTAACACAACACTGGATGGAAATAAATATTGTGACATTGCAGAAGCTTATTGAAACAATGCCACAGCAAATGTGTGATGTAATCAAAGTTAAAGGTTAGGGATGTTTATAGTTAACCAGTTATTTGCCATTGATGTTGTAACCAGGTAAAATAGTTTTTTTTCTTTCAGTCATGGATATATTTTGTGCCACCAGAGGGTGCAAGAGTGCCACTGTCAAAACCACAGAGGAAGAGCTAGCTCATCACATGATAACAAAATGTACTTATAAATGAAGCGGTTAGGAAAATCCACTGCATTGGAGCATTTTAGACTTGATAGTTAACAAAATGAGTTTAACAAAGTGCTGAGCATGGATAAACGGAAATAAAGCTGTGCAATAAAATGAAACGAGACCAGCAACAGGTTAAGCTTGGTTTATGCTTGACGCGTTCACTTTCCGCGCGGTGATGCGGCTCGCGGATGGAACGCGCTTCACAACTCACAGCGTTTATGGTTCATGCGGCTTGTCTCTGCGGTGAGCCAATATTCTCCCAAACTATAGGGGGCAGCATGGAGCTCTACAGCATGCATCCAACACTACACCATAGTAGAAGTAGAAATTACTGTTTACAACATGGCATATCAGCATTTTTAACAGCGTCCTCGTCTTTTCCGACAGTGCGAGTTTTTTCTCACAAAGATTGTCAAGAAAGCGTGTTTGTCGTGTTCATGTCAAATTAAACTGATCACAAAACACAGATTTACTTTCTTTATTTCGTTTTCCTCATCCAACCCCCATAAATCCCTGTGTGTCCTCCTGCAGCACTCCAGAAGGACAACAGGCAAAACAAGACAAAAAAGTCTGACGTGTTGTGTAAAAACTGCTATTTTTAGCATGTTTTTGGGTCCGACGTGTTGCTACCAGACGTACAGTGTGAGCAGTCATGTCGCATCCGAGAACTGGGTCGTACAGTGTGAGTGCATGACTCGTGAGATCTGCCCTGCGAGGAAGTCATACAGTTTGAGCTGAAGCTGAGCACTACGAGTGAAAAAGTCGCACAGTGTTCGCCCGGCTTAAGTTTAAAAAATTCTATTATAATGTGTACCTAGCAGAGGGTGAGTGTTGATCAGGTGGGGCAATTTGGTGCCACTAGTGTACTATGTAGTAAGGGTCAACCGCTTTATCGGTAGGCCGATACCGATCAGCCTCTTTAGTAGAGCCGACTTAAAGACAGGCTCCTTCGTGGGCAGCTCACTCCTGCTGGAAACCGGTGAAGAACCCCAATCCAAAAAAGTGGGAGCATTTACCTCTGAGTAAAAGGTAAGGCTTCTCTTTGGTGTTTTGAAACCCTACAACTGTATACTTACTGTGAATTCAAAGTAAAATATGAAATTATACTTAGCTGAGTAAAAGAAAAACGAGCTGTAAGAATTGCTGTTAACCGGTGTCGGTACAGGATCGGCTCGGGGTCCTTCGACTGCCGATGACGTCAAACCCACTCGGACAAAATACACTACACATCTATACTATTGGAAAGAATTTAGCAGTTTCGTTATTAAAATAATGTTTCTTAAGACGTAAGTTTGTGTTTATAATGGTATTTGTAAAATAAAACACTATATTGTATTCATAATGTTGAACTCCTCTTTGAGCACATCCCTTAAAGGATCATAGGTATTAGCAACACCTGTGAAATTGTATTTGCAGGAAACAAGTGTGTCCCGTTTATTGAAGTATTTTGTGTTTAGAGTTTTTGACGTCTTGTCCATGCGTAGTTCAGGTACGCTCATAGCTGCTAGCCAAAGCTCTGGAGTTAAAAGTGTTCTGGCTTTACTAAAATACCTGTCTGTACTTATATGATTGATGGTAGTTTTACTTTCTATTAGACTCCAAATGTAATCATTTGGCACGTTTCTAATTCATAATTTGTAAGAATGTAATCGGTGATATTAGCATTAGCATTCCTATGGGTTTTTCCACGTATATTAGCATTGCGCTAACCACTCGCTGCCAAATTGCGGCCTTTGCGATTAGAAAATCTCCTTTTGTCACATCGCAATTTAATTGCACATGCAGTTAATCGTTCAGCCCTAATATACATGCAGCTCTATGCAAAAAGTGTATTTTCAAAGAGGTAATGATGGATTTCTTTGTAAAAGTTGTCCAGCTTTACAACACAAAGATTTGCCTGGACCAACGTAACCTGATACCAACGTAACGTGATTACGTAATTCCGTAAGGTTCATGTTCAGCCAATCAACTACTTAGACATCATCTGTAGTCGACGGACCCCGAGCCGAACTTGCACCCGAGCAGATCCTGTACCGACACCGGCAGCATGCTGCTAATGCTAGGCTAGCTTGTTGTCACCTTTAGAGACCGTTTTAAACTCTCAGCTGCTTTTTTGCTTAACATATTAGCTCTAGTTTTATAAATTACATTATTGTCCTGTATGGGAGTTGGGAGAACTTCACTCTGTGTGTTTGAGAGGAGAGTCCTGCAGCAGCACCATCTTTTATTTTGAAATTTACCAGTGATTTTACACTGAAACCATGTCTGGTTTCCTGTCTAGCCCTATGTTAACTGTGGAAACTGATGCATCCCAAAAGCAGCACCTGATCCAATCTTTAGTGGCAGCGTGCCGCTTCTGGGACGGGCTGGAGATTGCTGGTTTGAAACACTCCACTGACAACATTGGACTCCATCTGAAGCAGTGAAGTTCCGTTACAGTTCCGCGCCGCCGACGCTTTCAGTGTGAAACGGGGTAATCTCTGGTCGTGGTTCTGTCATCTCCTGGCAGATTTTCACATATTTTAACAAGTTGCAAGCAGAGGACGGATCGTTTTAAGGAAACAAGGTTGTATCTTGCTGACACGATTCTGAAGAGGTGTGTTATGTTTCTAAATGACACTCGGATCAGGAGTAATTGAGGCAGGAATGTCGAATCTATGAATATCATGCTAACTTTATTTCAGTGTCACACACATGATCCAAAGCTTCTTTCACGTGATCAGGACATGGTGGGTGTAGAAAAGATGGTAAGAACATCGCTAATAGTGACAGACGTGGCGGGAATATAAGTCAAACTATTCTTCAGTTCCGCTCAAATTTACATACATCTCGTTGTGTTTTCATAGAAAATAAACATTTACAGTGCCTGTTGCGCGCGCGCGCGCACACATATTATAATAAATACCTTGCTCCTCTTGTAGTCACAAAGGAACTCCACCTCATAATCATTCAGGTTGGCTTTTCTCACTCCCAGATCCCGACAGTGAAGCTTTTCCGAGCGACACAAAACTTCCAGCTGGTCGGAAGTCAACTTACAGGGAACGTTGCAGCCTGGAACAGCATCACACAAAGTTAGAACCCGACCCAACAGCACCAGCATCACACAAAGTTAGAACCCGACCCAACAGCATCACACAAAGTTAGAACCCGACCCAACAGCACCAGCATCACACAAAGTTAGAACCCGACCCAACAGCACCAGCATCACACAAAGTTAGAACCCGACCCAAAAGCACCAGCATCACACAAAGTTAGAACCCTGACCCAACAGCACCAAAGTTCGTATGAAGTCTAAACGTATCCAGACAACCGAGAGCTGCCCACAAAATGATCTTTATAATAAAAGCCACCGTGTGGGACAAGCCATTAGGACAGTCCTTACAGACCAGGACCACCTCCTGGAGAAACCAGCAGTAACTCTGGACCGAACCGCAGTTCGCGTCGAACTCAGGTCCACGCGAGGTGAACGGAACACCTAAATAGATGAAACCGTGAGAGAAAATAAAACATCAAACCTTTCGGGTTACCGTTTAAAATTTCCGCCATGTTTCCTCACACCCGCCAAAACAGAAAGAAACCAGTTAGGCGGTCCGTCGGAGACGAGACTGAGCGGGGTGTGACGTAGCTGCTAGTGATTGGCTGAGCGTCATCTGTCAAATGTGCCATTGGTTCGTAGAATAACCTAAAATGCGATTGGCTGGTTTGAGTAAACTTAAGTCACGCCCATCTGCTTCAGGACCATGGGTCGCCGGAAGCGTCATTTTATTTATTTATTTATTTATTTATTTTTAATGCTTTATTTTTAATTTACATTTTTAAATACTTTTTCGGTTTGCAAAATACAACATATATTTTCAAAGAACTGAAAATTGCAATGTATAAATTAAATATTTTAAGGAAAGAAATTATCATTTAGAACTTACAGCATGACAATACATGAAATAAACGGATAGAAAATAATAGTAATTTAACTAAAATAAATAACAATACAAATAAAACAAAAATAAGTTTACAGGAGTTAATATCTCAGCATATTTCAAGCATACTTGATACACAGGATTGTCACTTAAAGAGTAAGAAACTCAGACATTGTTTTGTACAGATCGGTTATATATGGGTTATTTTTCTCATACTTTTAGAGATGTTTAAAATTGTTTTATTTCATTTTTTAAATGGTTAGTGTTAGGCTTGCTGTTTTTCCATTTACCCATGATGATAATAATGTTCACCATTTTGGATATATTTTTTGGTAGTGCATCCATGTATATCAACACTTTTGATTTGTTAAGTCATACATCATTTATCCCAATATTTAACAATAGATAAACATCTTTCCAAAAGCCAATTGTGACTGAACATGAGAAGAAAAGGTGTTCAATAGTTTCACTTTCTGTCATACAAAAAACTTATTTATTAATTTCACCTTTGAATCTTTTCCTTAGAGTTTGGGCAGCGGAATACATATCATGTATTACTTTGAATTGAATTTCTTTCATCATAGGTGCAATTGGCCATTTAAGATAGCTGCAAAAGGGCTTTGTTAATGCAATTTCATTATCTGTGATTTTTGTTTTAATTGATTTTTCAATATCATAGAATAGCTTTTTTTAAGCATACTTCCAAGTACTTTGTAATTACATTTTTGTTCACTCAAGTTAAATTTGCCATTTTTCAGCTCAGGAAGTTTAATTGACACATTTAAATTTATGAGTAAATGTTTTATCATGAATTTTAAGGGAAGTGGAATAGCTCTACTGATTTGTCTCTAGTTTAATTAAACTTTTGGACAAAGCACTCAAATTATAGCAAATTACCATTTTTATCCATCAAATCTGTCACGTATAGAACTTTTTTGTCATACCATTCTTTTTAAAATATAGTCTTCCTATTAATTACTATGGCTCTATTATTCCACAAGGTGGAGCTCTGCGGTGTAAAGTGGCTGAACATCTTTTTCCAGTAGAGCAGAACTTGCTTAAGGAAGTCAGAGTTTGATTGGTAATTTAGAAATTTCAGAGTCGCATTTTAACAGAAATTCTAATCCTCCAACATTTTGGAAAATATATTTTGGTATGTGAAACAATATAGAATTTGGTTGTGTTAAAAAAAGCTTTAATCCAGTTTAGCTTTACTACTCCCATTATGGCTTCAAAATCAGCAGCTTTTAACCCACCATGTTAACCATCACAGACTTTTTAAGGCCCAAAATTTCCGCACAGAGGTTCGTAAATAGTATGATTCAGCTCTCAGAGATCACCGTGATCAACATGTTGTTAATAATTCTTGTAGAGAAATAGCTCGCACTGTCGGAAAAGACGAGGACGCTGTTAAAAATGCTGGAATGCCATGTTGTAAACAACAGTAATTTTTACTTCTACTATGGTGTAGTGTTGGATGCATGCCGTAGAGGTCCATGCTGCCCCCTACAGTTTGGGAGAATATTGGCTCACCGCAGAGACAAGCCGCACGAACCATAAACGCTGCGAGTTGTGAAGCGCGTTCCATCCGCGAGCCGCATCACCGCGCGGAAAGTGAATGCGTCAAGCATAAACCAAGCTTAAGGAGCTGTAAAAAAAAAAAAAAAAAAAACAGAGACAAAATCGTGGACCTCCACAAGACTGGAAAGAGCTAGGGGGAAATTGCCAAGCAGCTTAGTGAAAATAGATCAACTGTTGGAGCAATTGTCAGAAAATGGAAGAGGCTAGACTGTCAGTCTCCCTCGGACTGGGGCTCCATGCAAGATCTCATCTTGTGGGGTATTACTGATGATAAGAAAGGTGAGGAATCAGCCCAGAACGACACGGGGGGAGCTGGTCAATGACTTGAAGAGAGCTGGGACCACAGTTTCAAAGGTCACTGTTGGTAGAACACTATGCCGTCATGGTTTCAAATCACACATCGCACGAAAGGTTCCCCTGCTGAATTCATCACATGTCCAGGCCCGTCTGCGGTTTGCCAACGACCATCTGGATGATCCAGAGGAGGCATGGGAGAAAGTCATGTGGTCAGATGCGACCAAAGTAGAACTTTTTGGTCTCAACTTCACTCGCTGTGTTTGGAGGAAAAAGAAGGAGGAGTTGCATTCAAAGAACACCTTCCCTACTGTGAAGCATGGGGGTGGAAACATCATGATTTGGGGGTGCTTTTCAGCGAAGGGGACAGGACGACTGCACTGTATTAAGGAGAGGATGAACGGGGCCATGTGTTGTGACATTTTGAGCAACAACCTCCTTCCCTCAGTCAGAGCATTGAAGACGGGTCGTGGCTGGGTCTTCCAACATGACAGTGACCCGAAGCACACAGCCAGGATAACCAAGGAGTAGCTCCATAAGAAGCATATCAAGGTTCTGGAGTGGCCTAGCCAGCCTCCAGACCTAATCGAAAATCTTTGGAGGGAGCTGAAACTTCGTGTTGCTCAGCACCGGACCCAGAACCTGACAGATCTAGAGAAGATCTGTGCGGAGGAGTGGGCCAAAATCCCTGTTGCAGTATGTGCAAACCTGGTCAAGAACTACAGGAAGCTTTTGATCTCTGTAATTGCAAACAAAGGCTTCTGTACCAAATATTAATACTGATTATCTCAGGTGTTCAAATACTTATGTGCAGCAGTGCAAAACAAATAAATTCTTTACAAATCATGTCCTGATTTTTATTTTTATTTTTACATTCTGTCTCTCACAGTGGGAATGCACCTACAATGTGGATTTCAGACCCCTCCCTGATTTCTACGTGGGTGAACTTGCAAAATTGCAAGGTGTTCAAATTCTTATGTTCCTCACTGTGCCTCTGTGAAGTACTTTAACAACTGCAAAGATGCAATGGGATCTCTGTCTCCTAATTCCAAATCTTTCCTCTCTTGTTTGGCCTTTCGCAGGGTGGCCAAATGTGGAAGGTGGCTTGGCTCAGGATCTCCAACATCCTTCAGATCTGCTGCCTTCGCCGACCACCAGCTGGTTCCATTCTGCCATCACACAGCTCTTTGACAATCTGCTCACACATGTTTCCAGACATGAACCGCTTGGAATGGCCAGAGAGCAGGGAAATATCTGTGTTTCTAATAAATAAAATAAAAGAGAAGATTGTCTTGATCCTTGCTCGGCAGATGTTTAAAAGTAGTAGTAGTAAAAGTAGTTAAAAATAAAGCACAGGGACTGTTGTAGGGAGCCTAAGTTTCCTCCCCTTCTGATCAGCTCATCTGTCCCCAGAAGACTGAAAAAATTAGGTCAACGAGGTTAAAAGTTATTTCCTAATCCGCGTTGCCTTGCTCCCTGGATCCCATTGATGTTATACTTCAATTTAAATGAAAACTAATGTTGGGTATTTCGACCATGCCTGTCACGTACTTTGAGATTTATCAGCTTGTAAAAGTTCAAAATTAGCATGGCTACAAACCAGAAATAGGTACGTCACCACATAATCTCTTCTCCTTTAGCGTAGCTGCTACTGACCACATGACCAGATTTATGGTGTTTCTTTCCTCCCGAAGGAAGGATTTGAAGTTTGCTGAACTTACAGCCATTTTCCCCCGTTTTTCAATGTGCCTGGTTTGATGGTGTCACTTTGGTGAAATGCATTTGTAGTCCTGGACTTATTTTCACACAAAATGTAAAATAGTGTTTCCCCCGTTTGAAAATAAACACTTTCTTGGTATCAAAATGCGTCTTTAAATTTCACGGACATCATATGTGAAATCCATGGCGGCCCATAACAAACGGAACTACAAAATTGAGTTTTTACCATCAACATATATACAGATCGACAGATCTAAGCTTGTCCATTCTGAAACATTGATTGTAAAAAATGTTTCACCCACGTGAGAGCTGAATCACACACCTGCAGAAGAGGAAATGAGCACGCGCAGAAAAAGATCAGACGTGTCACATGTTGGTGTGCAACTTCTCACATTCTACTGCACATACACACATACACAATTTTCAAGCTCAAATCATGTCGTACAAACACACACAACAGATCTACAAATGTGTGCATTTTGAAACTGATTGACACTCAAAGTTGGTATAATATTTTATGTTTAATTCTTTAAATTCTTTGGAGGTTTAGTATCTGCTGGTATTAGTTTGCCTGGTCCACACTCCACTCCAGTATGTGGCGGTAATGCACCTTGACGTTGCGTGCAAACCGCCAGAAAACTTTATGAAGAAGAAGAACAGCTTTTGTTTTGAAAAGCCTCGCCGGATGTGGAGGCTTTCTAGCTTGAGCTGACTCAGCTGGCTGGTCGGGTTTCAAGAGTTGGAGGAAGCCGTGCCAATCGAAGACCATCTCGACGTGGAGCTAGATCTGTAGGACGTTTAGTCAACACCCCGCCGTCCTCCTGGCTAACTATTGGTTTTCATGTAAGTCCACCCTTCATCTAAGAAGAGGAGCTGTGCTTTCAAACTGACGCCATGGACCCCGCTAGTCATGGTAATTGTTAGCTTATCTAAGAGGTCCACTTAGGTTAGCTCAGTGTCTGAAATGCACCAGATCAATTTAAGACGGTGTTTCAGGAACTCAGACGGTAACCAGATGTTTCACACAGTGCGTCTGAATGTGTAACTTGTGGACAGAATGTTGTGTTTGGGCAGGGGTGGAGGATGGGCCCGCTGCTACTTGACAGAGGCAAAAGCAGGTGGAGTGAAGGGCGGATCGGATCGAATTACTGAGGCTTCCTGGTGTTGAGTGGAAATGTGTTCTCCTGTCAGAAACGGCGATACCTCCCCTTCCAATCACTGCCGTCAAGCCAGCCGTCCTTCGATTTTTCAGGCGCGGCTACAAGACAGTCTTCGGTCGAGAGTGCCTTTCAAAATAAAAGCGCACTTATAGGTTGTGTATCTGAACGTGCTGATGAACTTTTTCTAAGTTTGTGTAAAACTTAAGATAAAACTGCGTTTTAATGATTTGATCTGTTTAAAAATACACTTAATTACAAGACTGAAAACGATTAAAACGTGTTTGTTAAATTGTGTGAAAGCTCAAACTGTTTTAATGATTTTATTTATTTAAACTTTAAATTAAAAGACCAGTTAATCGTTTTTGAAAAACTGTGTGCAAGATAAAACTACATTTTTAATTATTTAATCTATTAAAATACCTTTAATTAAAGAAATGATTAAAATGTTTTTTGGTGTAAAGTTGTGTGCAACATAAAACTGCGTTTTTAATGATTTGATTCATTAAAAAAATACTTTAAATTAAAATAAATAATTTCTGTACTTTGCAATTCTTATACATCTGTGGCGATAGAAGAGGGATCAATAGATACGGCGTGCTCCAAACACGCTGTAACCTTTTACTTTGTTCAGGGAGCAGCCAACAGTTGTCAACAACGCCACCACCTTGGGAATTTCACCCAAGGAAGTAAGTATCAGAAGGCACATAGGTTCATTCCACTAAATGAGGCATGGGACGTGGTTGGTTCCAAAATTTACAATTCATTTTATTTTAGAAATAAGTTTAAAAAATATATAAGTTTAATATGTTTGTGTTTAAAAGCGGCAAAAAGACAAACAGGGAATAAAACTTGCAGGACTGAGACCAACTGGAGGAGGGAATGGACACACGGGGTGATGAATCCCAAAAAGAAACAAGCACAAGAAAATATAATAAAGTCACCCCAGGCAATAGTGAACATTCACGCCAACGTGAGGGAACCCAGCACCAGCACACGCACAAAACGGGACCGCCACCACCGAGGCCACCTTTACCACTTCCTGTCCTAGCCTGCGCAAAAGAAAAGGAGAGCAAACAAACAATCACTAAAACTATTTGGATAAAACACGGTTGTTTTCCCCACTGGACCCCCACGCTGAGAGTGGGGAGCCTCCAACGATGGACAGAGGTCCGTGTAGAGACCACAGGATGGGGAGAAACTTAAAATGAATGAGTAAAATAACTAAAACGAAACAGCAGCGCCACCAGCCAGTCCACAGAGTGTAATCTAAAAGAACACAAGGAAAAGTCAAAGTTAACAAATTATGCTTTTGACCAAGTCTGGAGAAGTTGAGGCCCACACCTACCAGTCCGCCAGCTAGTATCATCTGGGCCGCAAGGAAGCTTCCCCGCCCGGCAGCGCACAGGTATTCAACACCTGTCCTAGTTGTAACACCTAGAGCTTGAGTTGGATTAATTCAGCTCGCATGCTGTCCCCTGCAGGAGCTACATACCTTTTTTTCCCAATGCTCAGTTCACTCTGGGATGAGCGGTAGCGCCACGCCCAGCACAAAACAAACAAATGCCCAAGCTGTTGAGTTCACAACACAGTTTGAGTATGGTTCTCTTTAGAGCTGGTTGATTAGCCAGTAGAGTACATACCACCAAAGCAGAGCCGATCGCCTACTGAGGCACAGTTTGAGGACAGCAGCTGACGCCAGAGTGCAGCAGGTTCCTTAGCATGCTCCAACAGTGAGCAGAGCCCCCTTTTATACTCGCAGCGCCCCCATGAGTACGGAAGCCGGTATGCGCCAACCCACATAATTTGGAGCAGGCTTGTTTCATCCTGCTACACTTCCCCTCCCGTTCATCCTGATCTGATGTGGCATTTCGAAATAAAGTTTCACTATATTCAACGGTTTCTTTCTCACAATCTGTCTGATTCCACAACATCATTCCACCTCAGAAGCCACGTGAAACGGTTTACTCGTGGCAATCACAGCACTCAACTGCACACCGGGAGAGTCTCAGCAGTGAAGCGGCTCCTCTGCCGTGCTCCTCGCTTGACTCGTGAGATCAAGCGGTTGCTCGAGACTTTGCGGTTGTGGTTTGTTTATGCAATCCGCCATTAAACCAAAACGAAGGGACTCAGATTGTTATGGCTGATGTCATATAAGATGTCAATCCTCTCCACTGCCAGGAATAAAGACATGAAAACACATCGCTGCACATCCGGAACAACGCTGTGAGTAAATAAGCCATTAGGCCGGACGTAAGCTTCAAATACGTGAAAGTGCATCCCTGCATTACTTTTATTTTGAAAATTACTGGGGATTTTGCACTGAAACCGTGGATGATTTCCTGCCTAGCCACATGTTAGCTGCGGTAACTGGAGCATCCCAGAAGCGGCTCGTGGCAAAAATGGAACGTGATCCCATCTTTAAAGGCGCGGTGTGCCGCTTCTGGGACACGTGTGAAAATTGCTGCGCCGCAGCTGGTTGGTGACACTCCATAGACTACAATGAATTCTATTTGAAGCGGTGATGTTCTGCGCCACTGATGCTTCTAGTGCGCAATAGGGGTCAGATCATAAAGTTATGCCCGATCCCAATCGAGTCTCAAATCACGTGATCTGGACAGATTTCCGATCATGTGATCGGATCGGGACATCCCTAGTTGAATTGGTGTTTAGTTTGTGTGTCGTTGAGAAGGGCATGGGTTTTATTAGCAGGCTGCAGTGTTAATATCTTCTTCTCTCAATGGCAGATATCAACCTGAACTCTCCTAACAAGGGGCTTGGTATGAACCACGCTGAAGGCCCGTCCGATGTGCCTGCAGAGGGAGCAGTGGGGAACTCCCCTCATCCCCCACCGCTCGGCTTGACAGAGGCAGAAGCTGAGGAGCTCCACATTGAACTCACTAAGGTCAGCAGCCTGTAGACTAAGGTAGGGTCAGGTGTGTTCCACCTGAAAATTGTGTGAAACTTTGTATTAGATGAAATGATTATAAATGTAGTATTTCCCTTCCATAGGATTTGCTGTAGCTTAGGGACATGCCTACAAACTGTCTGTATATATATTTTTGACGGGGACATCGTCAATGCTTCAACTGTACTTGCACTGCTTCCAGAACAGTCAGCAGAAACCACTCCGTTGTTGCACGCGTGCAAGCAGCAAGAGGGAGGAAGTGGGGCAGTTGTGCTGCAGTTTCCAGCAGCGCACTTAGTGTTGAGTTCAGAGAAAGGTAGCAGTGGAGTTAAGTGCTCGCCCCGTAATCGGAAGGCTGTGGTTTCGAGCCCCACTCAGTCTGTCGCTGTCGTTGTGTCCTTGGGCAAGACACTTAACCCACCGTGCCTGCTGGTGGTGGTCGGAGGGACCGGTAGCACCAGTGCTCGGCAGCCTCACCTCTGTCATTGCGCCCCAGGGCAGCTGTGGCTACAATGTAGCCCATCAGCACCAGGGTGTGAATGGGTGAATGACTGATAGTGTTGTAAAGCGCCTTGGGGATCCCAGGACTCTAGAAGGCGTTATATAAAATATAGGTAAAAAAAATGTTCTCGTTTTCTCTGCATTTCTAACGTATCGGATCAGGACCCGGTATCGGCAGATTCTTAAAAGCAAATGACTCTGAATCGGTTCGGGAACAAAAAACATGATCAGAACATCCCTAGATTATATGATAACCTTGGATTTATTTTATCAGTCCTTAAATCCTGAAAACTTACCTGTTGATATTACAAATTATAGGTTTATTAAATGTTCAGTTGCATATATTGCAATCTTCCTGCATTTGGTAGCAATTGGAGCCGTCCCTGCTGTTCTCTGAAGGCCAGTCAGAAGCCGTGAAGATCTGAGGAAGTGAAATGACTGGTGTGTCTGGTGTTTCAGGTAGAGGAGGAGATCAATACCCTGCGTCAGGTGCTGTCAGCCAAAGAGAGACACGCCGCCGAGCTGAAGAGAAAACTGGGTCTCCGTCCGCTCGACGAGTTTAAGCAGAACCTCACCAAGAGCTGGCAAGATGTACAGACATCCAATGCGTAAGTGTCAAAACTTTTTTTAGTTAAGGGTCATGTCAAGTACGTGTGGTGGGGATGTGCATAGTTAACCTGGTTAATTGCATTAATGCTGTAACCCAGTAAAATAGTTTTGCCCAGTTAACTGCCAACAAGGCTCTCTTCCTTCTGGTGTGCATGGGTGCAAAATATTCGTAGCCACCAGCGTGCGAGAGCGCCACTATCAAAAGCACAGAAGAAGAGCTCGTCACATCATCAAATAAATTCAGTCAAACATAAAGCGGTTAGAAAAATGCACAGCGTGGGAGCATTTTAAATTAGGTAGTTAACTAAACCAGTCCAACATCAAAGGGCTGAGCCTGGAAAAACACGGAGATAAAGCAGCGCAGCAAAATGAAACGAGACCAGCAACAGGCCAGTCTGCCATGACTCCTGCTCTGTGACAGCTCGGTGTCTGCCTCCTCTAGTCTGTTTGGCAAAATAAAGAAACTTTGGTGTAATTATTTAGTTCAATGTAAGAGAAAAAAGGGGAAGTGTTTTTTTAAAAGTGTGACCTGCTGAATGTGCTGACGAGCAGCGCTGTGATGTGAAGGCCCATCACGTAACCGGTCCTGACTGACTTTTCAGCTCTCATCCCACTAACATTGTTTTTAGTTTATGAATGTTGTAACGAGGGCGGGACTTTGGTTCAGCGCCAGAATTATGTTCAAAGTGTTTGTACTATTTATAGAGCGAGAGAAAATATTAGTTTCTCTTAGTGTGTGTGTGCGTGCGCGTGTGTGTGTGTGTGCGCTCCGTGGAGCGGGGAAGGGGATGGGTTGGCGCTGGGCAAAATATCGATACTTTTAAAATATGGTACAGACAATTAAAATAAAATAGCTCGGTTAGTTTAACCCTCCCACTGTCCTCATGGGTGACCCCGCCAGGAAAGATGACCATTGAGCAGGGTTGATGGTTTATCCCTTGAGGTCCACGTGGAGATAGTAATCTGTACAATATTGGGTGGGATGCTAGCACGAGTTTAAGCTAGCATCGTTAACTCACCTGCTGCTCCCCGCTGCGTCTCCTCTCTCTCTGCTTTGGCCGATCGTTTCTCCCTCTGGTTTGTCTCTGCTCTCTGGAAACGTTGAGCAGACTCATAACTTTATGGTTTTGGTCCAGCTGAAGTAGAATTATAAACATTTCAAGTTTCCTCTCTGTCATTTGAATGCATATCTTTCTCTGGATTAAGCTAACAGGACTCCCTCAGCTGACGTCACTTGGTTTTGCAAAAAAATAAATAAATTCTCACAAAAATGTCTCTAAATGCCTAAATAATTTATTCATGTGTAAAAAAAATGTTTAAAACGAGTTTCTATTATGTTTCTCTAAACATTGGTTCATGGGAGTCTCTAACCTGCAACGTGCTCTTTAAATGTTGATGATTATAACTGACAAGGAAAATCTCATATCCAGACCCACCTCATCACTGCAGACGCAGCTCCAATCTGACTATTTCTTCCCTCACCCATGAATAAGACCCCAAGATACTTAAACTACTCTACTTGGGTCAGGGCTTCATCCCTGATCCAGAGAAGGCATTTTACCCTTTTCCAACTCAAGACCATGGTCTTGGATTTAGAGAAGCTGATTCTCATCCCAGCTCCTTCACACTTGAAAGCTGGAGATCATGTTCTGATGAAAACCACCAAAACAGATCTCCTCAACAACTTGGCTGCCCCTAGAAATCCTGTCATTGTTATTAACAGAAGTGGTGATAAAGGGCAGCCTTGGCAGAGTCCAACTCTGACCGGGAATGAACCTGACTTACTGCAGGCAATGCGGACCAAGCTCTTGCGCCGGTCATACAGGGAACCAACAGCCCGTATCAGAGGGCCTCAGAGCTGTAACAGTGTTAGCTTATCGCACCGGTGCTATGAAGGTCGTAGGTTTTGTAGCACAGAAAAAAAGGTTGTAGCACCAGCATTACAAATTTGTTACAATCTCTAAAAAGCAAAATTAGTTCTTATAATTGCTTAAACACACTAACAAACACTAGTGCATATAATTAAAACACAATAAGGACCACCAAAGCAAATTCCTACGTTCACACTGCAGGCATAAACGCATCAAGTCCGCTTTTTTCCTCACATGCGACCCATATGATTTTTTTATGACAGTCTGAATGGCACGGATCTGATTTTTTTTTTTTTATGCGATCCGTGTCACTTATACGTTGTACTAATTCCGACGCACATCTGATGCTTTTGAAAGCGGCTGCAGTCTGAACGGTCATGTACACAAAAATAAACAATCAATGATGAACAAGCGTCTGCTTCTAGACCTGCAGGAAGAAGAAAACAAAAACACAAAACAAAGGGACACACAACAATACAACAAGAGCAAGCCATCGCTGCGTCAAACTGATGAGGAAATATACAATTTACCTTAGTTTTACTGAACAATCACAATAATAAATCACAGTGCATTTAGTGCCATCCACAGCCCTAAAACATGTGTTGAACGTGCCCAAGTCTATACTTATGAGAGCACCATACGCGCTTGTATGTGTAAGGTTTCTCTATAGGCGCGTCCAACAGAGAGTGTGAGGGGCCACAGATCTGCTCCCCAAAGATGTGTAGAAGATGTAAATGAGCTCCAAGTCCCAGAGATCCAGCAGCTGCCCCAGAGTGCAGGGACCCCAGGGAGACTAACCAGACAAGCCCCGCCCCCCTCTCAAGAGGCGCAGAGGATCTCCCCGGGGGTCACAACCAGCAGTCAGAGTCCCGGGAGAAATCAGCGGCAAGCCCACAGGCCCACCCGCAGCCTCCCACCCCCAAGCCGGCCGAGTCCGGAATCTAGCGACCTGGGACCCAGGGGCGACCAGCCCCGCCAGGGACCCAACAGAGCCCAGAGACTCAGATCCCACCAGACAGCCACCAGGATCAACCAGACAGATGCCAAAAATCTTAAGCTCCCTAACACGGGAGCCGCAAACACTCCGGCAGACCAAGGCCGGGGTGACACTAGTACAGACTTAAACACGCTTGTTGAATGATTTGTGCAAAAATCGGATTTTTATTTCACTTCCACAAAACGCTAATTCTAGATTCGATATTACAAAAAACGGGACGGTTTGCCATCAAATGTAAAAGCTGTCCCGTCCAAAAAACTGCCATGGAATAATTAATGATGAGACTGCTCCAAAAGTGAAAGTAAAACGTGATACGTAACCCTCTCACTGTCCTATCGGGTGTCCCCTCCAGGAAACGTGACCATTAAGCTGGGTTGATGGTTTATCCCTTGAGGTCCACGTGGCAGGGGTGAGGTTGTACTCGCTCCTTATCCCTGCCACGTGGACCTCAAGGGATAAACCATCAACCCAACTCAAAGGTCACGTTTCCTGGAGGGGTCACCCATGAGGACAGTGAGAGGGTTAAGTAGATGAGCAGCGGTAATGTGCAAGTGTGTGTCTTTAAGTCATTATCCTGCTGTTGTTTCTTCAGATATCGGTCTGCCTCAGCCACACTGGATGACATTGCCCATTCTGAAGCGTGAGTTGACCTTTTTGTGCTGTTTTGCTGTAGATGAGCTAAGGTTTCCTTCTGTTTGGGCGATTTTTCTCTATTTCTCTGCAGCTTTTATGATGGATTTCAGATTTAACTCTTATCCTTTAACATTGTTACAGAAATATGGGTGGTTGTAAAGTGTTCCTTTAACCAGCCCGAGGAAAGAAGCTATCTAAAGATATTCTAAACTTTTATAATCAGATGGTGGTTAATAAAAAGCAAAGGTCAGCTTATGGGTCAGAGGTCATTAACCTCACAGCCTCTGGGTAGACGCTTTTCTTTCGCCCTTTTGTCTGGTCTGTGACAGTTCCTGAACTGGATTGGTGTGGTCATCATCATGTTCTCTGCTCTGGTTCTGCTTCTGCACCCATGTTCTTCTCCTAATCTAATGTTCTTTACTATTAAAGATGTGTTTATTTCCTGCAAACCACAATGAGAGTTGTCCCACAACCTGCGCCACTCCCCGCGGCCCCGCCCCTCTGCACATTTCCCTGTCTGCGTGCTATCACCCCATAACCTAATTGACTTGGAGAGACAATTGACCAAAATATTTTGGTCACCTGAATCTATTGGGTCTAGGGGAGGCAGTTATGTATAAAATCTGCAATTTTCTGAATAGAATCTATTTCATGATGAAAAACAGGCAAAATATTTAAGGCCTATTAGCCACACCCACTTTTAAACTATTTTCCAAGTATGGCTTTAGGATATGCTTATGAACATGTGTGCCAAGTTTTGCGGAAATTCATCAAGCAGTTATTCTAATATAAACTTTTGGACCCGTTAGCGCCTCCTATATGTGAATTTGAACAAAAGTTAATGCACCTGGATAACAACAATTTTTTATAACAACCCAGAGTCTCATCAATTAATCTTAAAATATGTTGATTTTGTCAGTTAAGTCATGTGCTAGCTAGCGCAAAGAGTTTTGCATTGCACTGTTTGCAAAATGTTAATATTTTTGTAAATTTCTTTAATCACAGGTTCTTTGTCCTTGCACCATATTTACCAAGTTGACTTGACAAAAAAAATTAACAGAATGATCACTATAGCGAGGTTTTGTATTATTATTATTATTATTATTATGTATTTATTTATTTTTCGAAGTACAAAAAAAATCTCTAAGCAAAATTTGTGGGGCCTTGATCAAGTAATGGAAAATCACCCAGCAATAAACAAGCTGTTAAGATTTTGAGGGATTAGGTCTATGGATGGATGATTATCAACCAACGCGCATTTTCTTTTGCAAAAGCACCTCTTGATGTTTTGAGGTATATGGTTATTTTTATGGTTATTTTGGTTGGGTTTTGGTGATATTTGTCTACTAGACTGTTGGTGGCGTTACTTCCTTATTCATTTATCTGCAGGCAGCAGATGGCCTACTTCCAAACAACTGGAAGGCTTTGCCATGTCCCAGTGACCCATTGTCCGCTACGCTTTGTGAGTTCTTCATGGAGGACATGGAGCTAAAAGCCATAGCTGCTGCCCCCCTTAAACTGCAAAATAAAATTATGGAAACAAAATGTGGACAACATAATAGAAATCATTCCAAAAAGACAGAGACCTTAAAAGAACACCTGAACAGTAATGATTGACACAAACAACATCAAATACATATTTGATAATTATAATTCTTCGTCGTCCCCCACCAAATGAAAAGGAAAACCCACTTATCCCATTCCTTAAAACGATTCTCACTTACCTCTATCGGTAAGGTTCTAAACACATAATAAGCGAGGTAGTATATTCATTTTGACTGCATTTATCCTAGATTTCAATTTCATAAAAGGAATTGGAGACCATCTGTGCAGATCAGATTTAATGGTCGCAGATATGGGATCGTAATTCATTTGTGCTAATTTAGAAACATCTTTTGTTACCAGTATTCCCAAATATTTAATTGAAACGGCTTCCCAATTTAGAGAAAACATTTGCCGGCGCGTCTTCGCCGATAAGTTCTCAAACTGTGCTACTAGTGTCATTAAAACCATAAATGAGTTCCCAGGGTCATCTAGGAAGACCAACACGTCATCATCATATTATTATTATTATTATTCTGAGCTACTACAGCAATCGATTTCCCTCTGGGATTAATAAAGTATTTTTTAATTGAATTGAATCTGCGAACATCACCACCTTCTGCTCCTCTCCTGACGTTGCAATTCCTTTAACTGACACGGATTGTCTTTTACATTGACCCAGAGGTTCTATATAAAGAGTGAAAAGGAGGTGCGAGATCGGGTACGAGATGTCTCATACCTCTCTCCAGTTCAAACGAGTCCAATAAATCCCCATTTTTCTGAATCCGTGGTCTCAATTTATTGTATAAGGATTTTATTATTGTTACAAAAAATTTCCCCAAAGCCAAATTTCAATGTTCAATGTTTATCCATGTTGGATAAACCCTGTTTGATCCAAATTGATAAATCCCGGGAGCAAACTCTCTAACCTATGTGCCATTGTGGTTGTAAATATTAAAAAAAACTAAGTTGAGGACACTCTCTGGTCTGTAACTGCCGCATTTTCTTCATCTTTCCCAGCTTTTGTAATAGCCAAAATAATTGCATCCCTCCAAGAAGGGGGAGTACCCCATTTAACATCACATGATTGAAAGTGCTCAACAGGTGTGGAGACGGTTCTTATTTAAAAGCCTTATACAACTCCACCGTATACCCATCTGTCCCGGATCTTCAAATTGTTTATGGCCAAATCCAATTCTTTGCTTGTTATCGGTTGTAATAAATCCTTATTTTGAGAGTTTGAAATACTTGGTAAACGTAGAGACTTCAAAAAGTTGTCTATTCTCATTTGTATTTAAAGAATCAGAATAGAGAGTATGATTTTAAAAAAACTCAAAACTTTCTTGTATCTTCTCCAGTTAAATTTCTATCTTTTTAGTCATTTTTTTTAAATTTATTTTATGTATGGTATTTTCCATTTCTTGCTTTCAAAGTTTATATACCAATAGCTTTGCTGATTTCCCCCCTATTTTGTAATACTTTTGCCTTAAAAAAAGTTATTCTCAAGCGTTTCCTCAGAGAAAATGTCATTTAGAGTTTTTTAATAGAATTTTTTTGGCTCTATCTGGTTTAATACTATCCCTTACCAACAGCTTTTTAAATTCATCCTGTAGCTCCTCAGTTTCTCTTCCCTCCTTTTCTTCAAACACTATGAGAGAGATGAATTTACCTCTTAAAGGTGCTGTAAGGAATATTGAAACAAGCTAGGCCCAGCTAGCCAGCGTACACACACATGGTCCCTGAACTTTCACCCCTCCCATCGGGTATAGGGAGCCCAAGTCTCCCTTTTCTGTCGGCTCATGGGTCCCGGAAGAAAGAAAAAAATGAATGCATGTGTAGCGCTTTAAGAGTGTCACTCCTAAAAGAGCGCCCTAGGTTAAATAAAATTATATGGAAAAAACAAAGTTTCAGATAAAAAGTTAACTACTCCCTGGTTAGCTGTAGCTAACTCTTGGCCTGTGTGATGAGAAATAACATGAAAAACAAGTTGTTCTTAATGTTCTGACCCACAGCAAGGAAACAGGGTGTATTTATTAATTATATATATGCTTTTTTTTTTTTTTATGAGACAAATTTACCATACCCGTTTACATCCATATCTAGATAAAACGGCAAAAAACACAAACCCTCTCAAAACGAGACGCATTTTATGGGGCCCCATCAATCAAATGATAAATGACTCACACTTGTATAGCGCCTCTCAGAGTAAGAACTTCAAAGCGCTTTACACTACAGTGTATCATTCATCCATTCACACACTGATGGTGATGAGCTACGATGTAGCCACAGCTGCCCTGGGGCGCACTGACAGAGGCGAGGCTGCCGAGCACTACTGCCACCGGTCCCTCCCCGAGGTGCGCCCAGGCCGCCACAGTCGACCACCACCCCTGAGGCAGAGGGCCCCACACAGAGGAAAACACTGGCACGAACAAATAAGTAACATCTAAAATTATACGAGCTAATATGGATAGTAAAATAACTAAAAAAGTGATTAAAAGATAGTAAAACACTAAGACATAAATGTCTAATACAACTAAAATATAAATAATAAAATAAAAATAAAACAAGCAATGAAACTAAAAACAGATATCAATTAAAAGCTATGGTAAAAATGGGGAGTCTTAAGTCTTTTTTTTTCCCTCCCGTGTCCTGTCTGGCTGTGAAGCAAACAGAATTGATGTCTGAATGCTGGTAACAAGCCTTACAGATTTACTCTCAGGTGGAGCATCAACGCTGCTGCTTTAATGTCACACCTGATACTTAAAACTTTATTGTTATTGTTTTTGAATGCTTGTAATTCCGACCAGACACGGAGACAGAGGTGAAAGAGAAAGGAAGAGACAGTTGGGGGTGGGGGTGGGGGTTCCACAAAAATAAACAATCAATGATAAACAGGGTTTGCTTCTAGACCTGCAGAAAAGGGACACACAACAATACAACAGGAGCAAGCTATCACTGCGTCAGCTTGATGAAGAAATATAAAATCAACATTGTTTTACTGAACAATCACACACTAATAAATCACAGTGCATTTAGTGCCAACCACAGCCTTAAGGCATGTTGAACGTGCCCAAGTCCATACTTGTCATAAGTCTGCTCTTAAAAACATGAACATTCTCTACAACCCTGAGGTCCTCTGGCAGCCTGTTCGAGAGACGAGGGCCATAAAATTGGAAGGACGCCTCACCAAGGGTGTGCATCCTGACTTTTGGAATCACAAGGAGACGGCTGCCAGAGGAGTGCAGAGGTCGTGAGGGTTCGTAAGGTAAAAGCAGTTCCGAAAGATAAGAAGGCCCAAGACCATTAAGACACTTAAAAACCATTAAGAGAACCTTAAAATCGATCCTGAAACATACGGGGAGCCAATGCAACGATTCTAAAACTGGGGTAATGTGCTCCCGCCTCCTGGTCTTCATTAGGACACGTACTGCTGAGTTTTGTAAAAGATGCAAGCCTGAAATGCTCTTTTTGGGAAGACCAGAAAGCAGGGCATTACAGTAGTCTATTCTGCTGGTGATAAAGGGATGCATCAGTGTCTTTGTATTGGCCCGAGAGAGAAGCGCGGACTCTGGCGATATTCTTAAAAGGATAAAAACCTACTTTTGTGATGTATTTTATTTGTGGGATAAAAGTCAGCTCAGAGTCAAAAATCACACCCAGGTTCTTCACTTGTTCAGAAGGATAAAAAGACAGAGATTGTAATTTCGGTTAAAGTTTCTCTCTCTGGGCCTCAGGACCGATGACTAAAACTTCTGTTTTTTCCTGGTTGAGCTGGAGATAGTTTTATGCCATCCAGGATTTGATGTCTAAAACGCAGGTAAAAAGTGCGTCCATTGGCTGTGTGTCGTCAGGAGACACAGTTGTACAACTGTGTCATCAGCGTAGCTGTGGAAATTCACCCCGTGTCTCCTGACGACCCCGCCAAGAGGGAGCATATAAAGGTTAAGAAGCACTGGGCCTAAAGTTGAACCCTGGGGCACACCACATGTAATCCCATGAACCATAGAAGAGCAGGTATCCAAACTCCCCATAAAAGTCCTGTCTGTGAGGTAGGATGTAAACCATCTGTGAACAGCACCAGAGAGGCTGATCTGTTTTAAAGGAGTTGAAAGAATAGTGTGGTCTACTGTGTCAAAGGCAGCACTTAGATCCAGATCCTATGGTTAAAATCTGATGTTAGCCTAGATCTGGACAAGTGGGGGAGTAGAGGGAGGTGGAGTGTACAGTCGGTAAAGACGGCTCTCCCTTGCCCTGACTCCAACATGCCTCCATCTAAATAGGATAGATTATCCAGAGTTATCTCTGTAGTTATGCTGCTATAGGCTTAGACTGCTGGAGGACACACTGACCACGTTCCACACTCTACTGCTTTCTTCTACTATCTGCTCTTTAACTGTATTATTTCCTGCTATTTCAGCTGTTAACTTAATTTTCTCTCTAAGTGTTTTTCTCCCCAGAAGAAGCTACAACGATGTTCTGTTGAGCTGTGGTGGCCTCATGGAGGGGGCCATCGACTAGCACACTGCTGCTAACCACTAATACATTCTCTCTCTCCTGATAATAACTTTTTGCTTTCCTAGACATTGGACGTGCTACTACTAGTTTACCCGTTTAATTATAGATCCACTAGGATAAATACAATAAAGTTTTTCTCTCACCAAATAGAATATTTACTAAGAAATCACAATATAACCATAGACACATTACTTGGCAGAGGTGTGACCAAGTCACTGCTTTGCAAGTCACAAGTAAGTCACAAGTCTTTCCAGTCAAGTCTAGAATCAAGTCCAAGTCAAAGACAACTAAATCCAAGTCGAGTCCAAAATCAATAATGTGGAAGTCCAAGTCAAGTCCAAGTCCTTAACTTTGAGTTTTCAAGTCATAATCAAGTCTTCTGTCCAACTTCAATGTAATGACAATGATGATGAATAAATTCCAGAAATAAAATTTCATAAAGCTTAATTTATTTGCTCAAACAAGCAGGAAGTGCAACTGAAACTGATCATGAACAAAGTGCTGCTGCATTTAGCAGTAAATCAAACCCAGAACGAAGAATGATTTATAATTTTTGTCCATGTCGGGCCACTTTTGTGCTAAAATATCAAATATGCTCAAGTCATCAACAAGTCAACAGATGCAAGTCGATTCAATATGCAAGTCATTGTCGTCAACATTAATTATTCCATGGCAGTTTTTTGGATGGGACAGCTTTTAAATATGATGGCAAACAGTCCCATTTTTTGTAATATTGAATCTAGAATTAGCGTTTTGTGGAAGTGAAATAAAAATCCGATTTTTGAACAAATCATTCAACAAGCGTGTTTAAGTCTGTACTAGTGTCACCCCGGCCTTGGTCTGCCGGAGTGTTTGCGGCTCCAGTGTCAAGGAGCTTAAGATTTTTGGCATCTGTCTGGTTGATCCTGGTGGCTGTCTGGTGGGATCTGAGTCTCTGGGCTCTGCTGGGTCCCTGGCGGGGCTGGTCGCCCCTGGGTCCCAGGTCGCTAGATTCCGGACTCGGCCGGCTTGGGGGTGGGAGGCTGTGGGCAGGCCTGTGGGCTTGCCGCTGATTTCTCCTGGGACAACAGTACTACTTTTACTGGATTTGATGGCAGCCTTTGATACTGTAACATTAAAAATAGACTACATATTTATTAAAAATGACCAATAAGATTTGATAATTCCATATAACTATGAAATATGAAATCTTATTGGTCATTTTTAATAAATATGTAGTCAGTCTTTAACGCTACATTTATGGCAAGCCAGGCAGAATCACACAATCCTACTGCATCATTTACAGCAGTAGCTTGGCCCTCCAGTGGTTGTAATCCTGTCTGGTCAATAGGAGTTTTTGTGTTTGGAAGGAGGAGCCACCTCGTTCTGGGAACACCTCAGTTGGGGGGGGGGGGCTCACAAGACTCTGTCCTTGGGCCCCCTTTTGTTTATGATCCATCTCCTACCATTGGGAGAAATGCGTAGGAAACACCAGGTGAAATTCCACTTTCACACCGATGATTGTCAGCTCTACTTGCCGCTTTGCCAGGGGTTGGGTGGTTCGCTTTCACCACTCCTTGATTGTATGGAGGAAATGAAGTTATGGATGAGCTCCAGTTATTTGCACTTAAATGAGAGCAAAACTGAGTTAATTTTGCCAAGCTCCTGGTAGGACTGCTCGTACAGCCCCTGAGGTTGACCTCTTCATTAGCCCCTCGTGTGATGACGGTTGTCAAAGACCTAGGTGTAAAATGTCATGCTGCTCTCGGGTTTAATTGCACAAATTTTGGTGGTTGTACATTCTTTTTTCCACCTCTAACGCATCGCTAAGATCAAGCCAATGTTGTCGAGGGCCCATTTAGAAACAGTTTTACATGCACTTGTATCATTATGCCTTGACTATTGTAATGCTGTGTATTCTGGTGTGAACTCAGGTGCACTTCCCACCATCACCTTGTCCAGAACTCAGTGACGAGGTTCTTGTATGGTACTACGCTTTTGCTTCATTCTTTTATTGTGAAAGTGTACAGAATCTTGTGCTACTACAAAGGTAGTGGAAGGTGCTGTAGAAATAAATGATGATGATGATGATTTCTTTACACAACAAAGGTGAGGGCTACAAGACGATCAGCAAAGCTTTACATATCAGTCAAAATAGTGTAGCAAAAGAATTCCAAAAATGTAAGAAAGATGGAAGTGCAACCATCGTTCAGAGACGTCCAGGCCGTCTTTCAAAGTTAACATCTCGACAGGAATTTATTTTTTAATTGCTGATTGTTCACTTGTGTTCTTGCTAAAGAATGTCTGTCCAGTATATTTTTCCTTAACCATCTATGACACTTTTATGTTTTCTGTTCTTTATTCCACATTTATTTTTTTATTCTGTATTTCCAGCAACTTTTATTTGGTTCAGTAGTTTTGTTGCTATACTTTAATCGTCTATTCATTTTTCTTTTCTGATTTCTCCATTTTTTGGCTCTCACTTATTCTCTCTGTTTATCCATTTTCGTCTTTCTGTTTTTTATTTCTTCCAGTTACAAGAAGACTCAAGAAACACTGTCCCAGGCTGGACAGAAGACGAGTGCAGCTCTCAACACAGTGAGCTCGGCCATTACCAAAAGACTGGGTGACATGAGGTACAGTGCAGCACAACTGGAACACATGTTAGCAAACCCAAGAGGAATTAGCAATGCTACGCATGCACACACACACACAGGCATGGGAGGAGTTCAGTGAGCGCAAGAGGAGATTCTGGTCCACCATCTGGCATCTAAGGAGGGGAAAGCAGTGTGCTACCAACACTGTTTACAGTGGTAATGGTTTGCTGCTGACCTCTACACGGGACGTTGTGGATCGGTGGGCGGAATACTTGAATGACCTCCTCATCGGCACATTTTCCAGTTAGGAAGGAGAGTCTGGGGAGTTTTTGTTGGACTCCAGTCACTGGCACTGAGGTCACTGATGTGGTCAAAAAACTCCTTGGTGGCGAGGCCCCGTGGGTGGTTGAGGTCCACCTGGAGTTCCTTAAGACTCTGGATATCGTGGGGCTGTGTTGGTTGATGTGGCTCTGCAGTATTGAGTGGACGTCAGGGGCAGTTCCTTATTTAAAGAGAGGGATTGCAGAGTGTGTTCCAACTACTGAGGGATCACAGTTCTATGTCTCCCTGGTAAGGTCTATTCAGCGGTTCTGGAGCGGAGGGTCCGTCGGATTGTTGAAACTTGGATTCAGGAGGAACAATGTGGTTTTCATCCTGGCCGTGGAAAACTGGGCCAGAGCTATACCCTTACCCCAACTACACACTGAAAGCATCAGTGGCATGGAATGGCACTGCTTCAAATAAAATTCATTATAGACTTATGGAGTGTAAGAAACCAGCAGCGATGCGGCAATTTTCAGACGCGTCACCGTGCCACTAAAGATAGGATTGGGTTCTATTTTTTTTCCGCAAGCTGCTTCTGGGATGCGTCAAATATTGTTAGCATAGGGCTAGACAGGAAATCACGCAGTTTCAGTGTAAAATCCCCAGTTATTTTCAAAATACAAGTATTGCAGCGATTCATTTTCATATATATATATATATGTAGCATTCAGTCAATATCGAGAAGGCCGGAACTGATGGTGAATGATGATTTATTGAGCCGTCCGTATCATCAACCAACCAACGTAAGAGCTAGGCATAAACAAAAAATAAATAAATCATAAAATAAACCATAATGCATAACTGATTACATTGGTAGCCGTTTTCACAATTAATACAATCATATAGACACGTTCCGTTTTCATAACAACATTCTGAATTATAGTTACAAACCTTGTTCCCCTTATCAACTGAAGCTAGACAGAAGTATTCTTCAAACTTTCTTTGTCTTCTTCTCCATGAGCTGTTAATAGCCTATCCTTTGCTCTGTCTTTTCTTCTAATAGATTTCCGTTTGCTTCTTCTGTGTTGCGCCCGTTGCGCCTCCCTACTTGGCTACGGTTGCTATCAAGGGCGTCAGTTTGTTTTCAGAATTGCTGGGGACAATAACCATACACTTGAGTGGGGTTTAAAGAGCAAGTCACCCCTTACAAGAAGCGTACTTCACTCCCACTTCATGTTTGAAAAATGCAACAAATGCTGTTGCCTAGCAGACCGAGAGGGTGGAGCCACTAACAAATACACACACTCACGACATTGTGACATCATAATGTACCAGTTTACATCATAGCATACCTCTTAGCCAATAGCGATGGCAGATTTAAATTCAAATGCAGAAGAGTTTTTACCTGACAACAGCACAACACTGACAGTTTCAGGCAGAAAATTTAAATTTTAACTAAAATGCACTAAAGTGCAAAACTATTGACTACACGTGTCTGCAGCACGATTAGACACACATTTATATAGTTTATCAGAAAAAAATAGTTGATTTGGGGGTGACTTGCTCTTTAAAAATTGCTGCGGACAATAAAGGCAGGCTTTTTTGAAAGTGGAGGGGACACAGCTGCCAATCACAAATTTTGCCGGGGACATGTCCCCGGCGTCCCCGGTTAAAATGACGCCTATGGTTGCTATGATGCTATCAAAATAAAAGCCTGTATACCTTTGCCGTTGTTAAACATAAAGAAATAGTTCACCTTTACATTCACCTTTACAATATATATGAAGCTTTAGTGTGATTTAATGGATCATTTACTCACAGCATCGTTCCAACAGTGCAGCGGTGTGTTTTTCATGGTTCTAATCCTGGCAGTGGAGAGGAACAACATCATATATGACATCAAACAGCAAAAATAACGTGATTTCCTGCTTTATGGTTTAATGGCAGATGTCAGAAACAGGAGTAGGGGCTCGGAGTGGGTCCGCTGCTCCTTGATGCCGAAAGGAGCCAATTGTGGTGGCTCAGGCATCTGATCAGGATGCTTCCTGGACGCCTCCCTGGTGAAATTTTCCAGGCACGTCCAACTGCAAGGAGACCCAAGGGAAGAGCCAGGACACGCTGGAGGGACTATGTCTCTTGGCTGGCCAGGGGACACCTTGGGATTCCCTTGGAGGAGCTGACGAAAGTAGCTGAGGAGAAGGAAGTCTGGGTCTCGGTGTAGGCTGCTGCCCTTGCGACCCGTCTCCAAATAAGCGGATGAAAATAGATGGATGGATAGTCGTCACACACACTGGTGTGGGTTTAGTTTGTTCTCCACGTTGGACCCATCCCCTGGGGGAGCGGTGAGCTGCAGATATGGCTGTGCTCAGAAACCATTTGGTGGTTTAACCCCCCCCCCCCCCCCCAATCAAACCCCTTAATGCTTAGTGTCGAGCGTGGAAGCAATGGGTCCGATTTTAACCCACAATCTCCCAGTCTCAGGAGCAGACACTCGTACCACCTCGCCAGTGAACTGAAAGAATAATATTTAAAATAGCTGAGACCATGGTCTTGAGTGGCAAACCTGTAGAATGACTTCTCCAGGTCAAGGATGAGGTCCTGCTCCAAGTGGAGGAGTTTAAGTAACCTGGGGTCTTCTTCACGAGTGAGGGAAAGATGGAGTGGGAGATCGATAGGCGGATTGGTGCTGGGTTTACACCGCTGTGGGTGTTGTACCGATTAGGCACAGATTATTCAAACATTTAATATAACATCTGGTTCATTCAACCATACGATTATTTATGATTATTTAACTTATGAGTTGTAAAAGTTCTCTTTTCATTCAGAGTGTGGAATCCAGCAGTCTGAGATAAGTTCCACAATCTTGTCTTCACGGACTGTCAACAAGCCCTGCAGAGTCTTCTGGGTGCTAGAGTAGCAAATCCACCTAGATAGTGGAATTACGTCTGTGGACCGGTCACTGTGTGGTCGATATATAGGTCAACACTGACCCTTTCTGGACGTTACACAGTGGTTAAATATTTGGCAGCACAGGGACTTGCTTTTAGAGGGGAAAGACGCAGGTTTGGAGATATTAATAATGGCAATTATTTAAGCTGCAAGGAGCTGATCAGTCAGTATGATCCTTGTTTAAAAGCTCATGTTGACAAATATGAAAATGCTGGCACTGGCAGAGTGGGCACTCACTGATGGATTCATCAAAGACCCGTCACGCTGGCAGATGATCAGAGCAGGCTTGCAGCCCAATGACAATAAAAGCATAGAGACTTTGAAATTGCTTTCTGATACAAGATGGTCAGCACATGCTGTTGCAACCAAAGCCCTGAGTCAGAATTAGGCTGGAATCCTGCAGGCATTAGTCAGCATTGCAGATGATGAACATCAAAGTGTTGGCACAAGATGAGAAGCAAGAACACTTCACAAAAAGATGAACAGACTGGAAATTGCATTCATGAGCAAAATGCGGAAGGCCATCCTGCAGCATTTCCAGGGTGTGAGTACCGCACTACAAGCAGTAGAACTGGACCTTTGCAATGCCGTTGATCTGGTTCAGTCATTGTGTAACTACTACATAGCAGGTCTGCTGGATCACTTTGACATCTTTGAGACATCTGCAAGGAGCACGTCCTCCACTGTGTGTGAAGAGTACAAAGCAGATACCCAACGGAAGAAAAAACAGGCTGATGAGTCGCCTGAGCCTGAGTGCGAGCTTTCAGGTCGTAGATGCTTCTGTGCATCTGTGCACATCTGCATCAACTGCAAGATGCTATCCTATCAATATGGACCAACATTTCTAAAGAATGATTTCAGCACCTTGTTGAATCAACGCCACGTCGAATTAAGCCAGTTCTGAAGGCAAAAGGGGGTCAAACATCGTATTAGTGTGGTGTTCCTAATAATCCTTTAGGTGAGTGTATGATGCAGATGTATAAAAATCAGTAAATATCTGCCCGATATATCAGGCCCTGTCCACACGTAGCCGGGGATCTGCCAAAACGTACATATTTTTCTACGTTTTGGCCTGTCAGCCACACGAAAACGGAGTTTTTTCACACGAAAACGGATCTTTTTAAAAACTCCGGCCAAAGTGAAGATCTGCATTTTCTCCGTTTTGGGTGTCTGCGTGTGGACGGACCAAACCGGAGTTTTAAGGTCCGCAACGTCACTTTCCGCGACAAAAAAATGCTGACATCACGTGTGCGACCTGTGTTTACACTAGCCGACAGCATGGATGCCCTCAGAGCTGCGCTCGCTTTATCAATTGTCCAAGCGCTTTCTGCTTGTTTGTTTTTGCAAGTGGAATTACTGCTCCTTGTGGAAGACCACAGACGAAGGACGAGGTTAAGAACGGGGGAAGTACTGCCGCCTACAGGTCTGGCATGTCCTTAACAACGTATTTATCCGGGTACGTGTGGACAGTTTTTATTTGAAACGAGGTGGTGTGGATGCAAGTTTTTGGAGGGGCGGATATTCGTTTAAAAAAAAAAAACGGCAACGTGTGGACTAGGCCTTAGTCTACTCCTAACTGACATCACAAAACATGCTGCAGATCTCATTATTCTGTTAGCTAAATGAAAACATTAACGTCTAGAGTAATAGAATATGTATGTGTTACTATACTTGTGTCAGGTGAGCATGAGTTCTGAGGCAGGACCGTGGAAGTAGACATTAGACGATGTCGCTTGTTCATAAAGTCGGTGAAATTGATCCTGAGAATGTTTTGATGCGTTAGGATGCTTCTGGATAAATGAAAATGTAATTATATAAAAAGTGACATCTAAGTCAAAATCTTTTATTATGGGTAAATGAGTATTTGATTCACTATTTCAGATAATTTCGGTGAGTTTTCATGAACCTGAGCAAAACTGCATGCCAATCTGGTGCTCTAACCACTGGACTACAAAGTCTGTTGTACGACAGCAGTCGCCTAAGCCCGTGTGCTGGCAAGTGGAGAAAGGTTTCATAACGGAGACTAGCTTCCAGGAGAAGAGCAGAGTGTCGTGACACAATTAGTTTTTGAGGGTTTACAGGATTTTAAATCTCAACATATGCAGCTGAGACAAGAAAATGCATGATTGCAGCCAAAAGCAGGTCTGAGGATTTTTGTTCTCATCAGGAAATTACTACATCACATGGTGGGTTTTCCATGATATGGCCCCTTTAATAATAAATGCCAGCTTAGCACACAGCTTGGTTACTGCCTCTTTAAAAAGGACAGTCGTAAATCTGTTGTTGAATAAAGATGGCCTGAATGACTTGATGTTGGCAGGTTTTAGGCCCATCTCGCACCTCGCTCACTGGAAAGGTTTCTTTTTGCCCAATTGGTACAATATCTGGACAGCTGTGTGTGCGTGTGTGTGTGCGTGTGTGTGTGTGTGCGTGCGTGCGTGCGTGTGTGTGTGTGCGTGTGCGTGCGTGCATGCGCGTGTGTTCCCTCTGGTTTCTGCTGCTTGTGGCTCACTCTGTGTCTCTGCTTCATTGCTGCCTGGCTTCCACCTGCAGAGCTCTGCCTTTCTCTAACTCTTTCAGGTAAGGTCATCGTGCTTTTTCTCACACACCTCATCATGGCATTCAGGGTTGGTTCTAACATGTGTGCATCAACCTAGAGCAAGGGTAAAATGGATTCTGGTGGCTTCATGATGGTGCACAATAACACACACAGTTATCAAACCCACGTGGCCTAGCTAGTGGTCTAAAATGTTTGTCTGGGACAGGAGTGGGGAACTTCCAGGCTCCAGACTGATCATGGTCACGTAATTAAAAGAATAAAATAAAGGGAAATAGACCGATACCAACTACCAGTTGTAATTATCTGATTAAACAGACAGTAGTCCATCTTATCAAGCCAGGGTCACAGTCTGTCAGACAGTGCACGTGCAATGAAAAAAACTCTGTGCGATAAACTATTTTTAGATGTAGCACTCGTGCGACATCTTTTCAAGTTACCTTTTTCCCAGAACTTTGAACAAATGTACGCTACTTGTTTTTTTTTTTTTGGTAAGGAAGACGTGAAAAGGAAACGCTATTGCATGTCACTGTGTCAAATGGTGGTTGTTGTCTATTGTGATAACGAATGGTGGTTTTCCATGAGCACTACTCAGTAACTCGAACAGGTGCAGCTCAGCCCGACCAGTTTCCAAGGGCACAGTTCAGTATTTCCCCTCTACTTTCTCCCCAATTATCTTGCATTGATGATGGTAGAGACCGATCACTGCATAAAACCTTCTCCAGCACATCCCAAAGACTTTTCACACACACAGAAGAACATGTTTATGTATTTAGCAGACGCTTTTGTCCAAAGCGATTTACAGGCAATAATCAAGCCAGCAGGTTGCCCTTTAGGCGGTTATGTCCTCTAGTGGTGGAAAAGGGAAGGGCAGGGAGTAGCACAGAGGCATGTGCTTCAGGGGTTAAAATCGTAAACAAGGTTTTTATTCTAGGTTTTTTAAAAGGCACAAAGCTCCAAATCTAAAAGTACCTAAACCACAGCGTTAAAATGGCCGTGGGTTTCCCGAACACTCACAAAACTAGTCCACTGACCGTACACAAGTCTGGGAGCACAGAGGAAGCTAGCTTTCTGGTCCCTCATCTGTTAAAAACCTCTAAAAGCAGGGTTGTATCGAGGCATTTTGGGGGACACGGTAAAATAGACTCCTGCCAGGTATTTTAAGTTGAGGTGCTAATTGTTTTTATATTAAACTTTTTTTATATTTTCAATAAAGTCCAAAAGTGAAGAACTTAGCTTGAACAATCAAGTAATAAACAACCTATCTCACAGAAGTGCTCTGTTTGTTAACATAGTTGTTAAATGTTAAAATAAAGTTAATCACATAAAAAATAAGGAATATTCTAGATCTGTTTCTTTGCTTTCTTTATTCATTTTTATGTTTCTGATTGGAACTCTGTATCGGCAGATTCTCTAAATTAAATGACTCGGACTCCAGGGCAACAAAAACCCGATCGGGACATCCCTAGAATGAGGTTCTTGATTGTTTGGCAGAAATGACTCCTGATTTACTGGTTGAATCACCTGTTCAGCAGCTCATCAGTCCGCTAATCTCCTGCTGATGAAAATCAGGTGTGAGGAAGCGGAGACCGTTAAAACATGCACCATAGCATCCCTCCAGGGACCAGGACTCCCCAACGTGGTTCTGGAACCTGCAGCTGACAGACCAGTATTAGGAATGATAAACCCAACCGAAACACCGCTCAACCATCTGCTGATTTGATGCAGACCAAGTATCATGATCATGACTAGTGACTACGGCACCGCCCCGCCCTAACTCTCCAGAATGGCTCAGCTGATGTTACTGACTCTGTAGCTTACTGATGGCGTTCTTATGCTTCTTTTTCCTCTCTTTAATGCTTCCGAAGTAGCAACTATTCCATCCGTCACTCGATAAGTATGCCTACAATGAGGTAAAGTATTACTGTTCGCTACATCTCCGGTCCAACTGCATGTGTGCATGATGCTGCTTTAATTTCATCTGACGTCAGACAGAGGTGTTACGTCTACGTCAGGGGTTCTCAACAGCAGGACAGGGGGCGCTGAGGGCCAGGGTTGAGAAACACTGGTCTATGTGCATCACAGGTTAATACTCTCATAGGTTGGGCATCGAGCATCGATTGGAACCGGGACCAACTGTCAGTTTTTCCCAGAGTTCTTCAAAGTTTATTTAATTTCGATTCCTATACCTAGTATGCCGACTGGAAGAGGAAACGTGATCTGCAAATTCTGATCAACGCTTTCCAGAGCTGATGACATCAGCTTTCTGCTGCGACTGCTCTGCTGCCTGCAGAGAGCCGTGTGCAGCACCCCTCCCCTCACACCCGCCAAAGGCGGCTGCAGAACTTTTACTCCGTGATGTAAACTTGAATTCCTGTAGAGAAAAATACGGCGCGGAGGAAGCTGAACAATAGCCTGTGAGTAATTAGTCATCATGCTGGAGCAGCCTTTCTCTGTGGTGGACCACACCAGCTTCTGCCACTGGGAGCCGACAGGGATCATAAATAAATAAATGTAATGATAAGTCTCACAACACACAAAGTTGTGAACAGTTTAATTTCCTTTCTGAACTATTTCTGTTGAGTTTTAATGTTTAAACCTGTTAGCTTGTTACTGACAGCAGCTACGTTTAAGTCTCACTTCCTGTTGTGACTGAACGCTGCTGCAGCATGGAGGTGTAGTTCTCAGTCATCCTGGACATGATCATCCTGAGAGTTTCAGCTGGAAACAGCTGGACGTTTCTGGATGTGTTGGAGACACTTTGGTTGTGGTCAGAAACAAACACACTGGTTGTGCTGCAAGTCGTCTTCTTTTGTCTCCAAAACACGTTTGTGTCTAAATGAAGGTGATGTTGTTGTTCATAGAGTTAAAATTCATGTTGAAGTTAAGATTATTTCATCCAGTAGGACCTGTGGTTAGCTGGCTCGTGTAAAACATGGAATGTCTTGAAAGAATCGGAGCCAAAATCGAAACGAAGAATTGGAATCGGAATGTTGAATTTCAAACAGTGCTCGACCCTACTCGCATGTCTTTGTCCACTTTCATGTTTCATGAGTACGGGTCAACTGAAGATTATTTTGTCATATGCTTGTGATTAGTAGATTAACGAGTTTTCATGTGATCATTTGTTTTCATTCTACAGAAACTCTGCAACCTTCAAGTCCTTTGAGGATAAAGTGGGGAACCTGAAGGTGAGAAGTTTTATTCTGCAGCCCAGCTCAGATGTTTAGAGTTAATGTTATATTTTAATCATCTCAAGTTGTGCTGCCTCGGTGGTTCTGGTTTCAGTTCCAGTATTAGGGCTGGGCAATGTGGAAACTATTCCTATCGTGATATCAATTTTCTAGGAGTGCAACTTGATTTAAAAAATGTCTGATTTATTAAAGGCTTTGTAATCATTCATCTTTATTAATCGCATTATAATCACTCAAACTTTTGCCTGAAAGCAATTATTTAAATTAAAAATAATGAGGCACAGAATCAAACAATAGACATGGACATTATTTTAAACTCGAGCTCTTTTCGTTTCTAAAACATGCTTTTCAGCTGTACTTCAATTCAAAACAAAAAGTGTCAAAAAAACTTGTTTAGAACTGCTGCTGCGCGTCATAAGCTGTTGGCAGAGGCTAGAGCTATTCTAGAAGCTTCTCTACCCAGCCTTCTGCCTCTGACTGATTAGTCAGTTAGGATGATTGACACCTCTTTTGTATTGTCAGGGCCAATGAAATCAGTTACTCATCAAAATTACATGACTGTTCAGTCAGCCAATGAGACTCGTCATGACACAAACCAGGAAGTAGAGAAGTTCTACTGGATGTTTGACTTCTAAGCCTGGGTTATTTATTTATTTTTGTCAAAATGACTTTCTGTCTAAACTGTTTTCATTTCAGAGAAAGAGGTAGAGCTAATAGTAAACAACAAGAAAATCTGGATAAAACAAACTTCAAGCTCTTACATCATACATAAAAGGTTTTATTTTTTATTTAGTTTTTGGAAAAAACTATTTCTGCCTTCTGTCTCTGGGAAACGTGGGCATAGAGTTTTGGGAGATGCATATTTGGAGTCAGTAGGACCATGGCTTCAGAATGGGTGGATAGAATCTTGTGAAATTAGATGTTTAGCAGCGTTAGAGACAGAAAAGTGGTTTCCAGTCACTCATTTGATTAGTTATGCATTTTTTCCCTAATTTATCATAATTAACGCGTTCAATTCCCACCCCTAAAATTATCTTATCAGTCAAATTTGAAATATATACACTCACCTAAAGGATTATTAGAAACACTTGTTCATGCAATTATCTATTCTATTCAAGTTTATTTATAAAGCGCCAAATCACCACGAGAGTCATCTGAAGGCGCTTCACACAGTAAACATCCCAATACAGGTCAGCTCATTAACACTAGAACTCCCAGGATTAAATGCTGGCTGGCGATGACGTTGTGGAGCAAAATGGTTCAAGTGTGCTATTAATAACACTTTATGGATGTATGAACCTAATAAAATGGTAAGAAAATGTAATTTAAATCCAAATCTTGAAAAGAAGTCTCTATTGTTCGCTGGGTGACTGACACGGATCTACTCCATGGGTGGGGGCGGGGGGTCTCGGATCGTCTTCCGCGTTGCTGTCAGTCTCTGCTGCTTCGTACCGACCATTTTTCATCAGATTTCCTCTCTGCCAGAAGCAGATTAATTGCTCATGCATGTTTCACTGAGAATATTCATCTAAACGCTGTTTCAGCCACTATTTCACACGCAGAAAGAACAGAGAGGGAGGGAGCGAGCGAGCTGGAAAGTTAGTTGCTTAGCAATGGCGACGATGTCCATTATCGGTGGGAAACTTTGCCATGTAAACAATAGGGGAGACAAAGACAAAAACAGCTGTATTTATTTTTTGATGCATCATTTAATGGAAATTATAAAGCAAAAATAAAGGACACATAAAAACAGGAAAAGCCAGGACGACACGAGATCCATGTAACTAAAGCTGTTACATATCATAATATGAAAACAGTAAAAATGACTGCTTTGGGAGTTCTTGTGTTAAGCCAATCAGTAAAAAGTTTCCTACATAAGGACAGGAATACCCAAGAGAGGGGAGGAGTCCAAAACCCCACCTGACATACAGTCATACACAAACACAGTCACACACTCACTCCCTCATGCTCACACATACAACCAGAAACTTGCTAAAGTAAACGCTAGACACCCACTTGTGCTGGTCCTGGTACTGCTGCACAGAGGGTACAGCCATCCCAGGACCAGATTTTGTCCCGACCTGCTGGGGTGATTATGAGCAGGCACCCCCATCCGACGCAGAGCAAAGCAACCCACCACCCCAGACTCCATCCAGACGGCCAGCTCCCACTCCTAGCCTCCAGCCCCGGGAAGCCAAGCAAGAACAGAGGTGTGTTAAGATCCCTAGTCTCCCTTCCGGTCTGAGTATTTCACAGTCTGCTCAGTTGCTGGGATTTTCACACACAACCATTTCTAGAATTTACAAAGAATGGTGTGAAAAGGGAAAAACATCCAGTATGCAGCAGTCCTGTGCCTTGTTGATGCTAGAGGTCAGAGGAGAATGGGCCGACTGATTCAAGCTGATAGAAGAGCAACTTTGACTGAAATAACCACTCGTTACAACCGAGGAACGCAGCAAAGCATTTAAGCCACGACACGCACAACCTTGAGGAGGATGGACTACAACAGCAGAAGACCCCACCGGGTATCTCCACTACAAACAGGAAAAAGAGGCTACAGTTTGCACCAGCTCACCAACATCAGACAGACTGGAAAAATGTTTCCTGGTCTGATGAGTCTGGATTTCTGTTGAGACGTTCAAATGGTAGAGTCAGAATGAGAACATGGATCCATCATGCCTTGTTACCACTGTGCAGGCTGGTGGTGGAGGTGTCATGGTGTGGGGGATGTTTTCCTGGCACACTTTAGGCCGCTTAGTGCCAATTGGGCATGGTTTAAATGCCATGGGCTGCCTGATTGTTTCTGACCATGTCCACCCCTTCATGACACCATGTACCCATCCTCTGATGGCTACTTCCAGCAGGATAATGCACCATGTGATAAAGCTCCAATCATTTCAGACTGGTTTCTTGAACATGACGATGAGTTCACTGTACTACAACGGCCTCCACCAGATCTCAACCCGATAGAGCATCTTAGGGATGTGGTGGAACGGGAGCTTCGTGCCCTGGATGTGCATCCCTCAACTCTCCATCAACTACAAGATGCTATCCCATCAATGTGGGCCAACATTTCTAAAGAATGCTTTCAGCACCTTGTTGAATCAACGCCACGTAGAATTAAGGCAGTTCTGAAGGTGTAAGGGGGTCAAACACTATCAGTGGTGCTCCTAATAATCCTTTAGGTGAGTGTATATATATCACAATATACATCTATATACATCTTTAATACTCTGGTATTGTTTAAGTGACATTAAATGTCAGAAAGTTGTGTTTAATTATAAAGATTTATTTTCAAAAGCTGAACATGTCAAACATCAACTCGTTCACTGCCAGAGTTTCTCACAGTTTTTACTGTTTTTTTTTTAGAGTGACAGAACGTTGCGCGCTAGGATGATGTCGACGCCAAAACTACCAAAACAAAGCGGAGACTCACCTTTTACATCAGGAAGAATCCGAGCGTTTCGAGCGTTATCCGTTCTTTCATAATCCGTTGTTGAATTGTGATCGGCAGAAGCTTTTCCGGTTCGCGCCTCACTTTTCTTACAGCAGCAGCCCAAAACGATCTCCTAACACATGGATTTTCTGCTTCTTGATCATGTGACGTACGCGGATGAAGATTGGCTGTAGAGCTGAGATGTTTGTTCTCACGGTGCGGGGGCTCGTCCGACGCCCACGCAGTAAAAACATGCAAATGACGACTTTAGTCTTCATTGGCAGTGAACGGTTGGATTTAAAATGACTATTTTAGTCATCAATGGCAGTGAATGGCTTAAATTATTGTTTAGAAATAATACGATAATTATTTTAAACTAAAATCTTAAAGAATTATTGGAGAACGGAACTCAATAAAACTGGCATCAAGGTCCTCCACTCATTACACACTCGCATGTTTAGCAACAGAACACTATTGGTGTGAGAGATTCTTGGCCCAATAATATCAGAAGGAGAAACAGCTGGCTGCTACCACTTCTACTTTAGGACTAACTACTAGAGTCCCTATAAAAAAAAACACCATTTGAAATCAGACAGAAGACGTTTGGACCTAGAAAACGACGACTGGTGTAGAGCCATCTCATTTTGTTAGAGATTGCATGTTTTCTGTTCCAGCAGAAGATGAGTTACCCAAGGGGAGGGGTGAGTTTTTCATGACTGTGTTTGCTCTGAAAAACTAGCTTGTTTGCAGATTCCTTACAAGAGCTATTAGTTGTTTTAATAAGCTGCCAGAAGTGAAGCCAACATGGAACCAACAGGAATTGCAGTTCCCCTCTCATCCACTAGAGCTGGGATTCAGAAAGGAGCAAGTTCCCTTTGACTTCCATGTTAAAAACAGACATAAAAGCTCTCACCTTTCGGCGAAATTTGCCGTTTCGAGTCCAAAATGGGTCATCTGCGTGATTCGTGCAGATCCAATGAGAAAATATTCGGGAGGTGGGTGTAAACAGCGAGCCCGACTTCTACAGTTTAACCAGCTTCAATGGAGGAGTTTTAAGATGCCCCCGACCAACACCACCACTAGTTGAAAATAGTTAAACATTTATAAAAATAATCTGTTGGAGCCTGCGCGAGCCACACGAGTGCATCTCGTCTGGAGGTCTCCTGTCCTGTGTAGACCTCCTGACGGCTCTTCCCCACTTGTATAATCCGAACCTCGAACTCTTTCTAACTAATCTGTTATTAAAGCTTGAAATTATGAATAATTAGCTGTCGGTGCTAACTCTAGCATCTGGCCCTCCAACACGCTCCAGGGAAGGCCTCAGCTTTGGCATGTTGCAGCCTGGAAGGAAGGAACGTAGCATAGACACTCAACCGCTGTTTCCTGGCTAAGAGCACCCACCAGCCTCCATTAGTTTTGGTTAGCTCATCGCTACATCAGCCAGAGTTTGGTGGGTGTCATTCATCTGCCCACACTAACAGCCTTGCTCTCAGCTCCATTTTTGTATTATCTGGGAGTGACGAGACGCGTGGCTAAGATGGCAGTGGTGGGAACTGGCCACGGGACTTCAGTTCAGGTCTTCAGAAACCTCCGGGGGATGGCGTGGGGGGTTGTCCGTATCATATACGCTCGATGGATTTTACAAATGCAATTTACAAATATTTTTAATAATGAACCCCAGCTCCTGTTTTTGTTCTCTTGATCTGAGTTGTTCTGCTACCGTGGTGTTGCCTAGATGTACAAAGAGAAGCAAGGAGGAATGGTTTGGTTTAAACTTAGATTGTTATGGTTCTCACATGCATGCACCCACCTGGAAGCCAACAGGACCTTCTCTACGTGCACCTTAGCCACACACTAGACTAGGGTGTGTGAATAACAGGTGTGGGACCCCGGCCCAACCATTGGACTTGGCTGTAGGCGCAGGAAACAGAAACTGATGAGTCATTAACTGTTGTCTCTGCTTCTGTCGCCCCCAACCCCCACCCCCAGTATAAGGTTGTTGGCCCCAGAGGGAATGGAGAGGCAGTCAGCTCGCCCCCTGACTCCACCCCCACTCAGGAGAACCCCCCTTTCTGAACATGCCCCACTTTTCCTTCGTTGCCATCAACTGACTACTTCTCATGATGGAGCTTTCGTACCCCCACCCCCCTTCCTCTTTAGTCCAGACCTGCCCACCCATCAGGAGAAGGTTGAAGACTTCACTGGGCTCCCGTTCTTCTCCCTCGCTGCTGTAAGAGAGTGACTCTCAACTCCACCTCCATCTTCATTTCCTGTCAGATGTTTTTTCCAAACATGAGTCAACAGTGGTCCCTGCTTCTGGTGGAGGAGGTGGTTTCTCATGTCAGGGTAGGCCAGTTCCCATGGTAACTCTACTGGGTCTGGGTAGGGGCGGGCTGCTGTCAGAGCTTCAAGAGCTGGATGATGATTTCATGTGTACCTTCAAAACCTGCAGAGATCTCCAGTGTTGATTGTCACCAAAACACTACTGTTGATGATTTTAAACCACTTTGCAAAATGTCTTCATATATTTTACCCATATGTGCGTCTGACCTGTCATCATTACTGCTGTGTCTTGAAGATTGGACTGTGGTGAGGCTGAAGCAGTTTCAGAAGTGGGTTTTGGTCTGGAAGGAAGAGGTTTTTCATCTGAACTAAACCTCACAATCCAGTACTGGTTCTGTTGGACAAACCTGACCCGAGACGTGCTACTGTGGGAATGTCGACTCTTCCTCCGGCCTTACTCACTTCAGACGTCTCACCTGTTGTGATTCACACCAAACCTTTCAGACTAAATCACTAGTGCCACCTCACACTCAAACACAGCTTCACTATTACACCATTGCTGCTGACACTTATCTATACGTATGATAGGACTTTGGTTGTCTGTTATTTTCAAATATGAAAAGTTTTATTAGTAATTTTTCTAAGCTGGTGGGGGGGGGGGGGGGGGGGATTCTGTCTTGGATGTGCAGCAACATTAAACCACCGATCTGACCAGGTTTTCCTGAGGCTTGCTGGACGTTTCCTGTAGCTAAACACACTTTTTTACACGTTAATTCAACTTTGTGGTGATTCGCTAACTCTCCTCAGAGAAACTCCCAGCAAGAGATGTCGGATCAAATTCTGCAGTTTAATCTCAACTTCAGTATCTTCTTCTGTTTTTCTGTTTGTGGATAAGTTGTTACAGTTGGAGTATTTTATTATCTTAGTCTGTTAGCTTCTTCCTAATCTCAGATTGTCTTTTTGTACAAAACAATGAGCAAATGTATGTTCATAACTGGGTTCCTAAAGGACTGGGCATTTTTACACGGTGGTCAAATTCTCATGTAGCTGCTGATTTGTTAAGAACATCTCAAAATGATTAAGTTTAAAAGCTGAATGGTTTTTAATGAACCTTTCCTGCAGAGCTGCTGTTGTTTTTGTTTTGTTTTTTGTGCCAATGGGAGGAGCAGCATGTGACTAACCTGGTTTGCGTTTGAGCTTATTTACATTAATAGGATCATAGTGGAAGGATTCACGGGGAATTAAGGACTTTTGATTTTTTTGTTTATGTATTGGTATCAATAAATCATTCCTTCAAATGAAAGTCTGGGTATGCATTTCTCATCTAGGCTCCTTTTTGATTTTACACTTGGGAGTCAATAAGTGACTTTAAAGCTTGTGGTCAATTATTTAGTTATATCCCAGATTTTAAAGAAAAAGTTTTTCATTAGAAAAGTTGAATAATTTTTTGAATTAATTTTTTTTTTTAATTTAACATTTCGTAACCCGAATATTCAGTATTTATATATTTGATGTGACAGAGCCATTCTGGCCCTCCCACCATCTCGTAGAGCAGGCCTACTTGAATGGCGGCCCACGGGCCCTACCCAGCTTGCCCACATCACCCTATCCCACAACCACCAACAGAAAATCAGTTGAGAAACAGTATTTGCATGCGAGTTTGTAAATTCCCACACTGATATTGCACTTGAACACAACACCATTTTAGCAATCACAGACTTATATACGTAGATGCCTTGTGGACTGGCGCTGTCTATTGGAGCTGCCGTAGTGTGGCGTCTACATACAGGGAGCAGGGCTGTGCAGAGACCTTTGAAGGGGCGGGTGCTCAAATTTAAAAAGGGGCACACCGAATAATATTTTCAAACACCATGACATAACCACAGTATACCCGGCTGAATAACAAATCACATTTATTAGAAATTCAATTTGGAAGCAAATCATTATATACACCCTTACCACACAAGGACAATGTAAAGCAAAAGTAACTTGTTTTGGTAAATGGTCTGTATTTGTATAATGCCTTCTTAGGGTTCTACAACCCCCCAAGGCACATTACAACACAGTCAGTCATTCACACACACACACACATTAACACACTGATGGTGATGAGCTATGATGTAGCCATAGCTACTCTGGAGCGCACTGACAGAGGTGAAGCTGCTGAGCACAGGCGCCACCAGCCCCTCCGACCACCACCAGCAGGCAAAGCAGGTTAAGTGTCTTGCCCAAGGACACAACAGCATCAATCTCTGATTGAAGTCAGGATCAAACCTGCAACCTTCTTATTACTGGACAACCTGCTCCACCTCCTGATCTATTGCTGTCCTATGTTACCTGATGATGGGGTACAGTGTAGCTGTTGCAGGGTCGCTCCTCTTGCTGCTGCTGATGATGCTGGAGGGCAAGGCTGTGTTGATCTCAGACTGTAGGTAGTAAAACAAACAGAGGAGAAATGTTAGTCAATTAAAAAATTAATGTAAGATAATTAAAAAATGGCAAAAATTGGTGAAAACTCTTAGAACTGTAAGACAGAAATATCTGAGACAACACCTGTGGTGAATAAATGGAAATCTAAACATTAGTGGATAATAGAGGAGTTTATGTCAGAGATCAGAATGTGACAGAAATATAAACAGAAAGAGGTGTGTGTGTGTGTGTGTCTTCAATCTCCTCATGTGATCTATCACTCTCCACTTGCTGTCCATCTGAGGACAAGGCAACATCAGCTATTGTATGAATGGATTATGTAGTTATTCACATTTAACAGGTCTTGCACCTAATCCATGATCAAGTAGCTAACCAAAAACATTTTCTGGCATCAAAACATTGCAGTTGTGTATATTATATATATTGTGTTGTGTATATTTTGGGGCAGCAGTAGCTCAGGTGGTAGAGCGGGTTGCCTCATGATCGGAGGGTCATGGGTTCGATTCCAGCTCCCACCAGGGGCATCCTGCTGTTGTGTCCTTGGGCAAGACACTTCACCCAACTTGCCTGTGTTAGTGGTGGTCAGAGGGGCCGACGGCGCCAAATGGCAGCCTCGCCTCTGTCAGACCTCCCCAGGGCGGCTGTGGCTACAAGTAGCTTACCATCACTTGCAGTGTGTGAATGTGAGAGTGTGTGAAAGCGTCTTTGGGTGTCTAGAAAAGCGCTATATAAGTTCAATGCATTATTATTATTATTATTATTGTTTCTACACTTGTTGCTGTGATGCAACTTACCTGTACTCTGTTTTTATCCAGCTGGTGAGGGACCCACTGCCTTTAGCTGCCTCACGTAGCTCTTTCTGTTGCTGCTTCAGCCTCCTCTCCTTACGAAGCATGTCTGTACAATGATATATCAGAATTAATTTACAAATATGTTTTCATGCATATAAAACTCATGCATACACATTCTGGGACATTTCATTCCTTTTCCAGAAAACTAACTGTATATAATTTGGCTACAAATTTGCTTCATGATGCTGATCCAGAATATTTCCATAATATTTTAATCATAGTGCTTTAGTAATTATAAAAAAAATAAAGAATAAAACAATGTTTGTGCTTTCATCCAGTTTTACTATCTACTTTGTGCAAAACAGAGAACTGTACAGATAAAATAATTTTGCTGTGAAAACAGTTTTTTTTAAAGTACATCTTTAAAACAATATGTTTTTTAATACAATGCATTCACAAAGAGAGCAAATATAAACTCCAACATTTTGAGAACATGCATAGTATATTAGTGAACTATAAAACCCACCAGAAGGGCTGAGAAACCTTCAAATCTAAAACAAAACTACGTTCCCTAAAACGCTGGACCGAATTTACAGACAAGGACTGAATATTTAGTAACACAAAACTTGTGACGGATGTTACCTTTAGTATTTTTCTTATTTCCTTTCACAAAAGTTAGCTAAATTTTAAATTGTTCAAGTTTTATCAGTCTGCGAACCAGGAAGTGATTCTGTAAACAAGAAGCAGGGCTGTCACGTGACACCCCAGTCACGTGACAAGCAGTGGCGCTAGGAATGCAACTTTGCGGTACCTAGTTAACAACAACGACATTTTATTGGCAAATTCCCAATATTTAAGATTGAAAAAATATTTTCGTACAAGTACTTATGTACAGAATGTTTTTGGTTAATCCTAAAGCTACTGAGGTTCAGAGTCGGTGCCCAGCCACAGACACACACCCAGCTAGCAATATATCACACACACACACCTAGTGCCACAAAACAACTTAATAATGTACAAAATAATCTAATAACTGTGTATAGTAGTGTGCATCCTACTTACCGGTGTTAGTCCGTTTCTCCCATTCAATATGTATGTCCTAAACGTGAAGGAAACGTGGGAGCTCGCAGCTTGTTGTGACCGGCTGTGCGCTCTGGCGCGAGGAAGAGACGGTATAGTCACGTGACTCACGCCAGCTATATAACTTTATTAAAAAGAAATTTTATTAATGATTATTTTTGTTATAGTTGAGGGGGCACAAATAGAAAATTCTTTTAAAAATTAAAAAATATATATATATATATTAAAAAAAATCATTAAACCTCAAAAAGGGCACATGGGACAAAAGGGGCAGGGTCTCAAGCACCCCCACCCCCCTCTGCAAATGCCTGCAGCCACTGCTGTACCACATACCAGGAAATGACTCATACAGCTAGCACCAAGCCTAGATTAATATGGGTTATAGGTTCTGATGTTTGTTGATAAATATCTCAAAGTTTTAAATCTGCATCCTATCAAGTTCTGATTCTTGGTCCTCTGTCAGTTTCCACAGCCGCTATTTAACACTTGTCGGTTCCTCCTCATGGCTCAGAAGCTTCCTCGGCCTTGATTTTCTGTTGCAGGATGGATAAAAAGGAATCTCAGCACTCAGGGCTTCATGTTTCCCAACAAGTAGAGTTAAATGTAGCCAGATGCTGTATGAACTCCAGCAAGCAGGCAGGATGCTGCAGCTGATGTTACTCACTGTGCAGCAGGGTCAAACACACACACACACACACACATTTGAGAAGTGGGAAAATTGATCCCAAGCGGTTTGTTACAAAACTTCACATAAAATGCATCGCTTCCTCTCGGTCTTCTTCACATGCAGATGTTTCTGCTAATTCAGTCTGTTCAGTATCCCGTGACTACCTTTTTCTTTTTCATTCACATTTTTTGTCCTATTTTATTCTTTTTTTCCCACCATTTTTATAAACATTTTTTGTTTTACTTGATCTCGCCTAGCACCTCTCTATTAGGTTGTTCCTTCTTCCATTTGGCTGAACTCGGCTACAGCAGAGGCTGAATCACAGTAGAAACCACACACACCCCACATCCATACCAGAACATGGCAGAGCACCGCAGCTTTGCTGCCGTCTTCATGCAGGCTACTGAAATCAAACACATCTATGGTGCAGACTGACTCATCAGTGACTGGATGCTGTGCTGCCTAGCAACCACACACCCAATGAAACAAATGGAAACCATCATCTGGATGCACCCGTTTATTCATCAAAGGTAAGTTTTCACTTGACTGTACATGTTCCATTTAATACACCGAGGTATTTTGCGTAAGTGTACATACATTACATGAGAAGTGTACAGCTTACAAATTAATGAAACACATAAAAAAGAATTTTTTTTTTACTTGTTTGTTTTAAATGTGCATCTGCAGCTCGGCAATACAAAACCAACGCCCGTCAAGCCTCGAGTCCACAAATGTCTCGGGCTCCGACGGAGGTGCAGCGCCCTCCGGTGGATTCTCGCATAAGGTTTTCACTGTAGCGACCTGTGGAGGGACCTGAACAGTACCCTCTTGGGTTTAAACACACACTGTTAAATAAACCATGTCCACCAGCCTTGTCAAGCGTTTACCTGACCACCATTGTAAACCTCCAGGAGTCAGAGAGCACGGCTCCTATCGTATGTGCGACATATCTTCTAAGTGAGGCGTCTTCATGCAGCCCGTGCACAGCTGATCCATCCACAGTGGGGCTTCGTGCTGCAGCGGGGTGCGGCGGGGGTAGAAGGTGTACGACAGGTCGTAGTTCAACAGGCAGCTCAGCGAGGCCATGTAGATGTCCGAGAACCGACTCAGGCGCCTGGAGAAGTACGTGGGGTTATGGCAGGTTCTGAAGATGCTGCCAAACTGGGGGTTGAACAGGTTCTTGGTCATCACCCTAAAAACAAACAAAGGTGTTGACAGTAAAAATAATATCACGTTCAGATTTCTTTGGAGCATTAATAGAAATAAAAGCAAACAATTAGCATGTTAAACATCTATTCTTCTACCCCAGCACACCGTATTTATCCACACACAGTCCAGAATAAGCACAGAAATGTGTGTGTCACATAAAGTACACCACTGGGTTTACTGGGAGCCACTGAGGACTGAACTAGGACTCACCGCAGCTCTTCTCTTTCTTTCTGCCACTCATCAAACACCTTTTTGGACCGTGGGTCTCGGTGTACCTAACGTAATAAAACAAGGTCAGTCACATGTAGATCGAACTAGTTAGGCACGTTAATGGTTAGTTACTGGTTTGATAATGAAGAACACATGATGTTGTTTGCGGGTCTGGGAAATGTGGCATGTGATGCTTTTTTTACTCCGCGGCACATGACCCAATCACGAGTTAGACGGGGGTTTGTGTCGGTGTGGAGGAAAGGTCACCGGTGTCAAGAACAGGTAATCCATGACTTTGTGTCTGTCTGCACAGCTGCTCTGGTCTGACTTCACTCCACATTCCCGTCTCCCTCTGCAGCTGTCACGCAGAGCTAGTGACACGCCTGCAGAAGGAAACGTGCAGGACGTGCGTTGTAACCCAGCACGACTCTGGGGTTTAACTAGCGGGGGCAGCAGCAGCTCAGGAGGTGGAGCGGGTTGTCCAGTAATCAGAAGGTTGCAGGTTCGATCCCGGCTCCGACCAGAGAATGCTGCTGTTGTGTCCTTGGGCAAGACACTTAACCCACCGTGCCTGCTGGTGGTGGTCGGAGGGACCGGTGGCGCCTGTGCTCGGCAGCCTCGCCTCTGTCGGTGCGCCCCAGGGCAGCTGTGGCTACATCGTAGCTCATCCACATCAGTGTGTGAATGGATGAATGACTGATTGTGAAGCGCCTTGGGGGGCTGTAGAACCTTAAGAAGGCGCTACACAACTACAGACCATTTAACAGATCTGAGCTAGCACTTCAGCTGTTTCACGCGTTCCCTTTGAAAGCTCGCTGTAGTTACTGGTCCAGACCCTTACGCTGACGTGGGCCTGGCACCAAACCCAACAGGTTGGGATGAAAAAGCTATCAGAACGTTGTGATGTTGACATTTCAAACCCAATCGGACACGGGAGGTTCTGTGTCATTACGTATTTTAGGTTATTGTGTCTCCTTCCTCCTCCTTTGAAAAGCAGCTGTTCAGGCTTCATCGCCACCCTCTCCTTATTCTGATCCTTCTACCAACTCCGCTTTTCCCAGGATCCACTCATTTCCTCCTCCTCATTCATTTTCTCATTTTTATGATGTTTATTTTTTTATATCTTTTTATATTTAACATTTCTGTTCTAGTGAAGCACCTCGTGACTCTAGTCTTGAGAGGCGCTATACGAAAGATCGTTTTCTTCCTTCCGTTCTAAAAACAATGAAAGAAACTTGAGGGATAACTAGGATGTGTTTTCTCGTTATTTTAACGCTTTGCTAAAGATGGTTTCTTTTTTTTCTTCTTATTCTCATTTTTTCCTGAAAAGTATCGGATCGGGACTCGGTATCTGCAGGTGATCTAAATCGCATGACTCCGAATCGAATCGGGAGCTAAATCTCTAGCGGCAGCACGGATGGAAGCCCTCACCTGAAGGCGCTCCATCAGGCCGGTTAAAGCCTGCAGCCAGGTGAGGGTCACCGCGTACTGGTGAGCGCTCACCACCTTGGTCTCATGATCCAGCTCGGGGACGATGGCTGCCGTTCTCCAGCCGTGTCGCAGCATCAGGTCCTGAAGCAAAAAAGAAAAACAGGTTGCATAAAAACAGATTTTTAGGAAGAAACTGACGAATCCGGTGTGGCGATGCTGCAACACGTTTTCCTCGCCTTGCTGGGGTTTTTATGCTTGTAGCATAATGCTAACATGCTAATACCCGGGTTATCACATGGGGTCCCATCACTGTGATCGTTAAAGGAATAACTGACACAGAACTGAAGACTACTGAATAAAACCAGTATTCCCAGCATGGTTTATGGTTCTGTGGGTATAAAAGATGACTTGAGGTGTATGTTTTTTATAGTTATGAAATTTGTTTACTTTTTCCGCTTTCCTCGCAACTAAAAGGCAGGAACATGATCTGGGTCACTCCAGAGTTTGGTCCGGACACAGACTTTTATCAAAGCAAGTCGGTGGCGATGACATCACCAAACTCTGATACTTACAGCCAAATCGCTGTAAAGATGATCTCCAAAGTAGAGAACCTTTGATCCCCTCCAGCCCGTCAGCCTCAGGAAGTCAAACAAGTTCCCCTAAAACACAAAACACAGCCGATCCAACCAGATGCACCTAACACACACAGCTGCAGACACAAGTAGGACCCGTTGGCTAACCTGTTTGTAAATCTGTCCCTTGTCCAGGCTGTTGATCTTCTCCCACTGAAGGTCTCCGTTTCCATCCAAGCGCCTAAAAGGTCTACAGCAGTAACGAGTGTGAGAACATTGCTGAGGTCATGCTCTGAATCCTGGATGGCTCACTTCTGAGTCAGCAACAGTCACTCACTTAATACAATCGGTGAAAAAGTGCGGCTTGTCTGCCTGCACGATTACGACGTCGAAGAAGTCTCTCCAGTTTTGCCCCACCATGTGCGTCATCCCTTTATCCCTGCAGAAGCAGCACAGAGTAAGGCAGCTGGCAGAGGTTACGAGTCAGAGTGAACGCAGCTCACACTTACACGAAGCTGAAGGGGCTGTTGGTGATGAGGAAAAGCTTCTTTCCATGACCGACCAGTCGATGCAGAACAGAATCCGTCTCTTTGGCCCTCAGGATGAACTTGTCTGCAAAAACCAGGAAAACGGCTCGCTTTAGCAACGTGCATCTGTTCATGTTCCCCAGCACGAGGGAACAGAATGAAACAGGCTTCTCACCAAGATCCTGCATGACCCACTTGTACATGAAGCCCTTCAGGTGAACCATGCCGATGGCTTCCTGGATGAAAAAACATTTTCAGAAACAAGTCGTTTCATCCTCGTTTACAGAAAAAACTGTTTTAACCCTTTGGTGCATAATGGTCACTACAGTGGACGGGTACAGTGATCCCTCGCTGCTTCGCGGTTCGTTTATCACGGATTCACGACTTCGCGGATTTTTTCTTTGGAGCCTTATTCAAGGGAAATTCGCCGATTCGCGATATTTTTCTATGCGAAATATCAAGAAATTCCTGTTTTTTTCATCAATTTCATCATAAAATGCACTTTTTGTAATAAAACTATCAAAAAAAAAAACAAGTAAAAATACAGTACTATGTAAAGGGAGGGTTTTAAAAGTCTGAATACTGAATACGTACCTGTTAAATAAATACTGTAAATATGGTGTCCCTACTTCGCGGATTTTCACCTATCGCGGCCAGGTCTGGAACGCATCTACCGCGATAAACGAGGGATCACTGTACTCAAAATTGTTATTTATTTATTTTTTGCTATTAAGCACAGCTGTTGAAGACTTTATTGCATGTCAGCCCCTCCATTTGGACTTCAGTAAGGCAAGCCAACATATCATGCTCAGAACGCACGCTGTCCACTGAGGTGGACGTGCAATAAATTATTTGTAAATTATAAAATTTTACAAAAAATATTTGTAGAAAATTTGTTTCATTCACACCTAAAGATGAATGAAAAAAATTGTTAAAAATAAATCATGGTTGAAGATTTCATAATTCATGCATCGAAGGGTTAAACCAAAATGAGCTTTTACAGTGCAGACTGTTCCCTGGACTGGAAGCTTTAAAGCTGTGGAAAAGGAGGCGGAGCAGCCCCCGTTCTTGGCTCCTGACCTGACTAAAGGGTCCAATGCAAACATTGCCTCGGCTCAGCAGATTCCTGAGTCTCCAGCTGAGGGATCCCCCCCCCCCCCCCCCCCCACACACACACACCCCCCGAGGCCAGAACAGAGCCACAGCTAGAAGAGGAAAAACTCACAGACACATCTTTGAAAAGGTGAACTGGATCGTAGTCGATGTCGTTGGTGTTGAAAAAGTCGTTGGCCACAGCCAGGAGGGTCATCTCAGGGATGGAGAAAATATCCATGAACTGCTTCACCTTTGGCCCCTGAGAGCAAATGACTGTGAGGTTATAAAGCCTCTCTTATGAGTTTATCATCAGGACATGAAAACAAGTTAACTCCAGTTTTAGCCAAAATAATAATCCACCGGCGTTACAGGCAGCAGTCTTAAAGAGCAAACTGCAGGTAACATTTTTTTCTAATTCATATAAAATGCTGTCCAGAAAATCCTATTTGAAATGTTTATTGTGGATATTTAGTTTTAAAATACATAACAGCAGTTTTCTAGTAAAAAGTGGCCTTTCTCAGCAGAGCTTCTAAAAAGGCTCTTGTTTCTAAGTCTGAACCTCCGACGTAACCAAAGGGAGTCAGAAGCTCGGTGCCTCAGCTCAGTGTGGAGAGTGGCTAGTTTTAGGGTAGAGAGGTCATGTGATCCAGTTAAGCCGGGCGTACACTGTGCGACTTTTTCACTCGTAGCACTCAGCTTCAGCTCAAACTGTACGACTTCCTCGCAGAGCAGATCTCACGAGCCAGGCGTTCACGCTGTACGTCTGGTAGCAACACGTCGGACCCAAAAACATGCTAAAAATAGCAGTTTTTACTCAACACGTCAGACTTTCTTGTCTTGTTTTGCCTGTTGTCCTTCGGGAGCGCTGCAGGAGGACACACAGGGATTTATGGGGGTTGGATGAGGAAAACGAAATGAAGAAAGTAAATCTGTGTTTTGTGATCAGTTTAATTTGACACGAACACGACAAACACGCTTTCTTGACGATCTTTGTGAGTAAAAAAACGTGTAGAAATTAAAACTAACAACGTGTGTTATTAGGGAAATAGCGAGCGGTGTTGATGCAGGATTGTGCATGCGCCGTGAGCGGTTCTGGTACATTTTGGCTCGCAGCGCCGCTTCAACAGTGCGATACCCTCACAAGGGACGAGCGAAATATTAAACACGCCAGAAGTCCGTGCGACCTCACGATTGCTGATCGGTAGCTGGTCACGTGGTGTTAATCGCCTCTCGTAACCCCCTGTACACTACACCACGCTCGGCGCAAAACTCGCCCCGATCTTGTAGATTCTCGCACGAGTGGAAAATCGGCTCAAAAAAGTGAAAAAGTCGCACAGTGTACGCCCGGCTTCAGTGTGTGTGTGTGTTTACTAGTGTTGGGTTGTGTGCATGTTGATAACCTAGTGTGTGTGAAGGCTGTACCAACTCCAGCCTGTCTGGACATCGAGTTCACGGGTTTCCAGATCAGAGGAACAACGCCTCTGTCTCCGTGCCTGAGGGCGTTTCTGCAGCTGAAAAGACGGACTTCTGTAGTCCACATCGGTCGGAACCGGAACAGGGAGGTCCGCGCTGGGCTCCGGAGACCCGCCATGGTGGGGTTTAAAAAATTAAATGTGGATTTCTGGAACTCAGATCACCGTCAGAACCAGGTCAGAACCGACCACCAGAAGAGGCTCGCGCCTCAGCGGGCCAGTAGAGCTGGTTTGCTGAACTGGATCAGAACCGCCGCGGGCCTCCAGCTGAAGATAATGCACAGCTTCTAAAATCACCAGCTGGACTGGCTCACTGGTGTCTGGGTCGGATCCAGCTCACAGAAGCCCGCATGAGCTCCAGAACCGGAAGCTCTCCCTCTCTCTAAGCGCTAAACTAGGTTAGGTGAACGGATAACGAGTATGAGACAGCTGACAGATGCTCATTAGTATTAATATTATATTAACTGACCGACACTACTTTAATTGTCTGGTACACGATAGTAATCTGTACTATATTGTGATGCTAGCACACGAGCTTAAGCTAGCATCGTGAACTCACAAGCTGCCCCCCTTCCCGCTTCTCCTCACATCGCAGCACAATCCCTCTGCTTTGGCCGATGGTTTCTCCCTCTGGTTTGTCTCTGCTCTCTGGGGCGAGCAGCAAACTCATAACTTTATGGTTTTGGTCCATCAGAAGTAGAATTATTAACATTTAAAGGTTCCTGTGTGTCAGAGCCGCATTAGAATCCATATTTTTCTCTGGATTAAGCTAACAGGACTCCCTCAGCTGACGTCACGTGTTTTAGCAAAAACATAAATAAAACATTTCTCACAAAAATGACTCTAAAAGCCTAAATAATTCATGTATGTGTAAAACAATGCATAAAAATGAGTTTCTACTATGTTTCTCTAAACACTGGTTCATGGGAGTCTCTAACCTGCAACTTACTCTTTAACATTGCTCCTGATCAGAAGCACCAGTTTATCGTTCACGATGGAAGGAAATGTAAAGTCTTAGTTCAGAACACAGCGTTCCCTGGATTGGCCCTGTGAGACCGGGAAGGTGCGTTCCAGTTCATGACAAACACAATCCCACACATCGTGGTCTGGTCTTATGCAACGCTGCATCCTGGCAAATCCCAACATTTTCAAGCATTTGAGGACAGCCGCAGATTACACCCTGAACGTGTTAGGGAGTGGCCACAGCAGATTATTATTGTTTTGTAGAGTCTGCAGCGCTTCAGAGCTTTTGCCTCTGCAGCAAACCAAACTCAGCTCCCAGGGATTCACAGCAGGCAGCTCTCAGGCGTGAAGGTTATTTCATCCCCATTCGTCTATCAATGCAGCAGAGGCCGTATTAGAGTAGGGAGCACGCTCCTCACCTTTCCATAGAAGCCGCTGTCCTGCTGGAGGGGGACGTGGAAGGTGCCCCCATACAGCTGAAGGACCTCCTCGTCAGGAACTGGACTCAGACCCCTGCATGCAGCAACAATTAGCTCCAAACTCATCCCAAAGCTCCATCCAATCATGTGTTTGCCTTCAGAGGCAGAGATCTTATTGCTCCTACCGGTACACTGTTCCTGGCTCAATGTAATGAAAGGCATCGATTTTCATCAAGAGACCCTGAAGGAGGGGGGGGGGGGGGTCTTTGGTTAGTATAAAAAATGATCATAAAAATAATTTGGACAATTTCTGAATTATAAAAAGCTAAAATGTACCTTTTGGATGTCGTAGTGAAGACCCCGCACCGCGAAGTTGGGGATGTAGTCGTATTTACCGATGTCTTTGGGGTACTGGGAAGTCCGACGACAGTCATGAATCAGCACGGAGACAAAAGCTGCTCTGTAACGTATTTTGTGTCGTTTACGTGAGACGCACCTTAAAATGCTCGACCAGGAAGCTCCTGGCTGTGTTGTAGATCAGCGTGTTGAGAGTGCTGGAGTACTGAGCCAGAGTGTAGTCGTAGTCGAAGCCATAGATGTCCACCTCGGACAGGTTGACCTCGTTGTTGGCGTAGATGACCGTGGAGTTGAGGCTTTTACACGCCCCTGGTGGGATCAGGTCTGACCCAGGAGGGATGGAAGAGAAACCATGACTCAGCTTTAAATAGAACATATCAGGAAGACGTAGATGACTCAGAGGGAACAGAAAAGCGCTCGCTCGGTAATTATGCGGGGATAAGAGTGTTTGCAGTCTGGGCTGAGTTTGCACTTCTGCGTGCATGCTGCTGTCTTGTTCCAGCGGGCTCTGCAGGCTCAGCGGAGGTTGGGCAACAACAGGTTCTCATGTGTCAACTGACTGTTGACCAAATCGAGTCAGTCTTAAAGGAACATTTTGTGTGCTGAAGACTGTGTTCAAACGCAGAGCGGCGTGGCGGCACGGCACTTCCTGTAGGACAGGTTCTTTTTTCACAAGTACAACACACACACCCAGCTGTTTACCTTTCCTCCAGACCGGTGCCAGACAGCAGGCTGCTGATCTACATGGGAAAGTGACCTATGACCTCTATCCTGAGTCAGCTGAATGGACCCTGCAGCTGGGCAGCAGACTTGCCTCCAGCAACCCTCTGGCTGGCTGCCCTCCAGTCTGCTCTCACACAAAGTCGGGTTTTCCCTCAGACTCCAGGGAGGAGTGCGTGTCCAGCTTTTATGTTGGGAATTTGCAGGAGTTGGTTACTGGGAGGAATCTCTTCTTTAACGTTTGTAACAAAAGCACAAGAACACACCCTGACGCACCACCCAGTGGTGCAGCATGGGGGGTTCACTGGAATTCGGTGAAGTGTGCAACCTCCAACAGTCACGTTTCTCAAGCAAACTAACGCACTTCCCACAAATATTAATATTTTATAGAAAGTGATGAAATATCACGTGTCCGTCCTGATCTGGAACCAGCAGCTTCCACGCCATGCTGTTGGGGTTGGTTTTGTTTTTACCCCGCAGAGGTGCTGACAGCAGGGGCAAGGCTAATAGCGCATGTTTTTGCATGCTTTACCCTGTAATTTGACGCACTTTTTGAGCTAAAACACAACCAGCAGCACGATGCTACCATAACAAGCGCAGCTGGGCCGTGTGTGCTTCAGGCTGCCTCGTTAAAAACAGCTCTGTTGTTGTTGTTGTTGAGCAAACGTACGGTAATAAATCAGCTTTAGGGACCCGAGCCCCAACACCACGCGCACGAACGTCACGTCCCTGCGGCCACCAGATAAACGTGATGACGTGGGTGGGTTTTTAGGGAGGGGGGCGAAGACAAAGGGGGCCCGTGCTCACCGTAAACAAGCCGCTTCATGTCGTTGTATCGCGTCCACAGATAGGACGTCTGGTCCATCGGCGCGGCGTTGGAGGTGAACGAGCGCCTCCTGACTCCCGTGCCCCCCGGGGCCCCCACCGCCTCCTTCAGCCGCTTCTTGTCCGCAGACGGGCTCTTGTGTGGGGGCTCTCCCTCGCCACTTTGCCCTGGCGCGTCGCTTTTGTCCCCCTGCTCGGCCGCTCCCAGCGCCCTGCACGTGCTGGAGAATCGGTTCGCCCTCGGGGACCGTCCCAGAGGAGGGGTGCGGTTGCCCCTGGCCCACAAGGTGCGGGACAGCGCGGTTCCCGCAGTTTTCAGAGCCATGTTTGATTGCCTGAACACGCTACTGGTGTAGCTTGCTGCTTCTGCACAGCTCCGACCAAACCACCCAAAACACCTCCTCGGTGGCCACGCCCCTTAGGGGAGGGGCGGGGTTATCGCTGACATCACTGTTTACCTCTTGGCTCTGTATCGTTCAGCCGAGGAAGCTGCTTTGTTTACATTTCGTAACACGTTCAGGAAATCCACGTTCAGCCCGGGTTTCAGTGCAGAATCACCACATCTGACCCCAAACCACCTTCTGCCAAACGGCGACCTGCGTCAGCGTGTCTGATGATGAGCTGACGTCACGTTTGCTCTCAGCATTTACAATCACAATCAAACTTTATTTCAGACAAGGGATATGTCCATAACAAGAATAAAATAAAAATAAGATAAAAATACAAACACATTAGCCTCGTTAGGGTAATTTTTGTACTTTAGCTACTTTTGCATACGTTGCTCTTGGACGTTAACACTAAAAAGTGTGAGATTTGCAAAGAGAAGAACCGAATCTGTAAGATAAATGCAGCTCAGAATAAATAAACAGACCCTTTTTTTCTGAGGGGACATTTGTGGATGCTCACCGGGTCGCGGTGTGCTCCTCCGGGTGTGAGCAACATCACCCAGACAGAAACATCAGAGGAACTCTGACTTTGCCAACAGATGCTGCATAAAAAAACACAACCAAAAGGCTTACTGAGCTGAAACCGAAGCACAAATCACCTTAAAACAAAAGATGCGCTTTTAATGAGAGCAATACATTCGTAAAGAATAGTTCACAATCATGCATGTAGTCATCAACGTTTAACAACACCTTGGAAAAGTTGGGAAGAACCGTGGATCTGGAAAACCAAGAAATTGAGCAACAATTCAGTTTTTTAGCATTTTTATTTTTAGTTCTTCACTCAGAATGTGGTCGGTGCTTAAACGGGTGACAGGACTTCAGGCACTTCGCTGGTTTCATTCCAAACATAGCTCGGCATCGTTTTCTCAAAACTGTTCTACTCTCTTCTTTAAAAAACAGACATTGGTCTAGTTCTAGGCTAACAAACTGTGTCCCTGAACTCAGATCTTCTACGATGGCGCATCAGTACTATTAAAACACGCTTAAAGAGCCCGAAGAGCAAACGTTACGGTGCTTCTGAACCTGAACCCAGCTGCATTTAACCAGGGGTTCTGGGTGTTTTTACTTCATGAGGAAATCTCTTTCACAGCTACGTTTGGGCAGGACAGAAGAAGAAAGGGGCTTTGGGACGACACAAGAGGAAGTCAGAGGTTTAGCAAGGCGGTGAGAGACCCTCCAAACAACAGGATGTTGTTTCTCAGCCTCTTTGTGAAGAACAGAGTCACAAACCCTGCATGCCGTTAAGGATTTGCCACAGGCAGACAACCTGAATGAGTTCTCTGAATGACCAAAGGCAAGCTCTACAACCTCTCGAGAGAATCCTGCACCTCCCATTCTCACCCTTCCTCTGGTTTCCTCCCCTCTTTAGAGAAACAACAGGACATTCTGTGAAATGCCTGTATTTGACATGACACCTTCTAGAGACACGCTGTCTCGCTCTCCTCTGATTCGTCTCAGGACAGGAGTTTAGTCAAAACTTCACATGCTAACATGCCTCAAAGCCTTTTAAATCCCCACCCCCATCCATCTCACTCAAATCTCATGAGTGCACACTTTTAAAAGTTACTATCTTTCTCCTGAGTGTTCCCTCTCTCCTCTTTCTGCAGCTTTCCTTGCAGAGAGCAAAAGATTTACTGCAGCGATTGGGTCTGCTTGAAACGTGACTGGCTGCAGCTACGCGACCTGCAGACCTCTCCAGGGGCCCCAGTGGCCACTCCCAACTCATGAACTCAGAACCTGCAGTTTGTCAACACTGAAACCTCACGGACTCCAAACACAAACCGTCTAAGCTCTCACTGGAAAGAGTAATGTCAACAGATCATTTCTTCTGACCACAGGACCTAAACGCAGCAAGACTACAGATGCTTCAGGGCTCCGATTACACTGAGACATGCCACATGTTCACCAGATGACTGGAGCAAACAGTCAAAAACAAAAAAACATATCACAACCTCCAGCTCCACATGGATTCCCTTTAGTATTCCCACCCCCAGGCCTTCTTTAGGATCAGCATTCTCAAGACAAACACACGCAGATGCCATAAACCCACCGGTCACACACCAGAGGCAGAACAACACTCGGACTGACTTCTGTTCCCATAAGAAACTGAGGTTACGGAAGACTGCGTTAAACTGAGTACTCGTGGTCTGTAGAGGCCATGGGCGAAGAAGGCCTCTGGGCGGTTCGTTCAGTGGATAGTTTTTGCAACAAGACTGTGAAACTCTTGGCGTTGAAAAGGTGTTTACGCCCATTTGTTTGTTTAACAGAACTGGAAAAACATCCCATTTAAAAATACTGAAACAAGAAAAAAATGAGCCAAGTTGCTGCAAACTCCAGATTTTTTATTTAGGAACCTTCACGTGATCCAAGACCTGCTTCAAAGGAGAAATACTGCCCTCTAATATTTTTCACTACATTTCTGCAGCATGGTGCATAAACTCCATGACAGTTGCCAAAACTCTCCAGATCTAGAGAGTAACTCTGCATATAAATGACTGTGACGTTGTCTGGAGCCTCTTTTGTGTGAAACTGCTCATCTTCTGTGCAGAAGACCAGGAGCTGCTCAAACCTGTTCTGCTGGCTGGCCCTTCAAACAAGCTCCAACAGCTCACACTGATCCTGGAATTTCTGCAGCCAGGTCGTGCTGAAAAATGAAATCATCTCCATAAAGCTTTTCAGCAGATGGAAGCATGAAGTGCTCCAACATCTCCTGATAGCTAGCTGCAGTGACCCTGCCCTTGATAAAACACAGTGGACCAACACCAGCAGCTGGCATGGCACCCCAGACCATCACTGACTGTGGGTACACTGGACTTCAGGCATGTTGGCATTTCCCTCTGCCCAGTCTTCCTCCAGACTCTGGCACCTTGATTTCTGAATGACGTGCAGAATTTGCTTTCATCTGAAAAAAGTACTTTGGACCACTGAGCAACAGTCCAGTGCTGCTTCTCTGTAGTCCAGGTCAGGCGCTTCTGCCGCTGTTTCTGGTTCAAAAGTGGCTTGACCTGGGGAACGCGGCACCTGTAGCCCATTTCCTGCACACGCCTGTACACGGTGGCTCTGGATGTTTCTACTCCAGACTCAGTCCACTGCTTCCGCAGGTCCCCCAAGGTCTGGAATCGGTCCTTCTCCACAATCTTCCTCAGGGTCCGGTCACCTCTTCTGGTTGTGCAGCGGTTTCTGCCACACTTTTTCCTTCCCACTGAGGTGCCTTGATGCAGCACTCTGGGAACAGCCTATTCGTTCAGAAATGTCTTTGTGTCTTACCCTCTTGCTTGAGGGTGTCAATGATGGCCTTCTGGACGGCAGTCTTACCAGTGATTGCGGTTTTGAGTAATGAACCAGGCTGGGAGTTTTTAAAAGCCTCAGGAATCTTTTGCAGGTGTTTAGAGTTAATGAGTTGATTCAGATGATTAGGTTAATAGCTCGTTTAGAGAACCTTTTCATGATATGCTAATTATTTGAGATAGGAATTTTGGGTTTTCATGAGCTGTACGCCAAAATCATCAATATTAGAAACAATAAAAGGCTTGAACTGCTTCAGTTGTGTGTAATGAATCTAATATATATGAAAGTCTAATGTTTATCAGTGCATTACACACAATAATGCTAATTATTTGAGAAGGACCGGTATTTGTAAACAGTCAAGTTTAAATAAAGCACAATGAAACTGGAACAAGCCACAGAAAGCAGTGTGACCCTTACAGGTTTTAAAGGAAGGTACCAATGCTGTTAAAGAGCTAGTGCTCATCTGTTTAAAGGACTTTAATGAAACACACACACACACACACACACACACACACACACACACACACACACACACACACACACACACACACACACACACACACACACACACACACACACACACACACACACACACACACACACACACACACACACACACACACACACACACACACACACACACACACACACACACACACACACACACACACACACACACACACACACACACACACACACACACACACACACACACACACACACACACACACACACACACACACGTCATCAGTATGGACCTTTTATTCATCATGAGGTCACTGAGGGTCAACTTTTATACACAAAAAGTAGAGGAGCATCAAACAGGAGTGCATGAAGGGACATCTTGTAGATTTACACAAAAATGCACGTCACTTAAATACAGTTAAAATATACAGCAGCAGATCAAATTTTACACAAAGGGAATTAAATAAAACTAGGAGTGAAAATAAATAGATCCTTCAAAAAAATCCATTTACATCATTTCATGTAACATGACATGATGCTAAAGCATTTTCACCTTTAGTCCAACCATCTCGTTCAAACGTTTACAGCAGCCCCAAAACACTTACAAGTTCTGCTATACATTTATATTTTATATCCTTCATTTGTTCATGATTTTCACAGTTTTCACAATAAATACACAAGGTCATCATCAATCGTTTTTAGGGCGAGCTAAGGTCCAACAATTATTTGTTTTCATCAATTAATACAAAACGTTTTAGCTAAGAAGTGAAAATACTTGACCAAAATGAGATATCACCTGAATCAGTGCTGGACAGGCTCAACGAACCTCATCAGAAGTAAAGAGATCATTTATTTAAAACTTAAGTTTTGTAGAAGAAAACTCAACCAAGGCACCGACAGAGAAACAGAAACCAGCAGGATGTGACCGGTGGGACCAGCCGTTACTTCAGCGGACATAAAAACATGATTGTGAAAATGAGATTTGATTTTCAGATGCTGTTAATGATGCAGCAGGCTCACAAAACAGCCATAGAAACCATCCCATAATGACAGACGGACAGATACAAGGGTACTCCCACCGCCTCTCTGTGCTTTCTGTAGACCTGTAGCTAGCTGAGCCGTGTCACACCTGCGTTTGGGACCTCATCATCATCATCATCATCATAATAAATGTGTGTGTGAAGTATTCAGGCTATTTCTAAGAACTATAAATATTGTTGAAGTGTTTACAGAAGCAGCGCAGCTGGGACATTACAAGCACATGTTGGAAGAGCATGAAAGCACGGCGATGTTTACTCACTAAACTCATGAATATAGTTGATTAGGTGATCAAGATGCATGAAAAAGCAGAAGCTAAACGTTTCACTACTGTAGTCAAAAGGAAAGATGGAACTAGACGTCTCAGGGTTAGGGTGTTAAAAGTCACATGTAACCAATGAGAAGCTCGTGTTATGTGGCGAAGTGGGCTCTCTTGTGAAATAACAGCTACCAGCCGGGGTGAAAGTGGAATCAGGCGTGGATAGAACCGCCTGGAGCCTGCAGCAGAGTGAACAGGCACTCTCCGGGCACAGTCTGCATAGTGCTTCCCAAACTCTCCAAGTGAATTATTATAGTTTGACCTGAGGTGGGGAATTTATGGCTGACCTATTTCCACTTGAAACAACATGTTTACTGACCTCTAGTTAAAGGGTGAAGCTGCTGGGCAGAGGTGGGAGGACCACAACTGTCAGGTTTACAGTAAACGTTACCGCATCACTGGGATGAAATGTCAGGACAACCTTTAGAGTCTGTTCGTAAGACTGCACCTCTCTATAGTTAGCATAGATGACCCAATGGCTTGCCCACGGGCCTGAACAGGAGACAGGTTACAGGCAGAGGTGTGAAGACAGACTCCAGAGAACAGAGCACAGCCAGAACCGCAGACAGCAGGAAAACCTCTCTGATGGACTACAGGGTGAAGACCGTCAATGCTCACCGGGACAGTCTTAGACAGGATGAGCTGGAACCAGTTTAGACACAGAAACCAGCAGCACGCTGGTCCTTCTCCAGGCTGCATGCAGGTTTCTCCACCAGGAGGGTGGAGGGATTGGTTCAGGTGGGTGGGGGGTGGGGGGGGGGGACGGGTCCTTATGGAGAACAGGGGCGTTGGAGTAATGGAAGGTGTGTTTCAGCGCTACGGAGACAAGGGGAGACAAAGACAGAAGAAGACATTTAGGCATATTTATAACAGCTGACATTATTATTATTATTATTGTTATTATGAACTGCACTGGGGTCCTTACTAAACAACAGCTGTGTGTTCATCGTTGTGGAAATTCTTATGTTTATTAATACTTGACCATTGATTCAATCAACTGAATGTAATATGTATTGCTCTTCTCTCTCTCCCCCCCCCCCCCACCCTCCCCTGTGTCCAGATGTTCGGGGCATTGTGCCACAGTTAGAACTGTGTGACTTGTCTGTTCATTGTCTCCTTTATCTCTTCGACTACAGGAAATGGGTTATTGATAAACATATTGATAAGATCCATGACAATCGTTCAGGTTATTTGGATGTAATAAACAGGTGATCAGATCGGACTTCTGACCTTTTAGCGCCTGCAGGAGGATTTTGAGTGAGCACTAGGAGCTCGGGAAGGTGCAGACTTGACAGCTCCAGGCTCTCTGCAGACCCCCGCCATCCTGGTGCTACCATGCTGACTCTGAGCCAGCAGAGAGGTGGTGTGTGCGTGTGGCTCTGACTGAAACGCAGCTGCTGCTGCTGCTGCTGCTTGGACAGGTTTAGACCTCTGGGTCGCCTCTTTTCTTCTCACAGAAAGCTCTACCTGTGGTTTTGGACCACACATTAGTTTGCTTTCATCCCATGCTTTAGATGTGTTAGGGTACACACGCACAGCTTTGGAGGAAGTTAGACTATCAGCAGGTGAAGAACACCTTTCCCTGCTGGAAGAGGAAGGAGCAGCACGAGAAGTGATGAAAGTGTTTTGACGCAGAGGAACTGAAAGAGCAAGTCACCCCTTACAAGAAGCGTACCTCACTCCCACTTCATGTTTGAAAAATGCAACAAATGCTGTTGCCTAGCAGACCAAGAGGGTGGAGCCACTAACAAATACACACACTCACGACATTGTGACATCATAGTGTACCAGTTTACATCATAGCATACCTCTTAGCCAATAGCGGTGGCAGATTTAAATTCAAATCCAGTGAAGAGTTTTTACCTGACAACGGCACAACACTGACAGTTTCAGGCAGAAATTTTAAATTTTAACTAAAATGCACTAAAGTGCTAAACTATTGACTACACGTGTATGCAGCACAATTAGACACGCATTTATATAGTTTATCAGAAAAAAAAAGTTGATTTGGGGGTGACTTGCTCTTGAAGCTCTCCTTCTCGATGCAGCTCTTTTAGAACAACCAACATCTGTTTTCGTTAACTCGCTGTTCAGAGAACTACTGGAGTCTCTACGTGTCAGACAACATCCACCACCTGAGACGGTGTTAAAGACATCCCTAACGCTGTGGCTTCTAATGAAGGTGGCATCCCGTGGGAGAGCCCCGCCTCTGTGGGAGGGGCTCTCTGTCGGAACGCTGCTATTGGAATAAAGAGAAGAACAGGTTCTTACAGGGCTGGTGTTCAGACTTCGAGTTAGAGCCCTCAGGTGGTGTGTGGCTGAAGCAGGAACACTGCTGCCGAGAACCGGGCTAGCCCGCGAGCTGCTCCTCAGCTGAGGCCGAGCAGGGCTGCTCCGGGGACTCCGAGGGGCCCGGCCCGACTTGTTGGCGAGCTCCTTGGCTCGGGAGCGGCGGGGGCTGCTGTTGAGGCTGTGTGGATACTGAGGAGCTTCCAGGTCCTCCAGGCGTTGAGTGAGAGCCAGTTTCTGCTGGATGGCCATGCGCAGCAGAGAGTTCAGGGTCTTCTTCTCATCTTCTGCAGCTGCCAGCTGCCTCTGCATCTCATCCAGCTGGGTGACGTACTGGTCACACCTGGAAAATGTGCACAGCAACAGCATGCAACACACAAACACACACACACACACACACACGAGCATGTTAGTTTAGACACACACACACACACACACACACACACACACACACACACACACACACACACACACACACACACACTTGATGGCTATGCGCCATCTACTGGACACAAAGAGAAGAGCAGCCAGAGGCTCAGGCCCTGTGACGTGTGGGTTAGTGGTACCTTTACATGATGAGCTGAACTAGCGTAGCGCCTTTCTGAGTCAGAGGACTCCAAACTGCTTTACACTACTACAGCCAATCAATCATCCATTCACACATTCCATACTCGATCATTCCACCCTGTAAACATCTAAGAAACCTTGAAGTTGCAGCCTGCATGAGTCTGCTGGTAAATGTTCTAGTTTTTACGTTGTGTTTGAATGAGTTTCTATGGTGACATGACCAGAAATGTCACCAACACGGTGGTGGGAAAGGGCAATGCTGCCTAAAATCTCTGATACATTTGTGTGGTAACGTTCTGCATGGCGATGTACCCTTTTCTTCTGTTAGGACGTGTAAAAACATTCTCACACACCAGATGAATTGTAGGAGCCTGACCAGCCGGCCCCACGCTTCCTTATGGGAAGCATCTAGTTCTCTGTGATGAAAACATTAAACTCTAAACTGAACTAAAGAGAAAAATGTCAAAAACACAAATAACATTTCTTTCTTGTTCCTCAAAAAGGTTTTACTTCCGGACTGAATAACTGCAGGTAAAATGATGCTCTGCTGTGTTTCATATCAATAATATTACAATAAGGTTGGAGGTTTATCCAGTTTGTTGAACTGTGCTCAGGCCAGCAGATCCGTGGTGGTCTGACCCACCGCAGCGTAAACGAAACGTAGCGGGAAAACAAGTAAACAAAACTGCTCTGTGTTTTAAAAAAGAACTACAGCATGGAGTTAGAGATACGACGCAGCAAGAACACACCTAAGATGTTCAGAGTAATCCCACATAATCTGTTTTCAGTGGTACGTCGGTTGTTTGAACCGTCGACTGCTACAGATCCAATATGGTGGCAAAAGGTCTACACTTCAGCGCTAAACATCGCCTCTACACATTTCGTTTTTGTTTCATCTTATTCCCACCTCTTGTATCTACTAGCGGTTTCATAAAATAGTACATTCGTACCGATTTCAAAAGTTAATTTCTTCTTCTAAAGTGGACCTTCTCTTTATTCTGATCGCTGTTTGAATGTGGGACTACTTTTTTTTAGCACAAATAGTAAAGTGGCTCTCACGTGGTCGTTGTAGACCAATGCCGTGCTCGTATTTAGTAACTAGGGAGCCAACATAGTGGTGTACTCCAGTGGGAAAATCGCAGCGATTATGATTTAATTACCTTAGAAACTCGTAAATTTAAGAACACAAATTATTGTTATGGAAACGTATTTAATGTAATGCCAGGGAACAAGTTTCTGTCAATATTTATTTAAATTAAAATGCTCTTACCAGTTAGTGTTTCCAAGTCTGTGACCAGCAGCTCTTCTTTCACCATTTAAATGATCCCAGTTTAGCCTGTTCCCATCAACTCTCGCCGCTGACCCAACACCGTACGGCTGAGCACCTTCAGTATTTAACAGTTCCTATTCAGAATCTGGAGCTTCTTGCTGCTGCTCCAAACCCATTTTTTCTGAGCAGAGCCAGGAACGGTTTACTTGAGCGGCGTCACTTCCGGTTTCCAGCAAGAGGCGCCGTTTTTAGACAGATGAGCTAGGAGATCCTAGTTGGATCAGTAATAGCACTGTTTTCTCTCAAATAACTTCCTTTTTTAAATGAAATTATAACATCTAGACCAGTTAAAATGTAAGGGCTTCATTAACGTGGAAGACACACTTTAGACGTGGTTTTAGACGGATGTTGTGAATTAACTTTTGGCTAGATTGGGGTTAGGACTAGAACAGCACTGGATAGGGTATGGGTTAGGCATAGTGGAGTCCCAAAAACGAATGGAGGTCAATGGAGGGTTCAGAGGGATATTTTAGGACAAGGGACATACTCTAAACACACTTCTAAACTAACGAAGACTTGAATGAAAGGAAATGGGTCTTTGTGGTGACGAGTACTTCCTCCACTTGATGGCGTCTCTGCACCATCAGACCTTTAAAACTTTAATCTTGGGTCTGCTGGAGCCGACAGCAGCTTTCTCCCATCCTTCTAAGACATCGCCACAGCAAACAGACCCAGACAGTCGGATGCTTCTCTGGGATTCATGTGGCTGATAATAAAAATGCTGTCAAAAACAGGAGTAAACAGGCACTCTGAGCTTCATCCAGCTGAGCACCGCTCAACAGCCAGGACCAACTATGAGGTGTAAGGCTGGAGCCCTCGAGTCATCGGTGATAAATGGTGCTCTGATCACTTTTCTGATTGGGTTTGAATCTGTCAGCTTGAGCTGTCCCAGAAGCACTCTGACCCAGGTGCTCCAGTCCTCTTCTTTACTTCATAGCTGTCACAAACAGCGCACTCCCATCAAAGCCATTATTGATGCAAACCTACGATCAGAGCAGCGTCTGGTGGCCTTCCTTCTACCAGCCTACAGCTAACATCTGACTCCCTCCTGTTGAGACAAATCAGCCTTTGCTTTCCCCCACCAGCACAAGGCAGAGCATGTGGTTGGTAATCTTCATGTGAACTGGTGGTGCGTTCACAGACATGAACTCCGTAAGCCTATTAGGCGAGCGGCGGCTAAAGCCCCGCGTCAACAAGCACCAGCACACTTCTAGGAAGGGAAATCACCATCTTCCCCTCATACTAAAACACTTTCCGTGGATGAATACATTACGGTTCCAGCTGCTTCCAGATGGGATCCAAAACAAAAAGAAAACTTACCGACTGGCGAACATGACTCGTAGTGAGGAGAATGTAGCAGCATCCTCCTTCAGAGCTTTGAGCTCGTTCCGCAGTTTCATCATGGTTTCTGACACCAAGCTCTTCTCAGTCTCATACTTGGTCTTCAGGTTGGACAAGGCCACTTCAGCCGTCTGCAACAGTCACAAATACATTTGACCCCTAAATGAACACGATCACGAACGACTTATGGACAACACAGATTGTGTGACACTTAAACCTTCTCCACAGGTGAGAATAGTCTGTGTGGAAAAGAGCCAAACATAAATGAAAACCATAAAAATGCACGCTTACATACGCACACAGGCACAGCGGCATCTGTGGACGGAGGGACACTTTCATACGGACTGACTTGTTTTCTGGACCATTACTGTATTTTAATATAGCATTACAGCTAAAGTAAACTCCTGACAAGAGTAACCCGACACGTCACTAAAAGCCTCTGCAAAAAGTTTCATTACAACTCGGACAAAATCTTCAAGCACTTCACTTCTACTCCGACTTAAACAACATTCAGTTATTTATTTTAGGACCACATTTCATAATAGGGGTTGTATCAAGTAGTCGACTTCACGGCTCTGTAGTGACTTGTTATGCCTGTCATCGACTAGTTGCTGTCGCGTGATAATGACCGACAAGATGCAGTCCTCGGAAAAGACAGCAGGTGACGAGCGCCCGTGCGTCTGGAGGCAACACGCTGTGCCAGAGCGTCGGTACTGACGCCCGCCGTAAAACGGACATTTGGCCCAATTGTGACCTTTACCCTCTCGCAATTTAACCTTCAAAACTCCAGCGAACCAGTGTGGGCCCGGCTTTAGTCCAACACAAAAATGCCGCCTGCTTGCAGTGACTTAGGTATGTACTACCCCCCCATCGCCACGGGAACACACATCGACACTTTAAACACAAGTTCAGCTTCTTACCTGTTTGTTTGCCTTCAGGACGGTTCTGAGGGTGGCAATCTGCTCCCTTTTAGTGCTGAGCAGAGATTTGAGTTTCAGAACTTCCTCCATTAGGCTCTCGGTGTCTCGCTCTGCTTCTGCGCTGCTGCTGAGCCCCGAGTACGGCATCACGCCCTTCTGACGACACAGATCCACAGCCACCTGGGCAAGCACAAAGGGGCTCATCACTGTTTGTGTAACTCACGCCATCAAATCAATCGTTTGGCAAATTTCAAATACTACTGAGATAGTATTTAATTTTAATCTAATCTAATCCAACCTTTCAACAAGTAGAAACGTTGATCTGAAATGTAGGGAAGCAACAATAATTCTGTGTTTCTTTTCATTTTTTTTTTTTTAAAGGATCATTTCCTTGCGGTTTGCTCAGAGGCCACAGCTCAACTTTGACCCGATAATCCAACGCAGCCAGGTGCGTGCCGGCCCGTCCTACAGCTGATGCTGCCTCTGGGACAGACAGGAGTTATTCAGGAACGTTAGCTGTCTGAACAGTAGATGGGCCTGGAGGTTATGGGTTACGAACCAGATTTTATCTGTACGTTTAACGTTTTCACTGAAGTAGCAGGTAATCAATAGTTAAAGGTTGGGACGCCGACACATCCATTTAGTCACAACAACTAGGACATGTGTCTTCTTACCCTGAGGTGCTTAACCTGGCACCGGATGACAGCGACCAAGTTGGAAACATTGGATGGATCTCTGAAGTCCAGGGTCGGGGATCCGGGGCAGGTCAGAGCGTCTCCAGAGACTCCTGCACTGTCCACCTCTCCCATGAAGTGCAGAGCTGAAGCTTTGGAGACAAACATGTCATTGGCTCTGGGTTTCTTCTGGGAGTTTTGCTGGGAGAAGACGTGGTGAGATCTTCGACCGCTTCCTCCACCACTCGCCCTAGCCCCATCGCGGTAATAGTCCAGGGTGACCCGTTTGGGAGTCAGGTTGTTGCACACACAGATGTGGTGGTACAGGTTGGACAGCTCCTCGGAGAACGCCAGCAGCTCTTCCTGGGCAACGTTCAGGTGGCCTTCAGAATCGGTCGCCACCTTTCGCGTGGCTCCAATCTCCCTTTCCAGCTCACTGATGCGCTCTTGATCTTGCTTGCTGGACTTGATGCACTGACGGATCTTGTCGGCCAGTTCCTGGGCCTCACCTCTCCAGCGGTCCTTCTCCTGCTTGTATCTCTGCTCCAGGGTGTTATAACGAGCTCCTGCCTGAGACAGTTCGTCTCGCAGCTTCAGAAGCTCTTCACTAGCTGCACGCATCCGCGCCTCCAGCACCTCCTTGCTCTTGGTGTCCACCTCGTAATCAAACGCTGCCGTGCCATCCTCTCCGGCTTCGGCCTCGTGCCTGCTCTCCACATCTGGGTTTTGCACGGCGTCCAGCTGCTGCAGCAGAGAGCCAACCCTGTCTTCCTGCTGACTGAGTGCCTGTTTGGACATCATCAGCTGCATCTGTAGCTCCTCCACCTTACAGGTCAGGCTAGACTTATCTCGTTCTGCCTAAAAACACACAAATAAAACACATTAGAAATAGAAACCATTCGTTTTAATTCATGTAGCTGAAACGCGATTTATTCAAGTGAACAATTAAAAATGATACGTTTCTCCTCCACCACCCATTAAAAGCTTAATGCATGTTTTATGTAACGCCCCGCAGGTCAGGCGTCTGTCCGGTTGGAGCTTTTAGACTCAACCCCCAACAGGCGTGTGTTGTAAATAATTAATTTCCATCAAACGGAGGAGGAACACCGTTTTATTTTCTAACAGGAAACTGATGTTCGCCGAGTCTGCCCAGCTTACTCAGTCAAACAGACTTCACATTTAACATTCCTTCTCCAGCAACACAAAGAGGAAGTGGTTTAAAGCAGGAAGAGGCCTCTCTGCCACGCAGCTAGACTCACGTGGGGTGAGAGAGCTTAACAACGCCGAATCAGAAACGACACAAAAGTAGTTCTGCAAATGAAAGCGCTGAACATTTTTAATCATAATAATAATGATAATACATTTTAATTAAAGCACCTTTCAGGGAACTCAAGGTCACCGTACAACAAAAATAATAAAAATCAAGTCAAAAGTTTAAAGAAAGTAAAAACAATCGACTCAGTTATTTCAGATGAACGAGTAACTGAATTACATGTTTTGTTGCATTTAGTAAATCTGTCTTCTTTCCCTAAAGAAGGGATCCGGTACCTCCCAGTAGGAGCGGATCTGTCGTGGTTTCTCACCTGCAGAAGCTGCTGCTTTAGTTTCTGACTGTCTGAGAAGTGGAGCTCGCTCAGCAGATCCGACACCAGTCCTGAAGCCGGAGCCCGCAGGAACATGTCGCTGCTGCGGGACGCGGAGTAGCGACTGATCAGGCCGTTACTTTTGGAGCCGCTGGAGTGAGCGGAACCAGAACCGTTGTTGTTACTGTCTTCCTGGTTCTCTACCTCTCCCCCCTGCCCCTCCTCCTGACCATCATCCAGCTGCTCCAGGTGGAGCTCCAGGTTCCCCACAGAATCAAAGGGGTTAAGGGTCAAGGCAGAGAGCTCTCTCCGCAGACTGTTCTTCTGCTCCCTCTCCTCCTTCAGCGCTTCCAGCGCCTCCTCCAGCTGCCGCTCTGCAATCTCCCTCAGCCTCGCTGCCTCCTCCAGCTGTGCCCGCTGCTCCTCCTGCTCCTCATTCTTCTGGGACAGCTCAAGCTTGACGGATTCAAATTCAATCTGAAAAGTGATCAGAGCACCAAACCGTCTTAATTGTCTAATTAAGAGCTAGAATCTGAACATCATGTTGGCGCCACGCAGACACAAACACAGCAGAACTTGTGTTACCAAGCTGGATAAACACTGACCTGGTTTTCCTTCAGCACAGACACCTGTTTTTGTAAGGATATGTTCTCCTCCTCCAGCTCACCATTGTCCTGTAGCTGACGTAGCTCACGCACTTTATATTCCTTCATTTCATCCCTCAGATGGCCCTTCTCTGCCTCCAGACACTCACACTCCTGAGGAAGACGGAGCACGTTGTCAACAAAACTTTAAATGTAAAAACACATGAAAGTCTGACACAGTAGTGACGTTGGAGGACAAAACCCACACATCTTTACTAGATTATACCTTCTTAAGCTGAGCGGAGAGCACCCCCAGCCTTTCAATCTCTGCGTGGGCGTTGCCCAGAGTAAGACGGGCCTGTTTAAGCTCTCCCTGAACCTCCTCCATCCTGGTTGCCATGGCAGCCTCTTTAGTGGCAGTCTCCTGCAGCAGACTTTCTTCCCGGCACTCTCCATCAGCTGCTGCACGCTTTTGGCTGCTCACAGAATCTGCAAACGCCTTCAAACACACAAAAGGAGTTAAGGAATGAGAAAACATCAAGACTCAGATGGACGACAGCATCCAACACTTCAAACATACGTTCACAGAGAGCCAACAGGAAGTGCACTGTAAACAGCATTCTGTAAGAAATATCAACAAGATGTCCAGCTGAGTTAAACTAGATCAAGAGAAACATGTAACTGATACCTGTAATCTGATTACATTGACAAAAAACAACAAAGTTCTGAGAGAACTTAGACCTGGACAACTTTTTGCACTATGGCTTGTTTTCCCACAAACTGGAATGAAAAAACACACACACACACACACACACACACACACACACTAATTTGAGAAACTGCCGTAGAGTCCTGTAGTGAAGCTAACTGACAGAAAATGGCTGTTGAGAACATAAAGAATGACCAGAGTCACTGGTGCTCTGAAACCTTGATTTCTAAATGAAAGTGTCTTTAGGATTTTCTCTTCTGTAAGTCGTTTAACCACTGCAACAGTCTAGCTACATGAGGGATTACTGACTCACACAAGGACGTTTTTCAAAGCCTGTTTCTGCAGCACCAAAGCCTCTGGTTTTATTCAAGATTTCCACCCAGAGAGAACATTTATGCACAAGTCAGGTGGTTTGGGATCAGTGAACACGTCAGGCTTACTACTTCGACTGCAGATTTAGACTAAATGAATAAGCAGATAGTCTTACTGTTTACAGATAATTTCATCTGGAGCTAACCTAATTCAATAGAAAACTATTGTCCAGTAAAAAGTTTCATAATAAACACAAACTCATCAACGGTGAGTGGCATCGTTGTGATGCCTCCATCGGTGCCTGTGCACACACAAGATGCTCTGGGGTCTCATTTATCAAACACTGTGAAGAATCCTTACTAAAACCGTACTTAAGCTCAGCAAAAAAAAAGTACTTATGCCAAGTAGGTTTGTGGTTTATCAAACATGGAGTACGCACAGCTGCACGCAATCTCCGCTTCATAAATCAGAAACTATCTAGAAAGGTTCTCAGCTGCTTTTTAGTCACATCCCGCCCTCACCACGCCCACTTACTGCCATAAATAGTCAAAGGCAAAGTGCCCTGTGGATCTCGTGCATATACATAAGCCGGCTGTTGCAGCGCTCCACCAATGACGATAGCGACCGTAGATCAAGGCAGATCAAGAAAGCCCTGTTTCACAGAAGCAGAAGTTGAGGTACTTGTGGGTGAGGTGGAGAAATGTAAGGAAGTATTTTTGCAAAACAAATAAGAGAAAATCCATGGAGTGGCACAGCGTTGCTGAAGCCGTCAATGTTGTGAATTCTTCAGAGAGATCTGTGGCGGATATAAAAAAATGGTCCAATCGGGATTCGATTCCCAGACTCCCGGGTGAAAGTCACGTGCACTAACCAGTCACCCAAACAGAGATCTCCCCTGTACAAGTAGCCAGGGCGCATGATCAATCGGGTCACAGTGACAGGACACACACACCGTCACAGACGCATGATGTTCTGTCTCAATCTGCCCCCCTGCTGATATTCTGTATTCTGTATTCTGCGCTTCAGGTGTCTGTGTGTGTGTGTGTGTGCGTGCGTGCGTGCGGAGGGGGTCTTGTTCTGTGTGAAAATGAAGCAGTACAAGTGATAATGCTGCAGGATTTCATAATGTTATCCTTCTCAGCAGCAGCACTGCAGGTGCTCTCCATGTCCAACATGTGTGTAAGCCAGGCCCTTAGTCAACTTAGTTGCGCACATTTTTTCGCTAAGTTTTCTTTCATGAATCTCAAAGTTTGCGTGGAAAGCTGCTTACACAGTTTTCCGACACCGTTTTGTGCGTAAGCAAGCTTGATAAATGAGGCCCCTGGTTAGTGACATCATCACCGAGACAAAACTGACATTCAGCTTCATGGATGATTTCATTTTAGACCACAACTAAAACTGACATGTGATTTAAGAGGAAGCAGAGTACTTTTGTAAATTCTTATGGTGCAAAAGTGATGCTCTAAAACTAAAATCAGACAATAACACCAACCAAGACAGCTCCTCACGCACTAAAGCTCAAATGAAAAGACTGAGTAGGTTAATCTTAAGATTCGCATATTTGCCAACTATTCGATAACAGAGAGCTCAGTTTTAGTCCTGAACTCAAATAACACGACTGACATGACCCCTACAAGCTGCCTGGAAAAAATAAATCGATTGTAAAATGTATTTTAGGTAATGTTTGTACTAACCGTGAACTTATTATTTTAACGGCGTAAAACCACAAACCGAGAAATCTGTCCTGAGAAAGTTGCACTTGAAAGCGGCGGAGGAGTAATAATTGTGTAAAATAGAAAAAGCACATGTTACAGATTAAATAATAAAACTGAACAAAGGGCCCTGGGAGTTCGTACCTCTTTGATCTGCTGTAGCTCCAGTTTGAGACTCTCATGCTCCTCCTCCAGCTGCCTGTGCTTCATCTTAAGGGCAGAACTTTCCTCCAGCACAACCAGCCCATAACGCGCTGCCTGCAGCTTTTCCTCCGTGGCCTCTTGGAGCTCCAGTGTCAGTCGCATCACCTCAGCATTCAAGTCTCTGCTCCCCATGTCGGCTTCAGCTTCTCCCTCAACTTCTCCACCTGCTAGGTCTGCATCCGCCTCCAGCATCCTTGCCTGGCCTCCCACCTGTCTGCTGCTGTTGGGTTTAGACACTGGCCCCTGTCACTGCTCCAGCCTCATTACAAAGTCCTACTAAGGATAAAACACAGCGAAGAAAGGACATAAAAGACAGCTTTTTGGTGTAGATTAAAAAATCTATTATATATTTTAACTGTTTATTTTTGTGAAGCGCCTCGTGATTTCCATCTTGAGAGGCGACATATAAAAAAGTGTTTCTTTCCTTTTTTAGATTCTGTTTAATCATAGTGGCATTAAACTGGTCAAACTGGACTCAAAACTGGGATTAACTGTGACATAAAATTGCTTCAGCCTAAGCTCAGAACAGCCAACAGCTATCTTACAAACCAGTGTAACCCAGCTATCTACCCGGCAGTCGTGTGTGTGTCATATTACAGAGCTGACTCTGCTTTTGTTATCAGGTAAAACAAACGTTTTGGTTCCACGGTGACGCTTCGTACCTTTTAAAGATCATCAAGGACGAGTCCCCGGCTCTCAAAGCTGTCAAAAATCGAGACAGTGGTCAACCATCGGCTACACCAGGGTCTCCAGAACCAGCGCAGACCCGGAGGTCAGCAACACGACAGCTGGCTTGGCCAAAAGCACAGGGTGTAGTCAATTGTCCCCCATTTTGGTGTGGTGTCCTCTCATGTTCTGAATCTGTCCTGTGTGTGTGCCAGGAGACATGTGGCTAAACTAAGACATCCAGACAGTATCCCACCACCACGTTTAACATAATTAGATCAGCTAACAGACTCCAGCTCAGAGAGGGAAGAAGAGCTGCTGGAGAGATGAGAAGTCGTCTGACAGGGATGCTAAAGCCAAGACGACACCGGACACAGAAACGGGACACTATCGGACAGCTAGCATCAGTAGCGTAGCTTAACGTGGATGAAAGTAGTAAATAAAATCTAACATATCATCTCAAAACAAATAGAAATATCTAACAAATCGACTGCTGCTGGTACGTTATCGACCAAACAAACGCCACTCACGCGCCCATCTTTAGAATCCTATCAGACAAGCTAATTAGCTCAACAGTCAGCCATCACGAGCCCATACGCACTTACCCCGAGCCTTCTGACCTAAAATGAAGCTATTCGGCCGGCCGCCGCAAAGAGGAAACTCCTCACCGCCTCCAGGAGCTGCAAATGACAGCGGGCTCCTAAGCAGTTAGGACTGGTGCGAGGCCAGTTTGGCGTATAGTGGTAGCCGCTCCCCTTCCTCACACCCACCTGCTTCACTGAACTCGCGCAGGGTCGCGTGTCGCGCGCCGAAAACGTGAATGCCCAACTACCCCCTCTAGCTTAGCAGCGAGGCAACGCAGCTACACTAAAACACTGTTTATTATCTGTATTTCTGTAATAAAGCCTTAGATAATCGTACAAGCATACATTTATAAAGCGTTATGCTAGAAATGCTCTGAATTAGTTACTTAATAATTATGAGATTGCTACAAACAATCTTTTCCGGTTGTATGTTGCGTCACGTCCGGGGTACTTGAACGTTGCATTTGGCGTTTTTGTGCGGCTTTCAGGTGTACTTGGGTTTCAACCTGCATAATGAAGATCGTTACGTGGAACATAAACGGCATCAGGACGTTTAAAGGCGGCATAAAGAAGACTCTTGATTCTCTGGACGCCGATATCATCTGTGTTCAGGAGACAAAAGTAACGAGTAAGAGTTGGAAAACAGGAAAGCTGTCCCGATGTGCTCCTGCTGCTGTTTATTAAAACACACTGAACCTGTATATGTGTTTCTCAGGAGACCTACTGGATGAAAAAACCGCCATTGTTGAAGGATACAACTCCTTCTTCAGCTTTAGTCGAGGACGCAGCGGCTATTCAGGTTAGACAGCTTTTACCCGCCAAAATAAAAGCCCCAGAGTTATTGGTAATGAATATGTATGTGGCAGTGTGAGCGTCCTGTCACAGTGTCCCGATTGATCATGCGCCCTGGCTACTTAACCAAGGGGATGTCCCTTTGGCTGACTGGTTAGAGAGTATGACTCTCACCCGGGCCCTCGCCTCTCCACCCTGCCACATGCATCACCAATCAGATGCATTGATGGACATTAAAGCCTATCTTCGTTTCTTTATTGCCCTATAATCATTACTACTCCACCATGAGCCAGGTTTTGTTTTGCACAGGTGTTGCTACTTACTGTAAGGACATTGGCACTCCTTTGGCTGCTGAGGAGGGCCTCACTGGTCTGCTGACCAATCATGAAGGTGCTGTTGGTTGCTATGGAGACCACACTGACTTTTCAAATGAAGAGCTGCAACTTTTGGACAGTGAAGGACGAGCCCTCATAACACAGCACAAAATCCTGTAAGTGAATCAGGTCAGATTGAACCCCACTGCGTTTTAATCACCGTCTTCCAAAACCATGCAGAGATATGCTCTCAGTGTATGTAATGTTTTGCTGATGTTGCAGCCTTGTATCATTATTATTATTATTATTTGTTTCTGTTTTTCCCCGCAGCTGTCAGGACAAAGAACAGACGGTTACTGTAATAAACGTGTACTGTCCACGAGCCGACCCTGAGAAGCCAGACAGGAAGCAGTTCAAGCTCCAGTTCTACAAGCTGCTTCGGTGTCGGGCTGAAGCTTTGCTAAAAGACGGGAGGTGAGGGTTTTCATAAGGTTTTAGCATTTCTGTGACAATGTGTGTTCCAGTACACTCAGCTTTATGATTATTAAACACCGATATCTGATAGAGACAGATTTATTTAGCTATTTATCTTTAAAAGTCAAACTTTGGGGTCTTTTTAACAGTTTGGGTTGTATTGTAAGACGTTTAACTAGGAGGAATAAACGGTAAAAGGTGGCTATAATGTCTGACCTTTTCTAGTATCTTCATATTTTAGGTGCTTGCTGTCCTTTAACATGTCTGACATCATCGTTTTTTCTGTCCTTTTCTCCAGCCATGTGATCATTCTAGGCGACGTGAACACATCTCATCGGCCCATTGACCACTGTGACCCAGATGATGTTGTAAGTGTGTGTTACACCAGCTGCTCCCTTAAAATTCAGTTCAGTACTATTCAATTCAATTCAATTTTATTTATAAAGCGCCAAATCACGACAAGAGTCATCTCAAAGCACTTCACATAATAAACATTCCAATTCAGGTCAGTTCATTAAGCAATCAGTAAAAAGTTTCCTATATAAGGAACCCAGCAAATTGCATCAAGTCACTGACTAGTGTCAGTGACTCTACAGCAATCCTCCAGCAGTCTAAGCCTATAGCAGCATAACTACAGAGATAACTCTGGATAACCTAGCCTTTTAGATGGAGGGATGTTGGAGGCAGGACAAGGGAGAGCCGTCTTTACCGACTGTACACTCCACCTCCCTCTACTCCCCCACTTGTCCTGATTTAGGCTAACATCAGATTTTAACCATAGGCCCTATCAAATAAAAATGTTTTAAGCCTATTCTTAAAAGTAGACAAAGTGTCTGCCTCACGGACTAAAGCTGGGAGCTGGTTCCACAGGAGAGGAGCCTGATAGCTAAAAGATCTGCCTCCCATCCTAATTTTAGATATTCTGGGAACCACCAGTAAACCTGCAGTCTGAGAGCGAGGTGCTCGGTTAGGAACGTATGGAACAATCAGATCACTGATGTATGATGGAGCTTGATTATTAAGAGCTTTATATGTGAGAAGAAGGATCTTAAAATCTATTCTGAATTTAACAGGTAGCCAATGTAGGGAAGCTAAGACAGGAGAGATATGATCTCTCTTTTTAATTCTCTTAAGTAATCCAGTCTTGATGTAATAAATGCATGAACTAGTTTTTCAGCATCACTCCTGGAAAGTATGCTTCTAATATTAGCAATATTCTGAAGGTGGAAAAAGGAAATCCTACAAACCTGATTAACCTGGGATTTGAATGGCATGTCCTGGTCCAAGATAACACCAAGGTTGCTTACTTTGTTCTCAGAGATTAATGTAATGCCATTCAGGTCAGGTGATTGGCTAAGCAATACTACATCCCAATTTAGCATGTGCTTTATAAAATGGTGACTGCAAACAGAACTGAGTGCTTTTTACGCCTGTTTGTTTCCAGAGTCTGACACTCTCTGAGAAACAATGGCTGAAAAATGTACATGTTGGCTCCATTTAGAAAAATGTTTTAATGCAGTGAAAATAAATCTGTAATAGTTTGTTGCTGCAAGTGTGCAACAAACTCATGAATACCAAACATCTTTTAACCTTGAGGAAACTAAAAAGACAACATAGTGAAAGGTAGCATAAACTCCTGCAGTGATGCACAAGTAAAACAACACGTCGCCAGTATAAACCCCTAGAATTAGCTTGTTTTTCTTTTAAAAGGTGAACTCGAAAGTAGGAAAGCGTGTCCTCTAAGCTTAGCTGTGACTCTTCTGTAAATGAGGTGTTCTAACGACTAAACCACCTCTCCCTCAGGATGATTTTGCTGAGAACCCTGGGAGAAAATGGCTGAATGAGTTTTTGCACAGCGGCAGTCCGGACGATGACGACGCTGAAAAAGACCACGATGTGGAGTCGGAGGTGACGGATCGCATTCCTGCAGGGAAATTTGTGGATACCTTTCGATACTTCCACCCAGCTCGTACCAACGCCTTCACGTGTTGGTCCACCCTGACGGGAGCACGGCAGACCAACTACGGCACACGGATTGACTACATATTTGCGAACTATGAACTTGTCACAGAGCAGTTTGTGGCAGCAGACATCACACCAGAAGTGGAGGGGTCAGATCACTGTCCTGTCTGGGCACGACTCTGCTGCTCTCTCCTTCCCAGCTCCAAGCCTCCTCCCCTCTGCACTCGCTACCTGCCTGAATTTGCCGGCAAACAGCAGAAGCTCTCGCGCTTCCTTGTTAAGGTGGACCAAAAACGGACTCAGCCTGAGCAGAAGACTATCTTACCTGGTTCTCAGGAGGAGGAGGAAAGGAGGGAGAACTTAAACCCGTTTCTAAAAGATAGCATCACTGGTAAAAAGCGGCCATTAATCTCAGACTCTGCTGTCCCAAAAGGGAAAAAGACAAAGTTGGGTAGCAGTTCTGTGAAGCCACAGGGCAACCTCCTCTCATTCTTCAAACCCAAATCCGTTCGTGACAAGGCTCTGGTTCTGGATGAAGGTTCCCCCACACACAGCAGCCAAAGAGAAGCCCCCACTACTGACTTGAGTTCAGCCACAGACGCCTCGACTGAGCCTGGTTTGGCCCAGCCATGCGACAGCAGGACAACCACGGAGACGCGTAAACCGAGTACTTTAACCACACAGCCCAACGCGGGACAGTCCGAGGTCAAGAAAGGGTCATCATCAGTGTTTTGGAAGTCTGTGCTTCGTGGCCCACCCCCACCCCCCTGCTGTAAGGTCCACGGGGAACCCTGTGTGCTTCGTACGGTCAAAAAGGAGGGGCCCAACGTGGGCAAACGGTTCTTTGTGTGCTGCAGACCTCAGGGACACGCCTCCAACCCAGAGGCTCGCTGTAGTTTCTTTGCCTGGGTTGACAAAGGAAAGTGAGCAGCCGTGTTGTTTTGACCCCACTAAGACACAAATGCTGATCTGGTGTTTTTTTATCAATAAAACTGAATTAGATCGTAATTCTGAGGCTGCTTCTATGAGTTTAAAACAAACGTGTAGTTCTTGTGCTTCCATGTTACGAGTAAAAAAGCTCAAATTCAAGATTTTTGGGTGAGAGATTTTGAACTTTGTGTTTTCGATGCTGCTCCTATCGATTAGATGTAGACGCTGAATGCTGTAGCTCTACAATCACATTTTATTTTAACTTCACACCATTTGACAGAAAAAGCAGCTGTTCACATACGGATGCAGTAAAAGGCCATTTTTGGATGTCCTGTTGTTGCTTCACCTCACACACACACACACACACACACACACACACACACACACACACGTGTGTGTGTTTAAACCACACAGCAGGCTGTCTGCATCCTGGTGCTGCTGTTGGTGAATTTACAGCTCAGGTTCTCTTTTCCCCACTAGATGGCAGCAGACATGAACCCAGCGCACAGCTGGATGTCAGACGGCTGCAGCAGCAGCACACCATGCAGTCTGATCATGGAGGCCAGTGCAGCAGCATGTGGGGTTATGACTACTGGAAAAGGAGTGGCTTAGACTCAGGAAATCCCGCCAGCGTGTAGCTTCTGCCTCTGCTCTGCCTCCATTTTTCCATCCCGGCACGGCCGCCGGTCTCCTTCAGCTTGCTTTTATTCTTTTAAACTAAAAGCAGATTTTTGATGTCAACCAGCCAACTAGTCTTCCCCTCACAGCTGTCTGGGTTAAACTGACTGTTACCAGAGAGGTGAGCATTGACAGAGGTCCAGCTCTCCACGTGCTCCAGCCTCTGAGGTGTGTGTTTTAGGTTCCAGCGGTGAGTTGATGGGGAAATGTTTCTTGACTTGACAGAAATAAAGATAGAAAATTATATCTTTAAAAGTATTTTAGTTTTTGTTTTGTTAAAGGAATATTTCTACTCTGATTGGCTGCTGATCTGCCATGCTGGCGGTGTGTACATCACAGGAGCGGGACTTTAAATCCACTAAAGTTAGATTATCATGGCTGCTGGAGAAGGCGGGCCTTTCTGATGTGTGATTTTACTAAAGTTCCTCTCCAGGAAGCTAAAGGGAGCTGGTTCAGCATGTCTAAGATGCTGTTTGTGTCCTCGTTGCTTACCTTTGCCACTGTCGTCTCATTGGGTCACAACTCAGAATTCATTCAGTGGATATGTTTACACACACACACACACACACACACACACACACACACACACACACACACACACACACACACACACACACACACACACACCTGTTCACGTTCTTATTCCCTCCTAAACAGGCTTTAGCTGCCAGACTTTAGTAAATCGGGTGTTTTTGAATATTTCCTCAAACACTGAGCTAACAAACAGGATCTACACAATAAAAACAAGCTGAACTCATTCAAACTGGAACCAGATCCAGGCTCTGACGCGTTCTAGGAAAGGTGTTGTGTCACCGTGAGATAAACACAGTTTGGGTGTGTGAGCGACAAACCTCCGATCTGTTAACCTTATCAGCTAACTGAAGTGTTGTGTCCCTTAGAGCTGGGCTGGGTTACCTCTGCGGCTCAGAGAACAGCACTTTGCTGCTTCCTGTCCAGCTGAGCTCATAGTTTTGGTCCTTCCCCTGAAGTCTGGCTGACTTCTACCCAACCTGGATTCTGATCTTCAGCCAGAGCTGTGGGAACATTTAAAGTGCTGATCTGCGTGTGATTGCTCCGGGACGTTGACATTTTCCTTGTTCCGTGTCCGTTCAGCTTTCATGCTCGGGCACCTTCTGCTCTCCAACCACACACGGGCCGTCCTGAAAAGGGACTCATTTACTAAACTAATGACCATCACCCTGACCACCAGCAGGACACACACCAACCACCTCAGATGAACGCACTTTTACTCCTGTTTCCATCTGAGCACCTCCGGTTGCTGGGCTTTGGGGTTTAGCAGCAGCCCTGAACCCTACAGGAGCTCCGTTTCAGCTCAGGACACCTGGTGACAGGATCCTCTGACATCACCTGACTCGGCTTGGTTTATCGAAGGGTTAAAAGTATGGGCGTTCCCGTTTTCCGCTTGTGCTCCCTCCCTGTAATCTCCTCACTCTTTCCTCCTTCCACTACCAAGGAGCTTTTAGACAGAATCAGGACCAAACTGAATATTCCTTACATTTCAGGTGAACCCTCACAAGGATTTATTGTGTCTTTTAAGGAAATCTACCAACGCCTTCATCCCCAGGGTAAGTTACTTAAGTGCCCCATGGAGGAGAAGGGAAGGGCTGTCAACAGTGTGCGGGTCTTGCGTCAGACACAAGCGTGTGGTGTTTGCTGCCAGTAGTAAAAGAAACCTTTATCTGCTGGTTGGGAGCTAATGCTGGTTAATTATAGCTACTAAATGCTTCTGATTAAATGACAGGATCCACCTGGTTGAGTACATAAATGAATGGACTTTATTGATCAGTGGCTAAATTCACTTGTTACAGCAGAAAACAGGCAACTTCTACATTTTACTACCTTTTTCTGTTTCTGCCCACTTTGTATGAAACAATCCTCACAGCCACTGAAATGGATCAAGTTCCCTGTTAACCAGGTTTGTCTAGTCCCCCCCCCCCCCCCCCCCCCCCCTGTGAACCTTGTGCTGAGTAGAGCGTCTATTTAAAGGTTAGGTACATGCAACCCAACCATTTTCTTTCTGGGGGAGACGTTTAATTACAAACTACCCTTGACATTCGGGATGCTTCGGTGGTTGTGTGTGTTGGCTTTGCACCATGGGAAAGTAGCTGTGACCAAATCTGACCTGAGACCAGTGTTGGGGGGGGGGGGAGCAGCTCTGTATTTAGACTAAACAGCACCGTTCACACTGGAGCTTATTGTCCCCAGGCCATGGAGTGGATGGATCAGTGCACGTCCACACGGCTGCTCAGTGTTTAAGTTCTGCATGAACGTCTTAAAGAAAATAAGAAATCCTGTTCATTTAGAGGTCGTGTGAAAATGCTGAGGGCTCTTTGACCCTGGGGGGTATCTCGTGCCACTCATGGTCATTCCCAGTGGTACCCACGCCCCTCTTGGGTATCCCGCGTGGGATAACGCGGCACGCGTCCCCTGACAACGTCTGGTGCTCAGAATGGTTCCCGTTGGAACTAAAGCGGACTTTTGTGCTTTCACCAAAACTGAACTCTGCTATTTTAGCGCTTTGCAGGCAGAATTCTTTCAGTAAAGCTGAAAATGAAAAAGGAGGATTATTAACGCAAAAAAAGGGGGATTCCAGTAACATTTAAAGATGTTTGCTCTTCTGAAACAAAGAAACGTGTGTTTAGCTCTTCAAGTTAAAAAAAATAACCTTAAAGCAGACTAGGACTTTAAATACGTTTCAATGTGCTCTACTGTTTTCCTCACGTTGTACACACATCACGTTTCTGCCTCTGAGAACATTCATCCCCAGGCCCGCGCCAGTCCTTAACAAGTTTAGACGGATCGCAGCAGACACGATACACACATGATTAACGTTAGATGTGGCGTCTGAGGTCACCGTACTCCCTGAGCATTCCAATCAATCCTGCTTACGTCAAAGATTCACATTTATGCTCGTCTCCTTTGAATAAGTCCTAAATCAGGCTTCTGTTCCCAGCAGCAAACGTAGATCCAACACAGCCACCAGCATGGAGCTCCAGAAGATGAATGGACACATCAGAGATGATGGGTAGGGCACGAAGCAAGCAGCTACTGCTGAGTTCATCATGTGACTCGTAACAACTCGATGATCTCTTGTAGGTTTGATGGGGTTGATGCCATGACAGAGCACGAGGAGTTTCTCCCACAAAAAGATGGCGTGAAGAAAGAAGTTCACTTTACAGACGTGCGTTTCCTCTCCTTCATAATGACAGATACCAGTTTTTATGCGTAACCGACTTTCCAAAACGATTGTTTTTTATGATGTGAGCACATTCTCACCTGTCCTCTTATTCCAGTTTGAGGGAAAGACTTCGTTTGGCATGTCTGTCTTTAACCTGAGTAACGCCATCATGGGCAGCGGCATTCTGGGATTGGCTTTTGGAATGGCCAACACCGGAGTGGTCCTCTTTGTGTGAGTAGGCAGGACAAAATGTTATTTCATATAACACCCACCCACCCACCCACACCCACACCCACACACACACACACACACACACACACACACACACACACACGTGTTTTTATGGGTTTGTGTGGACTACGTTTTCTGAGTTGTTTGTCTGGACCCTGGCTTCCACTATAGCCAGAATGGTGCAAAAATTATGTTTAACTCTAGGTGGGACAAAGGAAGCTTCCTCTAGGATTTTGGTTGTGTGGACCGGGTAAATGTCCACACTATGTTGGTCTCCTGTCAGGGGTTGGTCCACACAAACCCATAAAGACAAGTGTATACACACACACACACACACACACACACACGCGCGCACACACACACACACACACACACACACACACACACACACACACACACACACACACACACACGTGTTTTTATGGGTTTGTGTGGACTACGTTTTCTGAGTTGTTTGTCTGGACCCTGGCTTCCACTATAGCCAGAATGGTGCAAAAATTATGTTTAACTCTAGGTGGGACAAAGGAAGCTTCCTCTAGGATTTTGGTTGTGTGGACCGGGTAAATGTCCACACTATGTTGGTCTCCTGTCAGGGGTTGGTCCACACAAACCCATAAAGACAAGTGTATACACACACACACACACACACGCACGCACGCACACACACGCACACACGCACACACACACACACACACACACACACACACACACACACACACACACACACACACACACACACACACACACACACACACACACACACACACACACACACACACAGTACAGCTCACACACGTGCTGGCCATTTAAATCAGATTTGAGTGGTTAAATTTAGACCCCTGTGATCAGATCCAAGACACGCCTGGTTGGAGCGGGGGTGGGAGGAGGAGAGTGGCTGTAAAATCTGTCTCTCACGTCTGAATGAATGTTTTTCTCTAACGTGTGTGCTTTAGAGTCCTGTTGTGTTGCATTGCTGTCATGTCTGCATATTCCATCCATCTGCTGCTGAAAAGTGCCGGAGTGGTCGGTGAGGAAGAGCTCCGCTAACATTATAATGGTTTGTGTGGTCCTAACTCGCCCCATGCATGTATAACATATGATCTTTTCAGGTATCCGTGCATACGAGCAACTTGGGAATCGTGCCTTTGGCCAGCCAGGAAAAATGCTGGCCGCGTGTGTCATAACAATTCACAATATTGGAGGTAATTTCCTGTTTCCCCCGTTTGATTTTGTTGGATTAAAAAAAAAAACCATAACAGTTTTGTCCACAGCCATGTCCACCTACCTCTACATCGTGAAGTCTGAGCTCCCGCTGGTGATCCAAGCCTTCCTGGGGAAACAAGTTATCACTGGGTCAGTATCTTTACACATGCAGCTGGTAGATCTGCTTCTCTTTGGTAGCACACTGATGTTCCTCGTCTGTTTGTGTGACTGTCTCCCAGAGAGTGGTTCTTGAATGGAAACTACTTGATCATCATTGTTAGTGCTCTGGTCATTTTCCCTCTAGCACTCATGAGACATCTTGGTATGTTTGTATTTATGTTCACGAGCATCATGTCTCCATTGGTCATTTTCTGTTTTCATAAATAACACAGACATAAGCATCCAACCTGCGCAGTCATACATGAGTGTTTTCTTTATTCTACCTGTCCAGGTTACCTTGGTTACACAAGTGGCTTCTCTCTCACCTGTATGATGTTCTTCCTCTTATCTGTGAGTCAAAGTGAAGTAGTAAAGTAGCTGATGTTTGATTAAATGTTTAGATTTGATTAAGCCACGAGTGTCTGCAGGTTATATACAAGAAGTTCAACATCCCATGTCCACTTCCTGGCCACAACACAACTGCTCCTAATTCCACCTCTCATGTTAACGTCACCTGTGAAGCACAACCGTTCACTGTCAACTCTGAGGTACCGATGCTTTATGACCGTGTGTGTTTTCTGTCACGTTTAGTTCAGCACCACCTCATGTTCCTAACGCACCCAGGTGTGTTAAATCAACAAGGTGTGTTGTGTGGGAACAGATCAAAATCCTGTTGCACCACTGATCTCTGATCCGTTTTGCCTGTTAGACTGCTTACACCATCCCCATCCTGGCTTTTGCTTTCGTGTGCCACCCTGAAGTGCTACCAATCTACACTGAGCTACGAAAGTAAGTTGCAATGTTTTAAACCTTTCAGTTACTAAATTCAACTAAATAAGGGCTGCATGGTGGAAAGGTTGGTGGCACAGTGAGTAGGTCACTGGATTGAATCCCACTTGTGGACTTTCTGTGTGACATTAGCATGTTCTCCCCTTGCAAGAGTGGGTTTTCTCAGAGTGCTCCAGCGTCCTCCTACTGACCACCGTGGATGTCAGCCAGGTTAACCAGAGACTCTAAAATTGTCTCTAGGTGTGAGTGAGTGTGTGACTGGACGTTTGTCTCTGTGATTGCCTGGAGACCCGTCGCGGGTGCATGGATGGATGATGGGTGGGTGATGGATGGGAGGATGTTGGATGAATGGATGGATGACTGGCTGGATGGATCGATGATGCATGGTTGTGTAACGATTAAATTGACATATTATTTAATGAACCATAAAATGTGAGATTCCATAGGAAATATGAATGGATGTATGATGGATGGGTGATGGATGGATGGTGGCTGGCTGAATGGATGATGCGTGGGTAGATGGATGGATGGTGGGTGGGTGGATGAATCGATGATGAGTGGGTGGGTGGATGGATGGATGCTGGTTGGGTGATGGATGGATGGATGGATGCTGGTTGGGTGATGGATGGATGGTTGGTGGCTGGCTGAATGGTTGATGCGTGGGTGGATGAATAGATGATTGGTGGGTGGGTGGATGGATGAATGGATGGATGATGTTTGGGTGGATGAATGGACAGATGAATGGATGGGTAGGTGGATGGATGGATTATGGGTGAATGGATGACAGGTGGGTGGATAGATCGCTGGCTGAATGGATGATGTGTGGGTAGATGGATGGAAGAATGGATGGTTGGATGATTGGTAGGTGGATGAATGGATGTACGAATGGATAGATGATTGGTGGGTGGATGGATGGATGATGGGTGGGTGGATGGATGGATGGATAGATGAATGGATGGATGACGGGTGGGTGGATGGGTGGCTGGATGGATAGATAATGGATTATTGGTGGATGGGTGGGTGGATGGAAAGATGGGTGGATGGATGGATGGATGGATGGATGGATGGATGGATGAATGGGTGGATGGATGGATGATGGGTGGGTGGATGGATGGCTGGATGGATAGATGGATGGATTATTGGTGGATGGATGGCTGGATCGATAGATGAATGGATTATAGATAAGATAAGATGACCTTTATTAGTCCCACAAGTGGGAAATTTGTTTCGTGTACAGCCAAGTAAAAGCAAAGTAAAAGTAAAAGTTATGCTGCAGAGGGAGAAAAACACTAAAATACAATAAGATCGATCGCAATGAGATAAAATAAACTCAATAGACAGTTTATACCTTAAGAATGGGTTAAAAAATAATAAATAATAACCATACTAGATACAGCTAGAGATACAGAGTACACTTCATCCAACAGCTTTGTTGTAGAGTCTGACAGCAGTGGGGAGGAAAGACCTATGGAATCTCTCTGTCCCACACCTTGGGTGCCGCAGTCTCCCACTAAAGGAGCTGCTCATAGCTGTCAAAGTCACCTGCATGGGATGGGAGATATTGTCCAACATGGATGACAGTTTAGCTGTCATTCTCCTGTCACTCACCACCTCCACAGGGTCCAGGGGGCATCCTAGAACAGAACTGGCCCTGCGGATCAGTCTGTTCAGCCTCTTCCTATCCCCCGCAGAGATGCTGCTGCCCCAGCAGACCACACCATAAAAGATGGCCGAGGCCACCACAGAGTCATAAAAGGTCTTCAGGAGAGGGCCCACAACTCCAAATGGCCTCAGTCTCCGTAGTAGGTACAGCCTACTCTGCCCTTTTCTATACAGGGCATCTGAATTATGAGTCCAGTCCAGTTTATTGTTCAGATGGACCCCAAGGTACCTGTAACTGTCCACAGTCTCAATGTCCATGCCCTGTATGCTCAATGGTTGAAGCGAGGAATGCTTATGCCTACGAAAGTCTACCACCAGCTCCTTAGTTTTGCTGGCATTAATCTGTAGATAGTTCAACTGGCACCAGTCCACAAAATCCTGAGTCAGTCTCCTGTACTCCTTGTCATCCCCATCCTTGATGAGACCCACAATCGCAGAGTCATCCGAGAACTTCTGCAAGAAGCACTGAGTAGAGTTATAGGAGAAGTCTGCAGTATAGATGGTAAAAAGGAACGGAGCCAGAACCGTTCCCTGGGGGGCCCCCGTGCTGCAGACGACACTATCCGACACACAGCCCTGAGCCCTCACATACTGTGGTCTGTCAGAAAGGTAGTCCAGAATCCAGGTAGCGAAGTGATGATCCACTCCAGCGTTCACCAGTTTGTCCTTCAGAACCGAGGGAAGAATGGTATTGAAGGCACTGGAGAAGTCAAAAAACATGATCCTCACAGTACTCCCAACAGTCTCCAGGTGAGCGAGCCATCCCATTGGTGGATGGGTGGCTGGATGGATAGATGGGTGGAGGAATGGATGGATGGATGATGGGTGGGTGGATGGATGATGGGTGGGTGGCTGGATGGATAGATGGGTGGAGGAATGGATGGATGGATGATGGGTGGGTGGATGGATGATGGGTGGGTGGATGGATGGAGGATGGGTGGGTGGATGGATGGAGGGTGGGTGGGTGGGTGGATGGATGATGGGTGGGTGGATGGATGGAGGGTGGGTGGGTGGGTGGATGGAGGATGGGTGGCTGGATGGATAGATGGATGAATTATTGGTGGATGGGTGGGTAGATGGATGAATGGATGATGCATGGATGGGTGGATGGATGATGGGTGTGTGGACAGGTGGACTAATAAGCATTTTGTGTATTTCTGTGATGTTTCTCACTAGTGCCACCAAGAGGCGCATGCAATGTGTTGCCAACGTCTCCATCCTGGCCATGTTTGTCATGTACCTGCTGACGGCCATTTTTGGTTACCTCACCTTTTACAGTAAGACACTCTGCCCGATTTGTCCCACACACCCATACCCGTTGTCCTGCTTTGTGAGGGCCTTGTGTTAACAGCTGGTTCTCCACTCTGTAGCTGCTGTGGAGGCGGAGCTGTTACACACCTACTCTAAAGTGGACTCCTTGGACATCCTGATTCTCTGTGTGCGTCTGGCTGTGCTGGTAGCTGTCACTCTGACAGTCCCCGTGGTTCTCTTTCCGGTAAGCAATCGGAGAGAAATGAGTAATATTTTAGTGTGGCCTTTCATGACTCAAGTCTGACTGAGAAGGAATTTATTCTTCAGTTTATGTCTGAGGCAAAGCTTCATTGTTCTCCAGCTAAAAAGGCAATAGTTACACCAACAGTCTAGTCTTGCTTCATTGCATCTTAAACAACAGCCTACCCAGAACCAGAACCCAGGTCTGCACATCAAAGGTTCTGAAACTGGTGCGCTGACACAGGAAGAACCCTGGGCTGACGGGAGGTTTATAACTGTTGCTCTTTAGGTTTAAAAGTATCAGAAGAAGAGTTAGGACATTCGTTTTTATGATTTTATCGTGTGAAACGTTCAATGAGCCCTTTGTCATCACCCTACAGTGGAGTTTAGTCTTTTGTGCAACATTTGACACTAGAACACATCAAAGCAGCAAACATCTGCTCACGTAACAATGGTGGAGAGGAAGTTGAGCAACAAAACCAAATGTAGATTTTCTATTTTGATGCTTGTGTTTTATTTCTTAGAAAAACAACAATTCTTCTGTTTTCTGTGCATCTACAGATTCGTAAAGCCTTGCTTCAGATCTTTTTCCCCGACAAGCCTTTCCACTGGGTCAGGCACATCACCATCGCACTTTCTCTCATCATATCAGTTGACCTGCTTGTTATATGTGTCCCTTCCATCAAAGACATCTTTGGAGTCATTGGTAAATGAATATGAGCTTTACTGCCGGTTCTTCAGTCTTTTTTTTTCCCAAACCTGGAACTGAAATAACTTTTATTTTGGTTTGGCGACATGTGCAGGAGCCACGTCTGCACCCAGTCTCATCTTCATCCTCCCTGCTATCTTCTACATCCGGATTGTTCCTGAAGAACAAGAATCTTTGAAGTCGAGGCCCAAAATCCAGGTACAAGGCTCAGACGTTTGACACGCTCATTATTTTCTGTTCCTGTTGACTCAACATGTGGGATCCGTGCTCTCTGTTGGCAGGCTATGTGTTTTGCTGCATTAGGGTTCATCTTCATGATCTTGAGCCTGTCGTTTATCATCATCGGCTGGGTCACGGGAAAGTCTCGGAGCGGCGGTGGACACTAGCTAGCAGCTACAAGCCAAGACTGACCAGAGGAACTCCAAACAGCACGTCAACCAAAACTCACCCTGCAAACAAACCCCACCGGTCAGCCGAGTTCTCATCCGGGGTTTGGTGATTTACGACGAAGGACAACAGTGAAGAGCCTCGCCCAAAGGAAGAGCTTTCCTGATGGGTGCTGTGCGTTGACTGAATGCACCGCTCAGAGCAAGGATGCTGGTGGGGCCGTGAAGCAGGAGGACAAACGAGAACCAAAGCAGAAGTCCGGTTTCAGGAGCCGGGTGGAAAAACGGAGCCACTATCATTTACTTCCATAATACGTCATATAAGTTTTTGTTCATTAACTTTTACTAAACAAACATTCATTATAGGTTGTTCATTCTGTTAGTTTTTTATGTACAAGATTCTGGTAAGATGTTGCTCGGGTAACAACGAGGAGCTGATGGTCGGCATCGCCACGGAGGAACTTTATTTCACCTAAAGACAACTTTCTGTGTGATGAAACTCATTTAATGTGTTTTTATGTCTCCTGACGACTGACAGGCGGCTCTGTACAAGGTCATGATTTAGGTACCGATGCAACCCGGTGCAATATGTAGGAGATTATGCTGCTGTTGTCGACGGTCAGTCAGAGGGTTACTGATAGTTGTGTGACTCTGAAAGGTGGTTCACACAAGTGAAAAACTGTTTTCTGTTCGTCTCCAACCCACAAACCAAAGAGTATTTAACTGTTACGTTAAGAGAGAGAATGCATTGTTTTCCTGTCACATTCAGCTGTTCGATCAGTTAAATTCAACACCCAGACTGTTTCATCATTTCCTGCATTTACAATTCAGTTGCTTTTAATTGTTTTTATTGTACGACTGGACCAAACACCTTTGTTCCAGAGCCTGCGCGTTTTAAAAATGTATTTAAATGTTGTTTGTCAATAAAAAAAAGTCTCTTCTTTGTACTTCCTGTACATCTGATGCTGATTATTTATGCATGTAAACTCTGAGCTGGAGGGAAGCAGCAGTGCCCTGCCTCTGTCTGAACATGGAAGTGACACGTTCACGTCAGAGTGAGAGAAGACAAGTGGGGGTTAGAGAAGTGTGGCTGTCTGCTTCCTGCTTCGAGCTGATGCTCGCTCAGAACAGAGAAGAGAAACTTCCTGGATCGTAGAGAATATTCCGACCGCTGTCCTCTTCGTTTTAGACTTTTGATGCCGTTACATGTTGGTTTGTGAGAGGCGTCATGAGTCGTGGAGCTAAGAGTAAAACAGAGAGCGATCGAAGCTCTTTGCTGAGCCAACAGGAGAATGACATGTTGGAGGAGCTGCTGGGCAGAAGGTGTGCTGTAAGTTCTGAACCGGGAGGAAATAACCCACCGTTCAATTTATTATTCATCACTTCTGCTGCTAAACAAAACTAACGCATTCCGATTGCCTGCCTATATGTTAGATTTCCTCCTCTTTGAGCCGCTAAAACGTCACATGCTGAAGAGGCAGGCGTTAGCTGAGGCCTGTCTCCTAAAACATCATCCTTTTGAGTTGGGAACTGAAAGATCCTTTCTGTAAGCAGCTGTGAGTGATGTTAAGTTATTTGCTGTTGGGTCACCATGACGGAGGCAGCTGTAACAGGAAATGCTGGCTGGCTGGATTCTTCCTCTCCTGTCAGATGTAGACGCCATGGCTGGTTTGGTCTGACAGCAGAGCAGAAGTTTAGTTTTTGACTTCATTCGTCCGTAGGAGTAAGCTGGCAGAGCCGTGAGACATCAGACGTGTGTCAGGTGTAATCCGGAGAAGACAGAGAGCCTTTTGAGCTCTTATCACAAAAATGAGAGCAGAGGAGGAAGTTATCCACCAGCAACGAGCAAATTTACATGTCAACTGGGTGTGTGTGTGTGTGTGTGCGTGCGTGTGCGTGTGTGTGTGTGCGTGTGTGTGTTTAGTCCACAGCCACCGCTGTAGCACAGCTGTTCATGGCTCTGCCACACAGCCCGTCCACATGGAGCCTGCAGCACACCGGAGTGGTCTGCTTCGTCAAAGACAACCCTCAGCGCTCCTACTTCATCCGGATGTTCGATTTGAAGGTCAAATAAAGAATCTATGAGCTCATCCTCTCTAGGTTTTGTGACTGACGTCTCCGTTGGAGAAGCTGTGACTCAGATGTGACGGGAGTTAGTGAGGGGCAGACGCGCTGACCAGGCACTTTTTTCCACAGGCAGGGAAACGGGTTTGGGAGCAGGAGCTGTACGACCAGATGGCTTACTTCACGCCTCTGCAATACTTTCACACCTTTCCTGCAGATGTAAGCGCGCACTAATCACACAAGGCAATAACTGTGTCAGTATGAAATTGTGAGTGTGTGTTTGGGTGAGTTAACAGGACTGCCAGGTGGGCCTGAACTTCACGGACCAACAGGAGGCAGACGCCTTCCAGCATGCTGTCGTGGAGAAAATCAACCAGCGGAACAGCCGGATGGGTCAGCACGCTCCTGCTCCTCTCACTACAGAGCTTTAACCCTCCGGAGGCAGGCGTTGCAGATTAGCAACGTTAAAACCTACCGACCTGGTTTCTCCACATACGTGTTTCATGAGCATGTTTTAACTCAGGAGCACCCCTGAAGGACTTAGTTGTTCGTCCTTTTATCATAACTTACTTTGAGCCTGAGAGGGTTAAGCAGACGTTTAGAAGGACACGCTTCCATGTTTATATTTAGAACAGGTTTGGGTTATGGGCTCGGCTGTAGCACCCTACATCAATAGTAGTCAACGGGGGCGGATCTTCAGGGGGGAACATTGTTGTAAAGCCTTGCCTTCCTCTGCTGCCTCCCTACTTCTATGTCCTAAACGGTGTATTCACATCTGGGTCGGCCCGGTCCATCCCTGGCAGGGTAATTGTGTTCACATCGGGGTAATCTGTGTGTTTTCTGTGCTCAGCCGACCATTTTTTCCAGATCTCATCTCCAGCGGACAGCTTGGCACTGACAACACATCCACTTCGGACCGACTGGGTGGCCAAAGTTCATGTCTGCCTACAGAGAAAGCCTTTGATTGGCAAGCAGAATCAGCCAGTGCTGGCTTCCTGCATACATGATTCATAATCATTCTGGATGCAGTGGAGTAAACATCTCCTCCGACTGCAGCTCACACCTGCCGTGGGAGCACAAAGCCAGACAGCTGTGAGGAGCGCGTGGCGGTCTCAGTGAGACAGTAGGAAGCTGTGTGCTTCATGTCAGAGTCTCTCAAAGCAACGCAACTCTCAGCCACCTTTGTTTACTAATTGAAAAAAGGACACCGTGGACTTCTCCATGCATCTTTTGCCCCGCCTACATGCTCGGAGACGTCTACGTTCCTGAGAAGGCTGTGCAAACAAAACCTGGCCATGGTGGGATGGGCCAACCCAGCCAGGACCCAACCGGGCTGGGCCAGATGTGAAAATGCCACGAGTGATGGCAGAATCAGTCCAGCAGGGGCGGATTAAGAACTGAAGAACATCCGGGGCTTAACACACGCACACACGCGCGCGAACACACGCGCGCGCGCGCACACACACACACACACACACACACACACACACACACACACACACACACACACACACACACACACACGCACACACACACACACAAGTGACACGCACTAGTCAACATCATATATATTTGTCTTGTACCACATCATTTTTAATCTGAAGCTACATATTAAGCATTTTCAGGGCAGAGTATTGTTCCTGTTAGTGTTTAGTGTGAGATGATAGTAAATATTACCTTTCTTTCTCCAACAACTTTACCTGATAAGCTAACTTTAGGCAAACCAGCAGCACAACAAATATTTTCTAATAAGACTCACAAACCTGAGTCAGCACCAGTCTCATCAAAGCTGGGGTTCTGTCGCCGTACTTTTGGTCTAAAACGTCCTTATGTCCATCTTCACTCATGCGTTTCAGGCAGAGAGTGAAGAAGAAGCCGGCTGCTGAAGGGCTTCTTCTTCAGTGGTGGAGGCTCAGGCAGGCTGTATACAAACTACTGCCAGCTGCTCCCTCTCTGTTGGACTTTGGTACTGCATGTTACTTCTGCGGTTTAGATCCGGGGCTTTTCATGAAAGATCCGGGGCTTCAGCCCAAGTAGCCGGGCCTAACGCCGCCCCTGCAGTCCTGTACAGTAATTTAGGTTCTTTTTCTGAAGTAATTCTAGTTTTCTTTCTGTATTTATTTTGTGGAACTTGTTCAATTTTAAAATTATACTCAAAATTGTCTTTGATTTTTCTTCATAGGAGATCATGACACAGTTTAAAGTGTTTTGTGGATATTTTGTTTGTTTCATTTGTGTAAAAAGGGATTTCTCAACAAGGAGGTCCAGCATTGTCACCCTGCCTGTCCTCATCTATCTGCCACAGCGTTTCAGTCAACCTGAAGCATGTTTGTTTGTTTGTTGCTGTTTAACACTGGTGGTAACCTCATCCTAAATGTTTTCTCTCACCTCTGCTGCTAACAGAGAAGAAACAGCGCCCCCCACCGACGAACGGTAAGATCGACAGCTCAACCCTCTCCCCTGTGCAGGGTTTAATCGAACACCAGGCTAAATAAAAAATGCTTTTGTGCCTCTGCAGATAGAGGATCCCTACCCCCACTCCCAACCGACAGAGGTTTGCAGCTCCATCACCTCATCTTGTCCCCAGGTTTTCTTTCACCATTTAAACCCAACTCTGTTTCTTCAAACAGCGCCACCCGGGAGTCCTGGATCTTTTCACATGGCCACAGTGGATATCCAGAATCCAGACATCCAGTCGTCTCGCTATCGCTCCATGCCCTCACCCCAGTCAGTCGCCCCCGACAAAGGAAAGAAGAGCAAAAAGGACAAGAAAAAAGTCCCTAAACTCTCCAAAGCAGATATAGGAGCACCCAGTGGGTTTAAGTAAGCGTGGGAGCCTCTAAACCTACTGTGAGGATGTCCTCCCATCACTCAGAGTTTTCTGGTTCTGGTTTCTTCCAGGCATGTGTCTCATGTGGGATGGGACCCCAACAACCTTGACCCTGACCTGTCAAAACTGCTGTCCCGAGCAGGCATCGGTGAAACTGAGCTGAGGGATGAAAACACCTCCAAGCTCATCTATGACATCATAGAGCAGTCAGGAGGGATGGAGGCTGTCAAACGGGAGGTGAACCGAGGTCAGACTCATTACTTTCTTCCTGCTGGTTAATCCACCTGCTCTCCTCCTCCTCACACTAACTTCTTCCATCTTCTTCGATTGGACTACAGCTCCTCCACCTGCCAGGCAGGGCCCTCTGCCTCCTTTTCCGAGCCCCACTTCCTCTGCCCCGACCCCTCCACCCCCACGAGGTCGCTCTGGTCCCCTGCCTCCCATCCCAGGCCAGATACAAAGAGGACCACCACCTCCACAGCCACCTCCATCTCGTGGAGTCCTGCCACCCCCTCCTCCAATAGGCCGAAGTGGTGCACCTCCTCCACCACCTCCTGCATTCTCTACGCCTCCACCGTCTTCAAGGCCCTCTCATGCCTCACCCCCCTCTCACAGCATGCCACCTCCCCCGCCACCATCATCTCGGTCAATGGGGGCTCCTCCTCCTGTCCCATCCACACCCAACAGAGGAGGTGGAGGAGGACCTCCTCCACCACCGCCACCACCTCCACCTTCTCAATCTTCTATTCCCTCAGATTTCCCCCCTCCTCCCCCCGTGTTTAGTGCCCCATCAACACCAGCTGCATCCACAGGAGGAGGAAACAGCAGGGGGGCTCTTCTTTCTCAGATCCAGGAAGGGAAATGTCTCAGAAAAGTAAAGGAATATTTAAAAGAATATTTTGCTCTTATGTATTTGTTTTACTTTAAAAAATATATAAATATACATATAAATTGACTTTTGAAGTATAAACATCATCCTCCATCCCCTGCTGCAGGTAACGGAGTGCTCTGGGCCACCCACACCCTCGACACCAGACACAGGTGAGGGCATCGTAGGTGCTCTTATGATGGTCATGCAGAAGAGGAGTAAAGTCATCCACTCTTCAGGTAGGCAGCAGGAAATGATCCGACACATCTGGGAAACAAACATCCATTGCTTACGTGCCTTCTCTTTTTCAGATGAAAGTGAAGATGATGGGGCGGAAGACGACGATGATGAAGATGAATGGGACGACTGATTCTGAAGTGATTTTTCAACCATCACACCATAAAACTGTTACATTTGATGTTTTATATCTGTGACCTCAAAGCGTAGTTTAACTTGTATTAATGAGAAACTATGACTGATTGAGGAAATAAAAGAGAGAGCAGCTCAAAGGGATGAACGGTTCTCATGGGAACATTTCCGTGTCTGATATATCTGCAACACGTTATGAATTTTGGGTACAAGAGGAGTGGTGCGACGGAGTCTGGATCGTGGAACAGAGGACGAACTCTTCATCCTTGATGAAGAAGTCATCTTGGTACAAATGTGTTGTGTAGAGATGAAGATGACGAGCCCATTCTCATACAGTGGGGCAAAATGAGATGATGTTGCCCCTTTAAAAAATAAGGTAATTAGGGACAGGAAGTTGGCTCCCTGGTTAAATTCTGATCTACGAACTTTAAAAGAAACTCTAGAAAATTGGAGAGAACATGGCGCTCTACACACCAGGAGGAGTCCTACTTATCCTGGAAATAGTCTTGTTCTTTAAAAAAAATAAGCTTCGACAAGCTAGAACTGCTTATTTTTCATCGTCAATTGAGGAGAATAAGAATAATCCAAAATTTCTTTTCAGTACAGTTGCTAAACTTACGCAGAATCAAAGCTCTGATCCATCTATTCCCTTAGCCCTCAGCAGCAATGACTTCATGGGATTTTTAACAAGTAAAATTAATTCTATTAGAAACAAAATCTTTAGCATCCTCCCTAATGTGATTTCTTCTTCCTCAGTAAGTGAGGCAGCATCAGAAGTGACTGTAGAACCTCATCTGTGCTTGAACCGCTTTGATCCAGTTGAGCTTTCAGAGTTATCAGAAATATTAGCTTCATCTAAACCTTCAACTTGCATTTTGGATCCAATCCCAACCAAATTATTTAAAGAAGCATTTCCTTTGGTTACTGCCCCCATTCTAGATATAATCAATCTATCCTTAGTAAATGGATATTTACCACAGGATTGTAAGGTTGCTGTAATCAAACCTTCACTTAAGAAGCCTTCTCTGGATCCAGATGACCCAATGAATTACAGACCAATATCTAACCTTCCATTTTTATCCCAAGTCCTGGAGAAAATAGTGGCCATCCAAGTATGTGAGCATTTAAACACTAATGCTCTGTTTGAGGAATTTCAGGCTGGTTTTAGAGAGTATCACAGCACTGAAACTGCATTAGTGAGAGTTACAAGTGATATTCTCATGGCCTCAGATAAGAATCTTGTGTCTGTTCTAGTCTTGTTAGATCTCAGTGCTGCCTTTGACACAGTTGATCACAATGTTCTTTTAGAAAGACTTGAACATGTTGTAGGGATCAAAGGAACAGCGCTAGGCTGGTTTAAATCCTACCTGTTCTGGGATTCTCCTCAGAAGGCTCCTGGATGCGTCGCCACATCGGAGACAGGAACAAGCGCTATTCAGCCAAAGTTTCATAATCAGGGAACATTTTCTAAGTGACAAGTATCTCTGAGAGACCGGGTTTGGAAAACACTCGCTTCAGTGGGAGGAATCTTCCCGCATGCGCTCTGGTTCTGCAGCGCGCTCCAAGCCAATCTCCACAACTTCAGCTCGCTGTGCACACATGCGCTGACAACGAGCTGCGCTGAGCAGTGTCCAGCTCAGACGTTCAGTTGGGAATCTTTTCTTGGGTGATTTAGCTACATCTGCGATCAGTGGCGGCTGGTGAAAAATATTTTTGGTGGGGCTGTGCTATTTTTTTTAAACAAACTTGTGCTTTCTGAGCTTTGTGCACAACTTCACTATTTCCTGAATTGAGCACAGCTCTTTTATTTCCTGTCTTACATTACTGGACAAAGGGATTAATCCAGGTGTGTCTGACTATTGGAACACTGCCTTGCGGACCAAGGTTGAAGAATACTGCATTAAATTGCACATAAAATAACATGACCATATATGGTCCACATCCACATTACTGTTTGTGAAACTAACATACTGGAGAATGTCATCACAATAATATTAAATAAACAAGTATGTACCTGATCTTTTGCATGCTGTTGGTGAAGCTCTGGATGACCCCTGTCAGATGTAGACAGAGTCAATGTTCCTCTTCTGCAGCTGGTTGGACAGCATGTCCACATGTGGCATGATCTTGTGACACAATGCCAGCAGAAAGCCGAAATCTTCTTCCTCCAGCATTCTCACAAAGCCTCCTGCCTCTCTCTCAGTGATTGGATCAAAGTCATCCGAGTCTCTGATCATCTGGAAAAATCTGAGGAGGTCATCCTTGTGCTCATACACTGTGTTGACATCTTTCTCTTGGACAAAATGTCCCGGTTCTGATCCACTTCTTCATTGTGTTTCTTCACTGCAAGCCTGTGTCCCTCGTCTCTAGCTGCATGGCTATGTTAGCTCTGCCTAGCATAGCTAGCTTCACCGTGTTGTCCATGTGCGCCCGGGATAACTCATGTTTCTTCACCTTCTCAGAAAAATGTTTCATGTCAGTAACTTCTGACTCAATCCATGCCTCATCTGTCACAGTCGTTTTGAATAACAAACACGGAAAGCAAAATAACGCATTAGCGTGATTGCATCCAGCTAGCCAAGCCTTCCCAGAAGCCTGGTGTGTATTTTACCTCTCTCCTCCTCCTGCTGGCTTATCTTTACGTCGGGCTGATCTGGTCCAAGCTCTTTGACATTAAGTTTTTCCACCATAGTTCTCCTCTTGAACGGATACTGGAGAAGAGACCGAACTGAATTCAGTGGCTGCTGAGATCCGGTATCCATGCTGGTTGTAGTCACCGGTGGCGTCCATGTTACATCTGCGTCACCACCAAAAACAACTCTGCCGAGTTCTGCCGAGTTCTACCGAACACCAACGAAACCTTTGGCGGTAGCTCTATCGCCCATCATGCTTCTGAAACAACGTCGACGCTGATTGGATACATTCCCATTCCTACCCTTTGATTTTCTTGTCAGCAATTGGTCGGCTGGTCCCGTCCTGTTTGGGCGATTCAAAAACAGCACAGAGCCTCCACGGCTAGGCAGAGACCAATATATATATATATATATATATATATATATATATATATATATATATATATATATATATATATATATATATATATATGTATATATATATGTATATATACGAATTATTTTTGTTACAACACACACAATTAACTTAGAATATGTGATTATTGTTAATTTTATTTTTTTATTTTTTTAAATAAAAATTATAAACACGGAAAAACTGGGAGGGCGGCGCCCTATCGCCCTCTACTGGCCAGCCGCCACTGTCTGCGATGTGTGTAATGAATTAAACGTCAGTTCGTCTGCATGCGTCGGGGTAATTCTTTCTATTCTTTCTCCGTCAAAATAAACGGTCAAATACGGGAACTGTCCGGTCAACACAAGCCCTGCTTTTAACTGTTCTGTTTTCTTGTGAAAATTGTTGGAAAGAGATAAAATTTAACTTGATTACCACCAGAGCCAGTGTGCCGTTATCTCCGTGACGGTAAACGAGGGGAAAAACAAATTGATCGGATCCTGCACGTCTTTTAACACATTGGTCAGGATTGACGCACTTTGTTTTCATTTAGTTGGTTAAAAAAAAAGTCAGGCTCTGGCTCGGGTCGGGCCAGAGAATCCTGAAAACCTTTTCGGACCGGTCGGGCCGGACACGGGCTCAGATTTTAGGCCCGTGCAGGGCTCTACCTCCTGGTATGACCCACCGGGTGGAAACTTTGGCAGATCCAGAACTCTCTCCAGAATTTTACGAATACCTGTGAAACAAGAACATTGAGAATCTGGTACTCCAAGTCCATTTATGTCAGTATCTTAGACTGAGAGACCATCTAAAGGCTAAAGAACCCATAGCAGGTGTTCTGGACTCATTAGCTGATTAGAGTGTGACACTTGACTCTAGAGTATTGAACCTTTTCACAATATTCTGATTGTCTGAGATTCATAATGTGGAGTCTCCATCAGCTGAATGCCATCACAACTATAAAACATCTGGATTTGTGTGCAATGAGTCTGTCTCACAGATAGCTTCACCTTTTAAGTTGGGTTACTGACATTAATGAACTTTTGCTCCAGATTCTAGTTTTTGAAGTTGTCTTTGTGACCATGGATGGGATAGATGGGGGGCACCTGACAGTAAAACATCTTATTTAGTGCTTTGTGTGTTAGAAAAGCCATGTTGAATGTTTCATAATAAAAGATGACACAACAGTAAAGGACAACACTACATCCGAGCCAAATTCATTCCCATTTTTATAGAATATTGTACATAAAAATTGGTTTTGTCTCATTTCCTCAAATATCTGTGCAAAAATCCCAGATTCCCTCAAGTTCCAACACCAACAAAGTGCATAACTGGAAGAACACCATACACTACATACATGTTCAATACTCACACGCTGTGGGTCACTAGCACAGGGCAGCAGAGGGGTCAGTACACAACAACATCAATCGAATTAGCTGAGCAGAAAACACCAGGCCTAAACCAGCATCCTAACACGAGTCTGAAAACAAAACAACCGTGAAATGTACAACTTGCAACAAACAACAATGCATGCAAAATCTGTATTTGTATCAACATCATCCAACACAAGGGTAACCTCAGCAACAAGTCACGACCATTATTATTATATTAACAATCAATATATTACATTTCTTTTTCAAGATACTTAATAGAAAGCACACCTGTGTAATTTACATTGTAGTCAGCGATGTTTAACAAGGGACACCAAGTTTGTGTGAAACAAGGGGAACGTCCGCCCAAGCAGCCTGTTTCAACCACAGAAACATTATTGTACATAAAGTTCTCTATTGGTAACCAGAGCTGAACTGTATCATTTACAATGTGGACACCAGTAGTGTAAACTAGATTTCCTATGGGTTTACTGGGCTGACACGTACAGACCCAACACCTGCCCAACAAACGGAAGTGATCCAAACAGATTTCAGTTAACTGTCCAGCATAGAGTCCAGTCCACACAGGCTGGAGGTGGACAGTCTGTCCCGTCGTCTAACCGAGGCCTTGGTCCTGACTTTCCGTGTGCCTGCGGCTGGTGCGCTTTCGCTGCTGCTGTTTGGGGTTGACCTGTTCCCAGTAGGACTGGCAGTACTGGTTGATCAGTCTAATCTCTGGTGGGAAGGGCGTGGAGGCCAGGGGCAACTGAGGGTGAGGCCCCGCTTGGCGAGTTTTTGGCTCCTCGTCCTCGTCTCGAGCTGTGAGCGCTAAGACGATATCTCGATCGAGGATGCGCAGCGCCACACGGGCCACGGTGTGTTTAAAGTTGTTTTCAGTGGCGAGGCAGTGGTACAGCCCCGCGTCTGATTGGTTGAGAGACTTCAGAAGGACACCATGGTTGGTCTTCAGGACTCCTCCAGCACGATTCAGCTGCAGGTGGAAGAACGAAGGAGCAAAAAATAAAATTAGGAAAGGGATCAACAGCTTTTTGTTTGGGCATTCAGATCAATGCAAACTGTGTTGTTGTTGTTGTTGTTGTCACATCAAACTATTTCATGTCCATTTATAAGGAGATCAGTTGAGTTCCCAGGTGGTCTGCTCTTCCTCACCACTTTCCTCTTGCCCTCCCTCTGGAAGAGCCACTTGACGCTGGCCTGAGGAGAGCGAGGCTGACATTCCAGGAAGGTGCTGCTGCCTTCCACCCCAAACTGCACCGTCTCTCTCAGCCGTTTCTCCACTAAGCGTCCAGACGGAAAGAACAAGGTGAGAAAATGCAACAAGAAGTTGAAACAGTGATTTGAACAAAGACGGTACCTTTAGCGTTGAAGCCTCTGCACTGTCGGAGTGGATCTCCATGTTTCACATCCTGCCTTCTGCTCCTCCTGAGGTGGACATTGAAAGTTTTCAGTAGGACTGACATGCCCTGCAGGACTTTGAGGACATGGTGGAGGTCTCACCGTTTGGTTGATGGGGTGAATGCGGAGCAGCTCTCTCCATCCCAAGCACAGTAGGGATCCCGAGCCAGGCAGCAGTCCGAGCAGGCCCTGCCGTAAACAGCACAGCGATGCAGCGACACCTGCGTCAAACCGCCGTCTGATGACACGTAGAGCTGTTGCTGTGGCAACACGAACAAAACCGATTCAGTTCAAAGAGGCTGGGGCTGATGACAGAACATCTTAATCCTCCAATGAAGAAAAACCTACTCTTTTAGAAGAAATCTTCATGGTCTTGACTGGAGCTCTGCTCTGTAAAACCAATCATCAGAACTATTTAAGCTGGGATCATGGTGTTTTTTAATATTCAGGCATGTGGAGACATACCCGAAAAACCTCCACCTCCTCCAGCGTCAGCTCCTCCATGCTGGTAGGATCTTTGGGTAAAACAATCACCTTTTGCACGGTGCCGCGATCTGAAAGGTCAGTCAAATATTGTTCAAGACAAACAATATCAACCAACAATCATTTGTTTCCCCCTTCACTTTTGGACTCGACATTCTCAGTGTGGTGTGACAAGGGTATAGGACAGTCTAAACATTTATATGTGGATGGTGTGTTCGATAGTTTTCCCAATTTGTCTTCTCGTTATAATCTCCCTATTACCCATTTGTTTCGCTATTTTCAAATTCGAAATTTTGTTGCCAAGTGTTTCCCAAATTTCCCCTTTTTACCTCCAGAACAGCGGTGGGAAACTATCTTATATTTTATTCCTCATCACAGAGGAACCATTTCGAAACTTTATGATGCTATTCTGTCTCTTAGTAACCACTCTAAGGTTAAGCTTAGGGGTATATGGGAAGGAGAACTAGGAATTGGAATACATGAGGAGTCTTGGGAACAGGCTATAGCAAGGGTACGATCTTCCACCTCCTGCGCTCGTCTTGGACTTATCCAATTTAAGGTCATTCATAGGGCGCATTTCTCTAAGTCTAGACTTTCTGAACTGTATCCGGAAGTGGAGAATAAATTTGATAAATGCCAGGGTTCTCCTTAGCCACATGTTTTTTTTTGTGTCCTGAGCTACAACGTTTCTGGACAGGGTATTTTGCTATTATGTCAACTGTTCTTGGCGTAACTCTTCATCCTTGTCCTCTGATTGCGGTATTCGGGATTCCCGATCGCTCACTTATACTGGACTCCACACAAAAGGATATCATTGCCTTCACATCCCTATTAGCGAGACGTTTAATATTGTTACATTGGAAGTCTGCTAAGTGTCCTACTGTTTCCCAGTGGCTTAAAGATGTCATGTTTTTTTTTAAACTTGAAAAAATGTAACATACGCTGAGAGGGTGCACGGCCAATTTTTTTCATAAGTGGCAACCCTTTATCTCTTATTTTACTAGTCTAGAGGTATTACCTGTTTAAATGTACTTCTGTTATAGTTATATTCCAGTAATATGTTTGATGGTTGTGTTGATCTGTGTGGGACGGGGGGGGGGGGGGGGGGGGGGGGTCTTTGTTTTTGGTATGTTTTTTTGTTTAATTGTCTTGTCCCCCTTTTTTGGTTGTTGTTCTGTCTGTTTGTTGATATTTACCTAGAAAAATGAAGAAATGTTAATTGTATTTTGGTAATTGTAAGAACTGTTGTTTTCTTCTTTCAATAAAAATATTAAAAAAAGACAAACAATATTTATATAAAATATGACTCACATTTTCATCCTAATATTATCAGATGAACTTGAAACATATAATTAGTTTGAGACATATTATTATTATTATTAGTTTTTATTATTATTGCAGAGAGCGCAGGGGAAAACTGTATGTGGACTTTATGTATTTAACATTAATTGTGTCTTTTTTATTTACTTTTATTTTTTTAATAAAAAACATTAATTGTGTCTTTATCAAAAAAAATTTTTTATTTTTTTAAATTAAAAAAACATGAATTGTGTCTTTATTAAAAAATATATTTTTATTTTTTAATAAAAAACATTAATTGTGTCTTTATTTAAAAAATTATTTTTATTTTTTAATAAAAAACATTAATTGTGTCTTTATTTAAAAAAATATTTTTATTTTTTTAATAAAAAACATTAATTGTGTCTTTATTAAAATTATTTTTATTTTTTTAATAAAAAAACATTAATTGTGTCTTTATTTAAAAAAATATTTTTATTTTTTTTAATAAAAAAACATTAATTGTGTCTAATCAAATATGAAAATGAAAAATCCATAACTGGCATGAGACTGCACTGAATGGGAATGTGGAGTCAGCCCTACAGCAGCCTCACCTGTGCCCAGAAACAGCACCTCATACCGTCCATCCACAGCATCCACATGATCCACCACCATGGAGGTGTAGCGGTAGTCCACGCCGGTTCTCACCACCAGGGGGCGGCGGTGGATCGGATAAACTGGGTGAAACATGAGGGGATGGGACCGGATGAAATTCACAGCCTCATCTGAGAAGTTCTTGGAGGACCGGATGCCAGGAGTGAAGGTTCCTCCTGGACACTGAGGGACAGGAAAATAAGGGAAGTGTGACTTTGTGTGTTCGCTGAGGTCCGTAGAGATTTTGGAGGCGGAGACCTACAGTTCCGGGTCGAGGATAGGGGATCTTGCCGTTATATTCTGTCCATTGATAGTTGTGGCCGTGCTTGTGGGCAAAAGGTCCGTTGAAGACGTTCCGAATGTCAGTCATTGAAAACACACAGACCGCGGAGCCCTTAAACACAGAGCTGGAGCAGGAATACAAAATCAACGTAACACATTTTATTAAAGAGCCAATTAACCACAAGAATGTGTTGATAAAAAACCGCGCGGGCGAGGGTGAACGCCTCACCCTGCTGTGGTGAAGAGACCATACACCATGGGGTTTCGTTCATCTTGTGTCGGCTGGATAAACACGTCTCCTGAAAGAATAACGTCGGCATAAAATATGATCAGTACAGCTGAAGAAAACAGAGTTTGAGATGTAATAAAAGCAAATGCCAGGACGTTACGTAGTTCATCAAAAGGCGTCTCGACGCCATCCTCTCCAATCACGGAGCAGATGAGACGCGCCTTCAGGAACGTGGTCCAGCGGTTCACCAGGGATTTCTGCCCTCCTTCATCGTTCTGCAGAACAGAAATGAGCTCAGAGTCTAGGTGGACTACTGACTTCGTACATTTGATCCTACCGAGCAGGTCGGCTCACCAGACACACTCTTCCCACTCGGGCTAAAACCGTGGGGCTCGCCCCCCCGGTGGTGTCTAGACTCTTCTCTCGGAAGAAGAAGTAAAGTTTGTCGTCGTTCTTTTCTGCGCTGTCAGGGATCTGCTGGATCTGAACAAACACGGGCTCTGGAGGATAAAAACAGATAGAGCAGAGGGGGGACTGAAACAAGCGGTTGTCAAATAAAATGAGAGGATCCATAACCTGCAATCATCTGCATTTTCCTCTTCACGCCCACGCTTACTCACCGTTCAGCCACCTGGAGTCAGACTGCTCCGTCCGGACCGCCGGCCTCCCTCCCATGGTCCTAAACACAGCCGCATCCGTGCTCATGAAGTCAATGTGCACACCTGCATACAGGTTACCGTCTGCAGAGGAGGGGGACATAAAGAAGAGAAGTAGATGTTTGCACGGAGAGCTTTGATTTGATGTGTTTGAGTTTTCACTTCTGCGCATCTTACTGATCAGAACCGCAACGTTTTCCTGTTTGGGATCGTAGGAACACTTTCCCTTCCCTGAATCCACGTAGCCAGGGACCAGCCTAAACAAGTAGTCCTGCACAGGCAGATCACACCAGAGAACGCATAAAAATAGACCACTCAGAGGAAACAAGGGACCAAAGGAAAATCATAAACAATCCGTGTCCCAGTTAGCAGCGCTGAAATATTTAGCAGGGCTAAGCGTTGTCGGTCTGTGCTGCTGGAAGGGGAGCTGGCTGTAAATCCCACTCGGGGAACTGTGAGCGTCCTGCTCACCTCAGCCCTCCAGCCTCTGTTGATGAATGTGCAGATGGGCTGGTACGCGCCCGTTCCACAGGTGTAGAGGTGGGTGCGGTTCCACGGCTCAATCATGCGCACAAAGTTGGCGCACTCCCCCTGGACACAAAGACTCGTGAGACGACCAGAATTCAACCATCTCATCACGAAAGCGGGTGCCTTCTCACCTGCTTGCCCTTTCCCGTCATCTGGCATTCTCCCTTTCTCTTAGCAGAGGCCGGCCAGTGGATCTGCACCACAGAGAGCACAAACGGCCCCAAAAACGGTCAGAAGATTTAACTCTACATGTAGACACAGCGGAGGAGATTTGGCAAGCGTGCTGCCGGATTCTGAACGCACAATGAGAGGCTCTTTGTTGACGTTGTGCATGTCCAGAGCCACCAGGTACTCCCGGCTGCCCAGGTACAGACGGCCCTGGTCCTGGTCCATCAGGAGGATGCGGTAGTCGCTGGTGTTGAAGGAGAAACTGAACGGCCGTGCTGCTTTTGTGTCCATCAGCTCTGTGTGGAAAATATGAAAAGGTTTGTTTAAAGGAGAGAAAGAACATCTGGGGTGTTTGGCAAGGCTGCGACTTCAGCGTCATGTTTTATTACTGACTCACGTCCCGGGAACAACACACTTCTCACTAGTTTGTCTTGAAAAATGTGCCACTTATTAAATATAACTCAACACGGAGCATGTTAAAGAGCACATTTGCTTTTAAGATCTCAATATTTAATGTGTGCTGGGGTCTGACTGAGTTTAAGCCACCGCCTGTCCCGTGGAGTTGGACCAAAAGGCGGGTCTCGGAGGAAACGCGGTCAGTGGAACTCACCGCTAAGGTTTGCGTTCAGCTACGCGTGACCTGTCAAGACGCGCCGCTGTGGAAAATGTTTCTCCTGCTTCTGTTTGCTCCCCTGAAAGCTTTGATTGGACCTTCTTCAGCTGCTGCAAAACTAATGCCCTCCAACAATTCTCTGATTGATTGCATTGATTGAAAGACTTGAAAGGCCCTCCTTAAACATATGCGGCATTTCCAAAATACTGTCAGCTCTGTGCGCACACACTGTGGAGGCAGCAGGATCAAACCACGCCAAATGTTCTCTGAGGCCCTCAGAAGCAGGCTTACGGGGATCCGAGAGGACGAGCTGTCTTTATTTACATCAAAGCGCCTCCCATCTTTGAGGCCGGCGCTAACAGGATGCAGTCAAGGTGCCATTAAAATAAGCCATCTGCAATCAGATCTCCGGACAGCGCGGGACGGAGTCTCGGAGGTGGAACGGGGTCCAGCTCTGTTCCCCGAGAGATAAACACAGGATAACAAGCTCCTCCGGGCCAAAGTGGATCCTGACTAAATGTAGAAACGCCGCACCCCTTTATACATGTGTCCACGCTCCGAAAATAGCAAACAATGTCCCGCCATCATCTGGTAAACATTCAGCAAACACTTCTCCTCTGACGGCATTCCGACACCGATAGGGAAACACTGGGAAGAAGACGCAGGCCCAGCCTGGGCCACCTAAAGGTCTCGAGTTACACGTCGTCACTGACGACTGCTGCCACTCCGACCTGTCTCCTGCGTGCCGACAGTGCCATGAGGACACGGCAGTCTTCGGTTACGTTCTGCTTTCTAGCAAAGCTGATTATTCTGTCTAAGCAGCCCAGGCGGATCCCTCTGAAGAATGTTTCATTGACCCAAGCGCCAAGGAAACAATGTGAGCTCCCCGCTCTGTGCAGGCCCCGCGTATCCCCAGAGTGTCACTCAGACCGGCTCAGGCGTTCAGAAGAGTCACATGTCCTCCAGCCGCCCTGAAACCTCCTCCACAGGCGCCTCGGGGAACAAAGAGGCTCGCTGTCACAAACAATGAACAATAAATCCTCAGAGTGGCAGAAAACAGTTGGGGGCTCCAGCAAGTTCTTTCCTTTCTTGTTCCGGACTAGGGGGGAAGGGTGGCGGAGTTTCTTTTCTTCTGTCGAACCTGAGAAAAGATCTAAAAATCTTTATTCACGAAGGTGTGTAAAGACGTGGACGCCTCCGACTGAGGGGGAAAAGTTCAAGACTAAACTTGTGCTCCAAAAACATCCCGGTAAGCTGTTTACCAAGAAGGAATTGGTGCTAAAGGTCGAGCAAAAAAAATGCACGGAAATTCCTCTCCCGCCTGTCAGAGGCGTGCACGCCAGCTGCTGTCACATCAGTGCACGCGTGCTGCCAGTGCTTATCGACCACAGATCTGGAGATGAGCTCTAATCTGCTTCAGATGCCTTCACGTAAATACGGTAATCACGGAACTTTAACACGAAGATAAGAAACCAAACGCTGTCTAGACCTGACCCAAACCCACCGCGGCTGCACAGAAGAGCACCCAGGAATGTTGTGAATCCGATCCACGCCTCTAATTTAGCCGTTCTCAGCCGAGGCGTGAGGCGGGCACGTGTTCTTGCCCGTTTCGGCGCTGAGGTGACACCGTGATGAGGATGTGGAAATAACTGTAATCATCTTGGCGGCGTTTGGATCAGATGTGTCGCTCTGATATTTGTGAGGAGAAGCGCTGCAGCGTTAGGGTTAATGAGCGCATGGGAAAATCCCAAAAACCTACAAAAACCCAGATTCATCCTCATCTGGGTTCTATCCCAGGAGGTCCAGTCCCGATCAGGTGTCAGGTGGCATCAAAACAACGGCGGAGCGACAGGTTCCACTACTGTGCGTGTGGGTTTTAGGGTGTGGGGGAAGAAACTGCTGCTGAAGGGCACTACCAGTAACCCGCCACGCATAACATCCACCTTTTGTTTTCAGTGTTGCACTGCTTGACATGTGGCAGGAAGTACGTCCAGAGAGGAAACAAAACCTCTGGCGTGGGTGAACGAGCCCGTGTGCGCGTCTGGGACGCAGCCACACAGATCCGAACAGATCCGCTGCTGTAACAACCGTGAGAGGCGGTCGGACCCGACATGGGTGAGCTCACCTTTGAAGGAGAGGTGAACCCGCGGCGCGAACTGCTGCAGGCCCAAGCTTGGGTAAACACAGAGGGCCAACAGGAGGAGTCGGGCTGCAGACGCTGTCATGGTAACAGTCATGCAGGTAGCCCACAGAGATCTAAATCTGAACAAAAGAAGAAAGAGGAATGAGTGTTATTATAGAGCGCCCCACGAGGAAAAGGGAGACAGAAAAAGAAGGAAGGACGGACAGAAAAGAGCCTGTGATCTCAGCGATCAGAGGCTCGGCCTGCAGCCTTCCCAGACGAGACGTGTAGTTTGTTAGGAGAGAAAAACGTCCAAATCTTCACACCTGCTCTGGAAAATATGACAGCCCTATTATTTATTTAGAGTGTAAATGTAGTGAGGTGTGTTGAGACTGAATAATGGTGCTCACGGGTAAGAGAGTCTGACAATTAGATCAGATTAGAATCTGCTGTCCTTCAGCCTGGACAAATCCTTACACACACACACACACACACCACTTAATTGTGTCTGTATTTCACACACGTTTTCAAAGAAGCCTGTTTGAAAAAG